GACATTGTGAGTGGTTTCAGTTACCTAAATCAACAGTCTGTAACCTGTTGCAAAAAAAAGAAGGGTTAAAGGGATACTCCACTTTTTTTGGAAATAGGCTCATTTTACAACTCCCCCAGAGTTAAACTGTTGAGTTTTTACCGTTTTTGAATCCATTCAGCCGATCTCCGGTTCTGGCGGTACCACTTTTAGCATAGCTTAGCATACATCATTGAAGTGGACAAGACCATTAGCATTTCTAAAAAAAAAATGACCAAAGAGTTTCGATATTTTTCCTATTTAAAACTTGACTCTTCTGTAGTTACATCGTGCACTAAGACCGACGGAAAATGTAAAGTTGCGATTTTCTAGGCTGATATGGCTAGGAACTATACTCTCATTCCTGCGTAATAATCAAGAAACTTCACTGCCGTACCATGAGTGCAGCAGGCGTAATGATATGACGCAGCGCCTGAAAATAGTTCCGTTGTGTTGACGGAAGGTGGCCTATTTTCAGGCGCTGCGTCATATCATTACGCCTGCTGCACTCATGGTACGGCAGTAAAGTTTCTTGATTATTAAATCAAGAACGGTAAAACGGTAAAACTCAACAGTTTAACTCTGGGGGAGTTGTAAAATGAGGCTATTTCCAAAAAAAGTGGAGTATCCCTTTAAGACAAAAATATTAATGCTAATGTAATCTAGCTTTTGTTACAACCAGGCCCTGAAATACATTTCTGTGATTACAACTCTCGTTTTGGCATGGTAATGAGTATGGCTGTATGGCTGATGGAGTAATGTGTTTGTTCTTGGCCGAATAGATCTGCTACGCTGCTGCTGTTGTATGGAACCTGCTACTGCCAACACACCACAAGCTGCCGCTGTACAAGCATGCATGAGTCATCCTCATGGCAGATCTATACAGGTGGAGCTGGGGAAGGTGGAGGGTTGCTGAAAGGACGCTGCAACTTCTACAGCAAACAATAGGCAATAATTTGAACGTTGGGCAGCAAGCTCATTGGCTACCAATACAGCGGGAACCAATCAGCTGTGCCGTGTATTAGTAGAGCGGCTAAGTGATATAATCGTTCAGTTTATGATACAAGGGTGAAAATTGGCATGAGCAGTCTCCATGGGTCACTTGACAAGAAAATTGTCCGAGCCACTTGAAATTTCAAGATGGCCGACACCTTAGTGGAGCAGTTGAGTGATATAGTGGTTTATTTGGTGATACAAGCATGAAAATTGGCATGAGCAGTCTCTGATGGTCACTAGACAATAAGCCACCCACAGCTACTTGAAATTTCAAGATGGCGGCCATTTTTCAAGATGGCCACCACCTTAGTGGAGCAATTAGGCTTAAAGGATTAGTTCACTTTTAAAAAAACTTTTGCTGATAATTTGCTCACCCCCATGTCATCCAAGATGTCCATGTCTTTCTTTCTTCAGTCGAAAAGAAATTAAGGATTTTGATGAAAACATTCCAGGACTTTTCTCCATATAATGGACTGGATACGATTCTGCCAAACATAAGCACTTAGCCGCTCCACTATATAGAGAATAATGTAATTGCAAGCAGATTGGGTTGTGAACCTGCACAGAATGTGGAAAATAACAGAACTTTGTATTGTTGCCATGGTCAACAGTGAGTATTTATAAATATCTGACTGCTGAATGCTGTGATTGACCAATCAGAATAGAGTATTTCATAATGCAATTTAATGACATCAAATGTTCTCAGAAATGTTTCAATCAAATTAAAACTTGTTTTACACAATATGTACTCAATTTAAAATGTTTGAAAACAGAATAAAAAAAGTCTAATTGGTTAACAATAGTTAATGCATTAGGTATAAACTAATAATGAACAAGATTTACAGCATTTGTTGATCTAGATTAGTTTATAAATATAAGATTGTTCATTAATTCATGTCCGTTCAAAATACATTAATGTATACAACTTGAAATGTTAAAAATGTATATACAGACAAAATGCTAATAAAAAATAGTTCATTATTTCACAACACCCAATGCATTTACTAATGTAAACAAATACATTTAGTGTTGCCTTTAAAGCTACACAAACACACAAGAGGTTGAAGAAATGAATGCTCCAATAAGACATTTACAGTCTTAGAACATTTTATTGTTGTTTGAACACCCCATCCCACCCCAACCCTCAGTTCCCCATGAGATATATGCCTCCATGTCCTCTTCCTGTCCCACAAACACATGGTCAAAAACACAGTTCTTTTTCAATTCATTCAGTATCATACAGAAACACTTGGAAGGAAACAAATAAACAAACTAAATGCACAAAAAACAAGGACCTGGCTCAACATTTGTCAAGAGTGGCTAAAGTCCTTCCTCTCTCATAGTGAGACACTAGGGATAGTTATGCGGTATTAGCATAGGTGACTACCAGTAGAAGTTGGCTAATGTCTTTGGAATGAGCATGGTTAAAATAAAAATTTTAATCATTGGGAGGGGTTTAAAGTGACTGAATGGGAATGGCTTTTAGAGATCATTCTCAGCTGACTGAGCATGTGTCAGATCTTTTGGCGGCATATTCAGGAAATAGTCTTATACAGAACAGTACATTCAACTCTTTCTGTTACTTTTAAATGGTTAAATCTGGCCAAACAAACTTTATTCACATACTATTCACAGAACACAAATATACATCTATATGTACACATACTTTCCACCAGGCACTTTCCATGAAAGTCCATGGAGGGGGGGGATGGGTTCGGTGAAGAAAGTCACAACAGTGTCTTTGTAAGCCTCTTCAATCAATCAATATTTTCTCTGACTCCCTTAGAGGAACAGTTTACCCCAAAATGAAAATTCTATCATCATGTCGTCCCATACGATTTTAAATTCATCAAAATGTTGTTTCACGTACGAAATAAAGAAATATAGGTTCGGAACTAGTAAATCAATTTGGCTTGAGGATTAGTAAATAATGGCAGACTTCTCATTTTTGGGTGTCCCTTTACCTAGCTTGTTAATATAACCAGGAATCACATGCTGTCAACCAAGTGTGGACCGGGGCAGCCTGGCATCTGAGATGCTTTATGCAGAGTAATGTAATCATTGGGAAAACGCCTGTGGTTTGCTAACTTGGCATCTTGCTGATACTGCAATTTCACAGTTGGGGTCATAACAATTTGAGAGATGCGAGTGTAATACTGATGTGGATACTCTCAGCATTTATACTTAGTGCTTGAAGTTAAAAATAGCAAACTGTATTTATCACCATTGAAATGTTGTAGTTTAATCACTGAACTGAGCTGTCAGTTCTACTTGCCTGCACTAAACTGTCTGGCACCTTCCACGAATAAGGTACAAAATACAGCCTGAAGCTCTTAAAAAATAAAGATTTTTTTTTTCTTTTCAACCAATAGACAGTGAAAGAAGGTTCTTCGGCTTTAGAAAATGTTGATCTTCACCTTCAGAAAGTCACAAAGGTACAATTTTATATGAGCAATTTTATGTAACCCTGTTACCAAACACATCAAATCAAGTTTAAAAGCCAGATTTGTATGATTTTACAATGTAGCAATACCAATGAAATGTCAAAATGAAATAAAAACGTGTAATCGTAGCATAAAATAATAAAAAAATATATATCATAAAATAACTTCTTGTTCAATAAGAGTGGAATAAAAGCTATATGTGCTTTTAAATTTCTGAGGTGAGCTAACATGGGGCTTGTGACACTGATGGTTGAAAAACCTTCATGAGACACTACAGTACTGTATTCATGGAATGCACACTCGATGGTCAAACGATCAACCATCATGTGTCCAGCTATTATAGGGGAAAAAACCCCATCGAAAACTGCAATGGAACAAAAATGGACTGTGAATGTGTAACTTAAAGGGATGCTTTGAAGAATCACGAGCCCAGGATTCAGCTGTACACTCAAAGCTGCACAATTGTTAAACAAAATCCACTCAAAGAACACGAGTCAGTCCGATAAATAGTTACAAGTGAATAGAAGATTGCCGGTGTTCTTTTTGGTCCCTTTCTCCTCACTTCTGACACAGTTTCGCCTCTGTTCCCTGTTTTGCAGCACCGTTGTAAAAAGACTATTAACTGCACTCTCTCAAAACCATTGAGTGAGAGGATAAAGGTCAGGGTGTAATCCACCGCAAGCTTTAGAATGCCATCACGTCTGCCCCTTGTTAATGTACTTCCTTTGCTTTAAGCACACAGGGCCACTGTTAGCACTTGAGACTTGCACCTTAAGACGTCAGGGATTTCCAGCAGACGGTAAGTATATATACAAGTGAGAGGAAAAAAGACAACAGCCACAACAAGATAGGAAAGCCACAGCTGGGCAACATGTCCGCCTGACCCTCCTGTCAATCTCCTCTTGAGACATATGGCACCATATATAGTAATAAACTCCGCCTCTGATGATACAAGAACCAAGCCTCAGAGACGCGGAAAACGTTGGTGAAAAGCATTGCCAAGAGGCATCGACATCTTGATAGGCAGTTGATGGAAAGCTGTCTGCTGGTTGAATCTGTGTGTGTGTGTGTGTGTGTGTGTGTGTGTGTGTGTGTGCGGATGTCAGCGTTTGTGCATGCATGTGTGTTTTGTCCTTTTGGCGCTTTTTAAGGGGCATGGCAGGTGCCCGACTCCTTTTTGAGAGCCCCGGTACAGACGCCCGACTCTCATCTCCACTGCACTGCACATGAAGAGATCTTCTCCAAGTGATGTTTATTTCTGCTCTTCAGTCCAGCCAGCCAGAGAGAAACAGGCAGGTGTAAAATAAAGCCGCTGTTTTTAGAAACAGCCCACTATCTCTGCGAGCAGAGGTAAACCAACCACACCAAGCCAGGCTCTGGAATCGCTCGCAGCTTTGAGGAAATGTGCTGAAAAAAATCCTAAAACGAAACAGCCATGACAGAAAGGGATGTAACATATTTAGATGTTTGGGGTAAAAAAAAAAAAAGAGAACCGGCAGAGAACTCCTAATTTTTTTGTCCCGTTTTCTTCCTTCTGCTTTTTGATCTGGGTAAGACGAAAGAAAGACGGGAAGCAGAGGGGGATGAGGGGGTGTAGAGCGAGCCTGCCGGTGGTCCTGCTCCATGCACTGAGGTCAGCATGGGGGGTTGGGGGGGGGGGGGAAACCCGCTATCTGACCTCCAAGCAGTCCAAATACTCCAGAACCAGCTCATAACAGAAACGATACTGCTCCTGCACCACACATACAGAGAAACGACACAATTAGTGCAATAATTCACTTCTATATTTTTCTGTTTTTTTGCATGTTCACCAAGGCTGCATTTATTTGATCAAAAGGTAATACTTTATTTTGAGGGCCCCTTTTAAACATTCTGTTGACTATAAGTGACTTTGCAACTACAAGTCAACTAACTCTCATTAGAGTATTAGTAGACTGTCTGCTTAATATCTGCTAACACTTTATTGTGATTCTCCTCCAACAGACATTCTACTGACTATAAGTAACTTTACAACTACATGTCAAATTATTCTAACCTTGACCAAAGCAGTCTGCTAATACTCTACTAATACTCTAATGAGAGTTAGTAGACATGTAGGTACAACATTACTTATAATCAACAGAATGTGTTAAAGGGACAATTAAAATAAAGTGAAACCGATCAAAAATACAGTAAAAAAAGTAACTTTCTGAATATTATTATAATTTGCTGAATTGTTGCTTGAGAAATATTTCTTATTATCAATGTTGAAACCCATTGTGCTGCTTAATATTTTTGTGGACCCGTGCTACATTTGTCTTTTTTAGAATAGAAAGTTAAAAAGAACTGCATTTATTTGAAGTAAAAATCTTTTGCAACATTATAAATGTCTTCACTGTCCTTTTGATCTATTTGATGCATTCATGCTGAATAAAAGTACTATATATATATATATTTTTTTTAAACTCAAACTTTTAAATGGTATTGTGGTAGAGTGGTATAATGGTATGAGCTGTCAGATTACATTTGCACTTAAGGTATTAATAAAATATATTTAACAGTGATTTAAAAAAAAATTATTTGATATTTCATTCTGCTTTCAGAAATCATTCATAATATTATTATAGTATCTGCATGTTTAAAAAAAAATGCTTTAGTACAATGACAATACAAAAGCAAACCAATTTAATTTAGGAAACTGACGATTTTGTTGATTTAAATATCACATTTAATATTTCTTTACACATAATACGTTTTGATACATGACAATTAAGCTGCCTTGTCATTTTAGTTAGGGTGTTACTCATCATATATGAAAACCCCTGCTCTTATAGTAAAGCCTACTCAATTGGGATCAGGGAAAAGGGGGATCACCAGTAAAAAGTCTTGGGCCTATATGAACTTTCTAGGAAGGCCCTAATGAACTAATGATTTTTGGTATTTGGGTATTTATTTGAAAGGCAAAGACTTTCTGAACTTCTGTACCTACCAGTGTCTCCACCATGTTGGGCTTAGCGTTACGAAGAGTCTTGACAGCATAGAAGACGTCCACCATGTTCTGGTATTGGATCATCTCCATCAAGATGTTGCTGGAACAGTACATTCCACTCCGACCACCGCCGTTCCTAGACATACACGAATACAACAAACCCCGTCTGTCATGAGCGAAGAGGAGACAGACATTGAAGAAAAAGATCTGGCTTGTGTTGCATACTGATATTCAGTCTACAACAGAAATTTCACACATCCAGTTAATATGAAACCAGCCTGCATGAGAGGCATACAAAGAGCTTTCTGAAGATCTTCTGCTGTGTATTGGTTCAGCACGACAGCGGCAGCAAGATGAGGCAACGCTGAGATAATCAATCGCAGTCAGTGCTTTGGCAGCTCTGGATTTAGTGCGGAGAAAGGCCTGCGCTGTTCTGTATTAAGGCATAATTGATTTCATCTCCATAATCTCTTCTCTCTGCCTGTGGTTGGTAACACTATGTGACAGTTTTGAGTGATGTGCTTCTGGGCGGCGATGGGAAGGGAATTCGTGCCTGGGGTTCCAGATGAGACGGCTCGGTGGGCAAGAGTGAGACCCGGAGACAAAGACGCGGGGGAAGTGGAGTGTGTGGTTAAAAGGATAACGACAATGTTAACACCTAGGCTAAGATCATCGAGGCTGGCTATGAGTGAAGTCCTTGTTTAGAAAACATTTTATTTCAGAACCATTTTGTGCGTTTAATTTGTTTACATCAGGATATTGTTCATGATTTGTTTGCGCAGGTATACAGGAATTCGGTATTTTGCATATAATTATCTCTTATCTGACTCGCTGGCAAACAGAGATAGGTGTCTCAGGAGACACAGATAACACTACGAAGACAAGGATTAAGTGTGCTGTTCAAGGGCACAACGGCCATCACTCGGGCCGCTGCGAGGAGGCGACACTTCAACAATATGCAAGGCCAGAACGTGACCTGAAGGACAGTCCACGTGCTCTTATGAAATGCCCTGGACCATTTATCTGTGGGCAATCAGAGTTCAAATACAGCTTGTGTGAAATGTTCAGATCAGGTCAACAATATATATATATATATTTTTAAATCACAAAATGTTCTCTTAATCTCTTAATTTTTGTCAAAGTATGAGTGCTCTTTGATTAGTTCATTTATTTTCTGCTCTTCAGCGTTATCACGATGCTTTTATCTTTCCCTTTTGATCTTTTATATTTGTTTTGGCTCATAATTTCTTTGAACTATTTTAGCTGAATATTATATGGCATCATTCGAATTGAACTAAATGTAATTCATTAGTTAACTGCCTTTTATAAAATCAAATATACACTACCATTCAAAATTTGGGGGTCTGTAAGATTTTTTAAATGTTTTTTAAAGTCTCTTATGCTCACCAAGGCTGCATTTATTTGATCAAAAATAAATGCAGTAAAAACAAATTTTGTGAAATATTATTGCAATTTAAAATAACTTTTCTATTTTGATAAAATGTTATCATTTCTGTGATGACAAAGCAAAGTTAAAGCGATCGTGTCTCTTCGGAAAATTTGGACTAAACCGCTCAGTTCATATGGATAATTTTTTCCGATCTGTTTAAGCGTAAAAGTGGTAGTTGCGTAGCTGTCAATGGAGGGGCAGAAATCATTCAGATTTAAAAAAAAAAAATCTTCATTTGTGTTCTGAAGATGAACGAAAGTCTTAAGCCAGGAACACACCAAGCCGACGTCAAAGAACTAGCGGCGATGAAAGCTGACTGTGTTGTTGCCTCTCGTCGACTGAGTCTCGGCCAAAAGCTGCGCTTGAACACACCAAAGGGACTAAAGGCAACTGTCTATTAGCACATGCGTTCTGTGCCTGCGTGTAAGTAAATATCTGTCTATATCAGCAGATATGAATAGTCTATTTTCTTCATTCAAAAAGGGAAACCGAAACTAGGACTGCTGATATACAAACCTTAAACAACGCAGCACTTGCTTACCATTTTGAATATCAATCATGTCGATCACTTTCTTCATTCAAGTCGGCTCATATTATTATGAAAATATTTGTACAATCGAATGCTCAGGTAAGATGACAAAATTAGCAACAGCCTTCTGTCAGTGCTGTCTTGAACTCTTTGCTCGCTTTCATCAATTTCGATGAAAAAACTAAGCCAAAACTCAAAACGATGGCCGACCGTCGGCTTGGTGTGTCCCAGCCTTGGGTTTGGAACGATATGAGGGTGAGTAAATGATGTCAGAATTTTCATTTTTGGGTGAAGTAACCTTTTAATGAATTAATATCAATGTTGAAAAAAGTTCATGTTTAATATTTTTGTTGAAGCAAAAAAAGTTTTTTCAGGATACTTTGCTGAATAGAAGGTTCAAAAGAACAGCATTTATATGAAACAGAAATCTTTTGTAACATCAATGTCTTTACTGTCAGTTTTGATCAATTTAATGGGTCCTCCTTGCTAAGTAAAAGTATTGTTATTTTTATTTTTTAATTCTGACTGACCCCAGACCTTTGAACCTTTAGAATTCGGTGAATTCCGCTTCCTGTACTTACAATTCCAAGTCGAATTCAGCCAATTCACTTTACATTCATACTCATGAATTGAAAAGCAATACTTCAATTATAAAGAATAACTTCAAAGATAATAAAATCTCAAATGGGCAAGTCTTTTGAGAAACACTGCCTCATGAATCTTCCACTTCCTGTATTACTGATGGAGAATGCCAGTGCACCTGCTAGACTAGACACATCTCACTGTACAAGCAGAAAAACAAATATCTGTTTGCATCAGTGGTTTGAGGAAACATCAATCAATGACACGCTGCAGAAGACACAGGGCGGAAGTAAAAGATGTAGCTGAACACTGCAGAATCACATCATTAAGCTGATTTGATGTTTTTTTGTTTGTTTTACATTATATTTAAAGAGAGTTCAGGATATTTCCACGACGCATGGGCGAGAACTGAACAAGAAGTAGTAGAAAAAGAACGTCCTCTTCTCAGTTCTCGCGCATGCGTCGTGGAAATATCTTGAACTCTCGTCTCAGGCCCACAAGGAAGAAAAGGAATAGTCGAATAAAGTCGTTATTTTTGTTTGTTTTTCCACACAAAAAGTATTCTCATCGCTTGATAAACTTATAGTTGAGCCACTGTAGTCACTTGGACTATTTAAACATTTTCTTCAATGACTTTCTGGGCCGTCAAGTTTCACTCCCTTAGGAAGCCTATGTAGCAGTGATCCAGCTTTCAAATTTAATCAAAAATATCTTCATTTGTGTTCCGAAGATGAACGAAGGTCTTACGGGGTTGGAACAACATGAGGGTGAGTAATTAATGACTTAATTTTCATTTTTGGGTGAACTATCCCTTTAATCTGTTTGCATTAACATTATGAATAGTATTAATTGGCATTAACTGAATGTATAGACCTCCAAACCAAAACAGACACAATGGAAGTTGACTCTTGTTGTCCACCAGAAGAAATAAAAAGTAGATGCTTGGTTAAATTACATTTTTTAGGCATAACTGAACTAATTTAACTTCAACTAATAAGACTAAAACAAATGTATTGAAAACACTTAAGAGCCATTGTTCAAACGGAAATTCAGCAGGCGTTATATTATAAGATGCTGTAAATTAATAAAAACATTTTTTAGTTGAGTTGGGATTGTGTGGAATATGTCGGCATACTACTCACAGGCAGTGGACCACCGTACGACCTTCCCCACACTCCCTCTGCCACTTCTGAACGCTAGCCAGCAGGTTGAGGAAGGCCTTTTTGGAGTCAGGCACGTCACGATACGCAGACCAGCGCAGGAACTGGAACTGGCACACGACCAGCTGACCCTCCTGCAGCTTTGCATGGATGAGATGGGGGGAAAAGGAAAGGTCACAATCAGTAATGCATCGCCAGCTGTGCATTTGGGCTTGTTTATGGATGTGTACAGTAGCGTAGGACTGTTCTCCATGCTGAGGTCTCAGCAGTGCCAAGTCAGCAGTGTTTAGGTTGTGATGAATGAGTCTGCTGGGAAAGAGTTTCACTCGGGTGGGGAAGAAACACTAAGGCTGGCCCTGATACATGCCTGCTTTGGCTTAAAACACAGGTGGAATTAATATAGAGCCCTGAGGCACACCCCAAAACTGCCCTAAGGGTTGCTGGGAGAAAGTGAGCGCACTGACCATAGCTGAGCGACACGCATATCTTTAACAAGTCTGACATAACGATTTTTCTGTCCAAATCTTCTTCCAATTTGTAAACAATTAATAGGAAAAGCATATATGCCAGAAGAAATTAAATTAGGATAAATTAAGATGTATTATTAAGTTATGTCCGAATTAAAGAACTGTTAAAGTGTAAATTGCAGGTTAACCACCACAACCAATTAATGTGTAAATTAAAGTGCTCAATATGTACAGTATATATTTAAAAATTTCTGTCTTAAAATAACATTTATTGGGGTTTCTTCAAAGGTAGCATGTTTTTTACAGTAACTGGGTGATGACATCATAGGAGGGGGGGAGCGCGGGCGGTAATGCACTCACTCTGTGTGTTCGGGTTGAGGGAGAATAAAACGATTCGCGGTACTCCCGCAAACTAGAAATATTTATGAATAAAACATAAAAAGTAATACATTTTTATTCATCTGTTGCAGAAAAGCAACAAGGACAACTAAAACAAAATAGAAACGATTTACAGGCCAAAGTTTCTATTTATAACATGTCTGCAGCGTTGAGCGATGTAGCCAATCACAGACATATGTGTTGATTTCTAGGAACGCAATGGCCAATCAGAAGCATTTACGATAGACTTCCCTCAACGCTCAAAACTGACTTGTTGTTCAGTGCTGAATTCTGTATGCTGGCAAATCCTCGAATTATAACAAACAAAGTGTAGATATTATGAAAGATTCATTAATAATAACAGAGATGTGTGAGATTGCGATGAACTGATGTCAGCTTTTTAGGAATTATTATGGGAGCGCACTTTGCGCGCAGTCATGCCAGACCATGCATGACTGTTTGTTTTTATGTTATAACAGTGTGGTTTGTGTGTTAATGCTTTAATAACAAATAATGTATCAGGAGCATTTATGCTGATGTGTATGGTGGCGACACGTAGGCTAACTTGAAAGTATTTGGAGGTACAGAAAAAAAGTCTTTTTGCGGGCGGGAGCGGGACAAAACATAAATGTTGCGGGCGGGAGAAAGTAACATAGAAAGTAGTTGAGAACGTCAGTTATAATGAAGTTATAAGAATTTTCTAGAAACATTACTTTTTGGTTCCCAAAGCAGACAATTTAACATTCTTTAACAGGTTTAGAAAATGTTCCTCTACCTCTATATTCCGAAATCTTTTACCCTGATGTACATCAGTCTACAAACCATTTTCAAACCATCAATCATTAAAATTAGCCAAGCGCATCATGGCACATAATATGGAAAATGAAATTAATATGTAAGATTTAATTTGATCATTATTATGTAAGATTTCCTGGATAATCACAACCCGTGGCTGACACTTCATAAAAAGTCTTATTATAAGTGAACATGGCAACACCACAGAAAGGGCACACCGTTTAAAGCAGAAGCAGTATACACTAACATTCTCTACCACACAATCTGAGTAATAGAGATGTCAGATTTGAATAACACATGCACCCACAATCACAAGCATCCCATCCACACACCCCCATAATTCTCTCTGTAGTGCTGAAAATGCCTTTCCCCCACTCAATCGCCTTAGTTTCTAATGTTCCGCAGACACGCAGCATGCCAAAGCATTAAAACACTGTCACATCTGTCAAAAGTGCATTGAGCAATGAGGAAACTGCAGATGTCTATTAGCCAAAGAGCACTGCCATCAAACATTCGAAGAGAAAAACAGAACAAAATTAGTCCTTACAATAATGACAAGCTGGGGCAAATTGAAAGTGGTAAAAATGACCTTCTGTGGCACGCTCATTAATGTATATTTCATATCTGCAGGCTTACGGAAACTTATTTCGCCATCTGTCCTTGCCTGCGAAAGTGGCGCCATATGAAGTGTCATGTGCTGATGGTATGAAAATGGATATTTTGAAATAGCTTTTCCTCTGTTCTTTAATTGCTCTTGTAGCTTTGCCTGACAAAATATATTGGACTGACAAACCCTATTTATTATACCACTTTATCTCATAGTCTATTAAAGCGTGATATGAATGTAACATGGCATAAATGGCCAACAGAGTAATATAAAAGGCCGCAAAATGCTTTTAAAGCTTTTCAAAGATTACATAAAAATCTCAATTTCCGCACTTTTTAAACGTAAGGAATTAAGCTGACAGTTAAATGGCACAACATAATGATCAACTGGTTCTAAGGTATGAAAAATGTATTATTGCAGAATATCATTAAAGCCCTGTGGTGGTAATGCAAAGGATTCTGCCAGGAAATTACTTGGAATCTATGTATTTTTAGAAAGGAAATTAAGAGGCTCATTGGCACAGCTGGATGACTTTTTACCTTATGTGTACCTTTAGAGGCCCAAAAGAATCAAGTCAGTAAACTTCATTTGTAAATGCTTCTGTATACAGTAATTTTGCATAATTGCTCAATTAAAGCAATTTTCTGAAGTGAGTAAAATGATGATTAGGTGATTACCTATATTTATATTAACTTAAGGGTATATTAAGGGTCTGCTAAGCTTACGATGTACAGGGGAAATATGAGATACATTTTTATGGAAGAGAGTGAATGATAATTGATGGAACTCACTCTCGTCACATTTTTGACCCGGAAAAGGCGGGTGATGATGTCCTCATCTGCAGACATGGACAGAAACTCCACTTGCATAGGACCATACTGCTGAAGACCTGGTTCAGGCCAGTACTGCACACAAGGCTGGAGAGAGAGAGAGAGAGAATGGATGAATAAGTGTTTAGAAGCCATACTTTGGCATTACAAGTTCTTGATTATTTCTGGATGGTCAAGGGTCAAGGTCAAGTTTCTTTCACAAAGGTGTTTGAAACCCATTCATGCTTTATGGATTTTTTAAATAAAAAGGAGCAACTTCCGGCAAGGTTAGATTTGCTCTGCAAGTTAGTCTGGCAAAGAGCTCATTCAAGCCCATTTCTAATCCGTCGAAATCACGGCACCAATCAGAAACGTTGGGGCGGGCTTTACACGATGACCACAGCACAGCGACGGAACTAGGGGTGTGACGGTTATAGTTGAACACCGTCATTAGAACTCTATAACCGCCAAAACCATGTTATTCAAATATTTTTTTCACAAACATTTTTTATCATAGAGAATGTTTAAATACTAATATCAGCTTACGAGGGAAACGGAGGCGGAGTTAGTGGTGCTTCGGAGGCTGCTACTGCTGGATATGATTCGGGAGAGGTCTGTGCGTAGCTAATCAGTGTCTGCTCGTTTACTGTTCTATAACAGTTGTTCTATAACAGTTGTTCTATAAGTTGGGCAGAGTTGTTCTATAAGTTGTTCTATAACAGACGAACGTCGCTCTGCATATGTCATCTCCTTCATCGCTCTGATTGGTTTTAGGTCTATCCAATTGCGCCCAGAGGCATTTGAGCTACGTCCGTTGGTGACGCCCCTTTGGAAATGATTTGTCTATGAAGCTTTGCCAGACCATAACTCAGTTACAACTGAGAATGGTCTGGTTTTAAGCAGGCTAGAGAATAATAAGAAAGAAAAGAAAATGGGTTCTTCAGGGAAAGGGATTCTAGGGAGCCAACCACCAAAAAAAAAAAAAAATTCTAACCGATTTGGATCTAAAGCCCAAAGTATACTTTGTTTTTTTTACACATATGCTGAGTAACAGGTGTTCTGATGAAGAATAATGCTACCTATCAGATTGTGCTACCAACACTATATTTGCATTGTTTAAGGGTAGGTTTAGGGAAGGAGAATATGATGCTGGTAGCACAATCTGATAGGTAGCATTTTTCGCTATCGAATTGTGCTGTTTTAATGGGAGGTAGCACAATCTGAGTGGGTAGCACAAATCGTCAGAACATCGGCATGTTAGCGCACGTCAGGGTTTTCAGAGAGCCGTGATCAAGAAGAGCACCGGAACGCCACTCCGCAAACTCAAAAGGAAGCTGTATGTAAATGAGACTTGACTATAGGCTTATGATTATGACTGTACGTTTGTGTACAGTCGAACACGTAGCCTTTCAAATTATACTCCATTTGCTAAAGTGCGCGAACACAGGAAGTCGACACATGCATGCTAGAAAGTTTCATCTTTGTACAGTGTCTGCACAATTTTTCTCCAGAAGTTATGACCCATGAAAATGTCTTCGTGCTCTTCAAACTACAGTTGCGGCTATCTAATAATCCCTTCACACAAGCGCTTGTCAATGCAGGCGTTTGTTGTTGTTGCAGTCTCTGGTATTTTATTGTTGTTCTGTCTCTTTAGTTTAATTTCCTATTGTGAAACAACGGCCCGGGCCAGCGAAACGGGTCGCCTTGCGAAACAACTGATTAGTGCACAACAAATTCAATGAGCATGTGAGACCTGCACATACTATTCTGGCGACGTAATTTGCATTACGCGGATGTACGCGGATCCTTGCGGCGTATGCGTAAAAACCAAGTGGCAACCTTCCGGTCTCTCTCTTGAATCCAACACGGAAATTACTTAAACTGCAATTCATCGACTGGCCACTAGAGACAGGCTCCAAAAGAGAGTCAATCCCATTTACCCCCCCATGTTAATATGCACAGCTTTACAGCAGAATAAAAAAATATGTTTACAGCCTGGTACAAAAAGTGGTTTTGGTCTATATAGTTCATTTTGCCCTTCATGACAACTGTGAGGGGGGGAATCAAGAAGATTTTCTTAACTCATCCGTTTAAGTTTTATTAAGCCTTAAAGTTCTTCATAATTAAGGGCGTAGCCACATGAGTGACAGGTGGATTGCCGCTTATGTCACTACCAGCCGTTTGTCTGCTGTCTGTTAGCCGTCACATCACCCCAGCTAATCCCATCTCTTTGCCCATTTTCGGTTATCCGGGAGTGACACGCTTCCAAGATGGCGTTGGCAGGCTCCACCCACTTTGGGCTTCAAAAAGGCTCTTCAGAAGCCTGCGGGTGATGTCATGGACACTACGTCCATATATTTTTACAGTCTATGGTAAAAACCGATGTATACTTTGGGCTTAACAATGTGATACATGAAATGATTCCATTTTTTTTCATTCAAATCTCATCAATATTTTGACTCCACTGTATTTGGAATATATTGCAGGCAGCCTTAGAAATCAGCATCTATTATCAGCTGAAATTAAACCGGCAGAGACGGTGAGAACAGACAAAGAAAGAGGAAGAACATTAATGACAGCGAGGCAAGTGAGGTGATAAATATTAACACTTATGGACTGCAGAGAGCAATCATGCGAATGAAGAAGAGGGAGAGACGTTAATCCACCACAGAGAGAAAAACGAACAGATCGACTGCGAGAGTGACACTGAGTAACTGCCGGCATGTTAGCGCACGTCAGGGTTTTCAGAGAGCCGTGATCAAGAAGAGCACCGGAACGCCACTCCGCAAACTCAAAGGAAAGCTGTATGTAAATGAGACTTGACTATAGGCTTATGAATATATAACACTTCACAGGGAGATTAAGAGAAGCTGGGGACAAAATAGCTTAAACGACTTCAAAGGACATGCGACGATGCGAATGCAAAAAGGCAACCGATAAAGATGTATTTTGAAGAAAAAACCCAAAAGGACCCAAAGTCCTCTTGGGGGCTGTAGTGGAAGTTCTGGTGGCTGTGTGGATGCTTTGGCTTACCCAGGCAGAGTTAGATTGGTTCAGCTGATTCAGCATGACTACAGAGGTGCAGCCGTAGTCAAACACCAGCCTCCAGAAGTCAGAGGTCGTGCCGGGCAGCGGGTGAGGGGTTACAATTAAAGCAGCGGGCCTGTGGAAACTATCCATCAGTGCTGCATTAATGTAGTTGTTACTCTCGCCCTCGGTGGTCACCAGAAAGGCGAGGGCCCTGTCAGGAGGGAGAACGTCCATGCTGCGGTTCTTCTCGCGGTTTCGTGGTAACAAAGCGATGCTGCACTCCTCAACGTCCAGATGAGGTGTCACAGAGTTTAGCGTCTGAGGGAAAAAGAAATGAAATGATGTTGACGACGAATTAAGCTTTGCAGTGTTTGTGGTCAATGGGTTTATTATTGTGATGATGCATCCATATGACATCAAAAAGTTGCAGAAGTTTAGAATGAGACATTTTAAATCAGTGCTGTTATTGTTAACTAAAACTATTAAAAAATGAAATAAAGCTACATAAAATAAAACAAATATTAGATGAAAAACTTAAACTTCAAAAAAATAGAAATGTCGGTCTTGGCAACTAATTGAAATAAAATAAGTTGAAGTTTTACTAAAAAGACTAAAAATTTAAATACAAAAAAATAAAGCTAAATACAAATATTAAATATTTTTATAAAAATGTCAAAATCACATCATAAAATTATTTAAATAAATAAAAAATAGCTCATTCAAAATATTAAATAGTATATTACTATATAAATAATACTAAAATAACTGTTCCAAATGCTCTTTTTAGACTGGGGAAGACATTTAGAGTTCTGGAAACACAAAATTTGATTCTTCATGATATAATAGGAGAAAAGAAAAACAGAAAATTAAAAAGAAAGCACAAAAACCTATGGAAGCAAGCTTTTTAGCAAATAAATAAATAATGTGATCACAAGTCACAATGAGAGATATAAAGTCACAATTACAAGAAATAGTTACATTGTGAGAAATACAGTCACAACTGGGAGAAATTGAGCTACATTTATTTTGATAAAGTAGCATTTTTAACATATAGAATGTTAAATTAATTTTTTTTCACAATTATTCTTTTCACACAAAGTAGGCACATTCTTTCAAAAAAACATGAAAACAAAAAAGAAAGAAAGAAAGAAAGAAAGAAAGAAAGAAAGAAAGAAAGAAAGAAAGTTGAGAGAAAACTAGAGTGATTCCTGCTGGCACATTGGTGATTATGAAGATTTCCATTATGCACTAATAGTATTGTGCATCTGGTGACCGCAGATGTGCCTTCAACTCCAACAACAGCTTTTGGATCTAGCTTTAAAACGCATTAAATATGACTCCTCCACACTGTTACTGCTATTACCAAACAAAATAGCAAAATCAGGCCAACCTCATAGTACATAATAAACAGTTTCTATGAGTTCATTAAAGTCAGGGAAAAAAAAATTGTGCTATTCAAACAGACATGCACTGTTCTCTCTGTGCAAACCAAAAGGTAAATAAATTTGCTGTTCTCTTCTAGAGCCAAGGAATATATAGCCATAATTCACAAGAAAAGATATAGTTGTGATATAGATGTACAAATCCCATTATAATATCCTCCATCAACACCTAAGAGTTACAGCAAAATCTACACCCTGTAATCCAAATGTGCCTTTCTGTACTTCCTTTTTTAAAAGCCTCAGCAAGAAATCACTTATAATGAATGCATTGCAATTTACCTGGAACGTAAAGTCAGAAAAATGCAATGTAGGACAGCAAGGATACAGTAGTTCAGCCTGCCTCCCTCTGAATCAATTAAAGTATTCTCAGCAACACATATGGAACGGTATTAAATAACCTTCACCGGCCTTTCGGTACCTGAGGATCTGTGAAACACAACTTAATACTGCACCCAATGGAGGTATTTCTTCTTTTATTGTAAGTTTTGCACTAAAACCTTTATTATTTATGTTTGGCAATCTAGTAAAACAATTATTGATAAAACCTCTGTAATCAATAGCCTCCTTACTGAAGAACCTGCACATAAGATGCCAGCGTTTACAATCGCAAAAATTCTGAGAAGTTTTGAAAGTGTTTCCAACATTCTGTCATTTATTACTGCTCTGTTTTCTCTAAATCATTGTGTTACTGTATGCGTGTAGGTGTACATAGGCTACAGAATGTCGGCGCATCTTGTGTTGGAGAGTTCCACAGTCTGGCCTTTGTTTTATAGTTGAAACGTTTATTTAAATATCCCCTGAATGTCTAGCCACATTCAAATACATTTATTCAACAGTATTGATCATTAATCTATGTGGCAGCGCATTTCACACTTTGTGTAGCTCAGCGTCTTGTTTGACTGCTGCTATCAAACTTGCTTTGCTCCACTGAGCAGATTTACATTTACAGAACTTCATAGGAAGTTATATACTTATGGAGAAATTAGAAAGATGCCATTTCCCTTTTTTCAATTTATGGTGTTAATAATAGTAACTTTCAGAACTCAAACTTCCTGCCCTGTTCAGGTCATTTATTGAAACTAATGTGCAAAAAAAAGGCCCCCAAAAGCATCATACTTATGCTTAGTCTCTGTTTGAAATATAACTTAAGCAGCATTATATGGAGGTATGAGGGACAAAAAATCCAGTTCCCTTCAGAGATACATTCATATACACCCCCACCCCCAATTCAATATTCAGTATTTTCCTCCATTTCCTCTGTAATATTTCCACACAAATTATATTTTGGGAAATTATTGATCAGTGCTTGCCAGAGATTGGCCAAAATAAAACAAACAAACAAACAAACAAAAAAGATTGCGTGTTTGGAGCAAAAACTGGTCGGTTCTGATTGATGGTTCCGGAGCATCTCTATCTGTCGTCACTGAATGTGAAACTGCTTTGCAATGGGACACAACCACAGCCAATCAGAGGATATATAATGTTTTAAAGGGTTAGTTCACCCAAAAATGAAAATTCTGTCAGTAATTACTCACCCTCATGTTGTTCCAACCCCGTAAGACCTTCGTTCATCTTCGGAACACGAATTAAGATATTTTTGATGAAATCTGAGAGCTGGATCACTCCTCCATACTAGTCCATAGGCTTCTTCAGGGATTGAACTTGCCGGCCTCGAAAAGTTATTAAAGACATCGTTAAAATAGTCCAAGTGACTACAGTGGCTCAATCTTAAGTTTATCAAGCGACGAGAATACTTTTTGTGCGCAAAAACAAACAAAAATAACGACTTTATTTCAACTATTCATTTCCTTCTCTTTGGGCCTCTAGTCAGTTAACGTAGTGTGATTCCGTAGAGCTACGTCACACGTAGGCTCACTATTGGCCGACGCTGGTCATGTGCGTGATGCGTGTGACGTACAACAACAGAAGCTTACGCTATTACACTAGTGAACTGACTCGAGGCCCACAGAGAAGGAAATGAATAGTTGAAATAAAGTCGTTATTTTTGTTTGTTTTTGCGCACAAAAAGTATTCTCGTCGCTTGATAAACTTAAGATTGAGCCACTGTAGTCACTTGGACTATTTTAACGATGTCTTTAATAACTTTTCGAGGCCGGCAAGTTCAATCCCTGAAGAAGCCTATGGACTAGTATGGAGGAGTGATCCAGCTCTCAGATTTCATCAAAAATATCTTAATTCGTGTTCCGAAGATGAACGAAGGTCTTACGGGGTTGGAACAACATGAGGGTGAGTAATTACTGACAGAATTTTCATTTTTGGGTGAACTAACCCTTTAAATGTACAGTCATGTGGGATTTTGCACCAATGAGATCTCACGATCATCGCGTCAGGGAAAATTAGAAAACAACATGAGAGAAGGAGAGAAACAAAGACCTGGAACTCCTCTCGAAGCTGTGAAGAGTTGCTCTGAGAATCCACCCGCAGCATCTCTTTGTAAGCCAGGGCAAACTCGTTCACAGGGATGGCCGTCTCCCCACACAGACACGCCTCCAGGATGGCATCATGAATGAATATGTACTGCTCCTGTAGAGAGAGAGAGAGAGAGAGCAAAGAAATAGCTACATACTTCCTGTGGTAGACTACATTTTGATTCAGACTTGACTGAAAGTGACGATGTCCGAGTGGGTGAGCCATTCGCTCTGTAATTACTCCATCCAGTTTGAGGCATTCATGTGGATTTACTGTTGTGTGCATGATTGGCAAGACATCAATGGATTAACGTGCATATAATCAGCCAGTCACAGTGACATAGAGGCACTGCTTCCTGTGATTTTTCACCTTTATTTCGAAATGAGCTCAAGCGAAGCCTCCCTCTGAAGCATTATCCACTGGTGTTGATGTTGGACAGTGTACTTTCAAAAAAACGTTTACAACCAATTGAATCTATTATTTGATACTATTTGCTTTGTTTCGGTTTTGTTCTGTGGATTATTTTATCATCTGAAGTTTTGCAGGAGGCCTTCACTGCCACCCTCGTCTCCTCTGAGAAAACGCCCTTGATAGATGAAGTGAGAAAAGATCAAAACAGGAACAAGTGGAATAGAAAAGAGAGGACTAGAGGAGAAAGAATGCATGAAAGATAAAGGACAATACCGATTAAATAGATGCCAGTAGCAGAATTTGTTTAACCTCCATGTTTGAACGCAAACAAAATTTGTGGCAGGTTTCAAAGTGGGACTGCGAGTGTATACACCGCTCTACGTAAACAAACACTTGCGGATGGATTTAATTAAAGCATCTGGTAAATAATTACTAATGTTTTAAACAGTCAAATGACTGTGGGATTTACATAATAAAGTTTGGATATGTAAATTTCGGAACATCTAAGCAAATGCACATGCCTCCGCACAGAGGACAGATGCAAGAGAGATTATTTTTCTTTTGCATTTCCCACCTATCCTTACACGATTCCAAAGCTAAACATTCTGAATATTCATAGCAACACCCACAGAGCTTATGACTTTGCAAATACAAGAGATGTAATTTGCTAAGTCTCCTGCCATGTCTGGGTACAGAGAGTTATGGGTAAACATGTGTGCGTCTGCACCTCTGTCTGGATCATGTTGATTCGACGAGAGCAGAGGGTCTTCACACAGTTGTAGATGTCCACCACTCCTTCACACTCGGCCATGTCCAGCATCACGTCCAGCACGATATAGCAGCCGGTCCTGCCCGCCCCCACACTGAAGAAGAAGAACGAAAGACAGAAAGTAAGATGTTTGTCAAAAATGATGACGTGGGACAGTGTTTTTTTCTTTGATTGGACATGAATCAAAAATCAAGCTGGTGAAGTTGAGGTAGTCCTGTTCGACCTGGCAGGATATCAACGTCAAAGTCCAAGGTAACAACAGTTGACAGTAAACACTAACAAAAAAAGTACCAAAAAATATTAAACCAGATCTTTAGACATGCCAATGTCATGTTTTTTGATCATGTAACATGATATTACCATGACATTCTTTTAGGTTCATTGGAGTATTTGAAAGAAAGACAGCACAAGCACACTTTTCAAGTAAAACATTTCACACACAAAAAATAAAAATAAAAAGTTTGTTTAGTTGTATACTACTATAACCCAATATATAGACTACCCTCTCAAAAGTTTGGGGTCAGTAAGATTTTTTTTTTTTTAAAGAAGAAATTAGTACTTTTATTAAAAAAATGTTGATCAAAAGTCAGTAAAGGCTTTCTATTCAACAAAAAATCCTGAAAAAGGCCATTTCCACAAAAAATAATAAGCAGCCAGCACAACTGTTTTCAACATTGATAATAATAAAAAATATTTCTTGAGCACCAAATCAGCATATTACAATGATTTTTGAAGAATGAAGACTGGAGCAATGATGCTGAAAATTCACCTTTACTATCACAGGAACGAATTACATTCATTGAAAATTGATTCAAATAGAAAACAGTTGTTTTAAATTGTAATACTATTTCGCAATATTATTGCTTTTACTGTATTTTTGATCAAATAAATGCAGCCTTGGTGATATTTTAAATGGTAGTGTATATTGTTCAAAATGAAGACACTTTCTGGTTGTCATACATTAGCAGTTAATGTGATGAAATAAGGAGCTCTATACCTGCAGTGGACCACCACAGGCCCTGCGTCGAGTGGCGTGGAGGTTTTGACCCGGCGAATGAAGGCTAGAAGACCTGTGGCGTGGTATGGGACTCCATGCTCAGGCCATGATGTAAAGTGAAACTGACACACTTCGTGTTTGGCGGAGTATCCCCTCTGAAAGACAAACATACTCCACACTTGTATCTAATATCATATGTAATTTAATATCATTTTATTTTTTTGCCATTTGCAAGCAGCCTGAACCCGAACTGCCCATATGAGCATCTTGGCTCAATGTGTCAGGCCATGTGCGCTAACCACCAGGCCACGGCTCCAACATATGCTTGTATGGTTTGTATCTTTAGGTTACGAGTAGTGGACATCACGGTCAAGCACCTTTTCATTGTGTGGCTCAAAAATCTGAGGGGACTCACTTCAAGAGTTTGTATACCTCGTGGCTCAAAGACACCTAAGAGAAACCCAGATGAATTAGCAATAGCAACAGTAAAATAAACACACAGCTCTGTGGTTCCACTCAGGGGAGGTTCGTATGTCTACTTGACAGGCCACTAAGAGACTTCCTATTACTGCATCCCAGTTGCTCGTCTGTTTGGATACACGCAAGTAGAGCTTCACCCAAAAGCCTGTCTGATGGTTACGTGGAGCTTTCCAGACCATTCGACAAACGCACAGAAGTACATCGTTCCACCCACAACCCGTGTTTGATTGACAGGGCCGAGGCAAGCACAAAACTCACATCAAAGGCTGTCGACGGAACTGCGCCTCCACAGGGCAGCAAAGAGGATGATAAGAGAAGACAGGGGGGTGAGGTGGAAGAGGTTAAATTCAGCTAATTTCAGTAAACGCACCCACATTTAGCCCATTGTATCACAGAGAGAGAGAGAGCGATAATGAGAGAGAGAGAAAGAGATGCTTTAGTTAATGTGCTTGCCATAAAAGCGTTCTGAGACGAGGCAGCTCTAATCCTCGAACAGACAGCTCTAGGTCTCTGCTGGGTATCAGGCGCTTCTCTCCATTTCAGTTAAAGGGCTGTCACTCCAAATTCTCCTCTAACACACACACAAAAAGAGTACACGCACACAATTCGCGTTCTACCCTAATCCTAGCAAGGAGCCAATCAGCATAGCAACACATATTATTAGAATGGCCAGGAATACTTGATTCTTCTGATTAGTCAATGATAGCATTCTTAAGGCCCGCTCACACCCAAGGATGGTAACTATAAAGATAACTATAACGAATAATTATATTAGCATCCACACCAATGGATGAGAATGCTATGTTTATCATAAGTGCACCGCAATTTTCTCATCTGCCACTTTAAATGCTCGAGCTCTTTAAAGCAGGATGGATTCTGATTGGCTGTCAATGTTTTTATCGTTCACCAGCTGTTAAAAAAATGTTTTGAATGGGATTCTAATGATTTAATTCCTCTGTGCCATTATCATTATAGTTGTGGAGTGGATTCTGCTTTTCTTTTAAACTTAGAATGATAGTTATCGTCATTGGTGTGAACAGGCCTTTAGGTCAAATAATTTGGTATAATGATCCTTAACTGTACAGATGATAAAAGAAAAAGTTTTCTGACATAGCTGTGCTAATTTCATGTCTCTCATATCATACGGCTCTTTCTTCTCATATAACAAAATTATTTCAAAATCAATCATTCATGTGCATTTATTTATTTGGTGTGCATGTGAGAGTGTAATAAGCAGGGTAATGTGGAGTAACGTGATACGAGATATGCAATGCGAGACCTGATCACCCTGTCTGTTTTCATTTCGCGATAACGGCCTGCTGACTGTACATTAATCCGTGCATGGCAGATCGCATCATATCAAATGGCAAAGCAAATCACACAAGCTTCTCTGAGAAATGAGAGCATGTTTGAGCCGTGGCTTAGAGGCTCTGACACACTGAGCTGCGGCGCTCATGCGGGAGATGCAACCTTTCTTTTCCCCATTATTTCCTGTCCTGTCTCTAGAGGAAAAGAAATGGCCTCGTACCCGCTCCAGGGCAAAAGTTCGCACTGTGTACTCCGCTAGAGTTTCCGTCTTCAGCAGCGTGATCTTTATGTCACCGTACATCTCTGACTCATCTGGCCAATACTTACAGCATTTCACCTGAAAGACAAACCCAACAAACTCAGGTTAGAAAACACCATGAAGCATGTCATTAAATAACTTTCATTATTCTTCCTTGTATGAGTATGAAAGTGTTTAAGACAACTTAGCGGATTAAAACTTCAGTAGCAATAACGGTATTAAAGTCAGAAAGTTTGATTCATTTTCATGTATCAGTTCAAACTGTCTGTTTACCATTGACCAAAGTGTTCAAAATATCTGCATGGCCTTTTTTCATATGTTAAAATGTTTTAATAAAAATATATGAAGGAAAATTAATTATTTGAATTAATTTAATGAAATACTACATAAAAAACAAACCTTGCTTCTTTTTTTTAAACTAGATTTGTAAGGTTTTACTTCTTGCATATACTTTAACACTTTGAATGCACTTGGCTAAAATAGATGTTTGTTAAAATTATTAACAATTATAATTAAATTAAATTATTAACAATCTGATTTACCTTAAGTCATTTCAGAGCAAATACATATGATATGCATATTGAATATTTTCAAAAGGATAAAAAAAAACATCTTAAAGAGTCTCTCCTTGTGTACTGTAAACTGGGGTTATTTCTGCATGCTTATTATCCTTACACAAACTGTTAAGATTTGCTGTCAGACCTAAGCCATCATCTATTTATCCCTGCTGTTCACAGCTTTTATCATAACGTGGGAAAGCGTATTCTTCATAATAGAGCCCCGATTTCATAAGAGGGCAGGGACGGGCCGTTAAGAGGACTGTTGTCAACAGACGCTGTCTCCGAAGCACTGAAGGGGCGATGCGGGTGTGGAGAGGAAAATGAAAGAGGAAATTATGTCGGAGGAAGAAATAGGGGTGGTTTAAAAAGGCTGGAACGAGTGGGACACAAAGCAAGGGAGCAGAACACATTACATGAGAGTGGGAATTATGATTGAACGAAAGATACTTCAAATCTTATTTTTAGTTGGCAGCAATACAGACATATATATTTGACAAAAGCATGTGATAATGGGACTGTACCGTGGTGATACCATGGTACAGTGAAGGTATCATATGATAATATCACTGTACTTTGATATATACCTTATTGCCTGCACTAACAAAAAGTAAGTATCATGACATACCTTGGATTTTTGGACCTGTATAATTATTTTCAGATATTAAAATACTACACCATTTTGTCTAAAAACTGAAAAGTAAAATCAATAAATTTAAATGCTAAGTGAATTTAGGCATTAATAGATCATTAATAGATTTGAGATTATATTTAATTTATTAGGTTAACATTAAGTGAGTGTCAGATGAAGTGCATGTTCTAAATGTAAAAATAGTGAAAATAAGCATGCACAATGGAATATCCTAAATCAACCATTTCAATAAATAAATAAAAAACAATAACTCAGAAACCAGCTGATATGTGTATATAGTACCAATATATGCATAAGTGCTTCTCTACATGACACTGTAAATTTGACAGAACATGAATATGGTAATCATTCAATACCATTGTATATATTATAGCGATATGGTAATATCATAACTGAACCATACATAGATGATTATCATATTCATATAGCATGGTATTTAGATGATACTCCAAGGTACTTCAAATGTCCAAAAAACCCAATATTTCTATGGTACAGTGTTAAATGGTCATTCTTGTGCATAAAGTAATAATCAAATATAAAACATAATAATTCCAAACATAGTCCACTGATGGCTGATGAATGGGAAGTGATGTTAAAAACAATTTACATAAGTTCAAGCACACATAAAAGTCACAGACCCACAAATACACAAACATTTGGAAGTGATGGTCGAATGAATTGTGTAGGGTTGTTGTGAACGGGGAGTGTCTTTAGTTCATGGGTTAGTGTGCAGATGAGGAAGGATCTAGAACATACCCTGCCCACCTCCACTAGCTTGGTGATCATGACGATACTAAAGCAGTTCTCTTGCCAAACCATCCTCCAAAAATCATACACTGTCTCCTGCTTGGGCCCTGCAAACAAACAGACAAACACACATATACACACATTCAATCAAATGGCAGCCAATGCTCCAGACAGCGGGTTTAATTTACCAAGTGTCATTGCATGTTATAAGGCAGTTCAGTAATCCAGAGCCTCACAGAGAGTAATTCAATAGCAGACATTTCTGGCGAATAGAACCGTTTTTTTAACCCCAGCAGGAAGTGGCTCTCTGATAGAAAAAGCTAATTTCTCTCATCAATTGAGTCTGCCTCGAAATTCAATAAGGGGGAAAGACAGACAAACCACAAACATGTATAATGATTTATTTATGGGAGATCTGAAACGATCAGAGAAGGTGACCTTGAATGAGCTGAGAAAGGAATAGGGGACGGTTTATGTCTGGTATTTCTCTCACATTCACACACAGTTTTTTTTCTGTCACGGTGGGGTACTTTCCATTGACTTCTATTGTTTTTAAACTGAGCTACAGAAAGTTTTCTGCCTGGTGAGGTTTTAAAGTGCTTCTATTATGGTTTTTTGAATATTACCTTTCAAATTATTGCCTCCTAAAAAAATTATTGATTTCGAACTGCCGAAAAGAGTTGTCAACAATTCCAGCCTCGCTTCTGTAAAATATCTATGCATAATACCAGCCCATGGTCTTCATTGGCTGCCTGTGAACAACGTCTACTTGGTACTTTAACCCGCCCTCAAACATTTTAGTGTTGTCGACATGTCGAGAAGAAGCGGTTTTCCGCACACTGAGAATGAGGAATCATGGGCCTTTCACACAGGACGCGGAATGCGGGGTGCTGGCCGTTGGGTTCAGCGTTGCTCATCATCAGATCAATGTGATTTGCGCTGCGCTATGCCAGAGCAAAGTAGGCGGAGTTTTCAAAAACTTTAAGCGGGAGATCTATACGTCAGTATAATAACGTTACTTATTTTGATTGTTGTTCCTCTTTGAACATAGCTTTTCTGACGATGTCCCTATACGACCTCAAACTTGTATCGTACAGCTCAGGAAATTCCAACACACACATTCATACAGTTCAGAAGTTCACTGAACTTCATAGAGTTCAGCTCACTTAGCACGTCGTTCGTGGTTTGATTAGTCGAGACTGTTTTCCAAAGATGGCTCTTGTCTGTATACACGAAGTGGACTGTCTTTATCGTTATCTTCTTATTAAACGGTCTTTACACTTACAAAGTTCTCAATGCTTCGTTTTGCATGTAGGGACCCTCATTATGTTACTGTGTTCGTGTGGGGCTATTTTGAGCCTTGTTAGTGGTATTAACTAGCGATTTCTTTTTACTTATTAAATGCCCCCATTACTAGCGTTATACGCTAAACAGTTTTTAGAGATAAAACTCTTTACATTCGATTATCATGAAAACAAATCTCAGAGATCGGTTGACTAGGTACCAATGTTTTTTAGACCAAAGGTTCATTTTGCGCCGGAGTTCTCCTTGCTTTAATCCTTTACAGAGCCATTTCAGGCACTGTGAGAAAAGAGTATATTATGAGAAAATGTTTTTTATTTTATTTTTTTACAAAATTATAAATGTTAAAATACCATAATAGGGGCACTTTAAGTATTACATTATTATGTTTATGAAGCCCAAATTAGGTGATTTAATCTTTTACTATCTTTGTATGGACATTTGGTTACCACAGTATAGGCAAACTGCCTTTTCTTGTTTTAAATATAAATATAACAAAATAGAGAGATGTTTATGGTTAAAGCAAGAGAAAAAATTGCCATAAGGTAACAATAAATAAATAAAAAAGGCATTTTATCCAGAAAAAGACCACAATATTTTATGAAAATGATTGCAGTGAACACAATCTGAGACTCCTCTCCACCCAAGGTCCTGTAGTCATTGTGCTGGTGGTTTGGGAAAGAAGACAGCAGGTGGTAATCCCGACTTTGCTGCAGCATCTCTATTCACACACCTCTATAATTTCCTGGATCAGAACTCATTAGATTCCATCTGGAAAGATCTCTGTGTTCTCAAGGTGTCAGTCTCTCTCACACACAAACCCAAAGGCTCAGACTGAAGAGAGAAAAGAGGCTCTCCCTCTTGGGAATGAACACTCCCAGACAGAACCAAATCAACACACACCCACACACAACACACACAACACACACACACACACACACACACACACACACACACACACACACACATACACATACACATACACACACACACACACACACACACACACACACACACACACACACACACACACACACACACACACACACACACAAGTCCTGTCCAGACAAAGATACTCACCCTGAGTGGCGATGAAGTGGTTGGATCGATGGTAACCCTAAAAGAAAGAGAGAGAGGTGACGTGCTAGAAACTTCCAGGCAGGTGTGTTGAGGCAAGTTGGAACTAAACTCTGTAGGACAGTGGTTCTCCAGAACCGGGTTTGGACACCCCTGATCTATTTAGGCTACTAACGACTAATGACTGCAATCTTCATCTTACGTAGGTGTGCATGATTTTAAATTAGGACCATCAATAGATTAAAAAACATTCATCTAGATTAATCGAATTTTAGTTTGGTTCCATTAAATATTATCATGTAAAATGCATTAACATAATTAAAAAAGCAGATGTATTAAGCATGTTAAATTAATTTCATATGTTAAAACATGAACTTTAACAGTCCAATAGTGAATATTTCTCTACTATATACTACTAGTACTATTCATTTCTTTAGGGGTAAACATATTTTAATAAGGAAAAAAAATACTGATTGCATCTTTAAGCTACAGTCAAGATTTGTAAGGAATCGACACTGAAGAGATTTAAAAAGGCATTTTATCTGTAATTAAATAATTATATTATATGATAATATAATATATTTATTTTATATTATAATATGATTATATTATATTATATTGTTTTTTTTAGCCTGGAACATAAAATAAGAATCTAAATCAGGATGACAGAAACTCTAAACACATAAATCTAAACCACAACTAAACAAATAAACCACTGAAATTAATGGTTCATTAATTCAAATGAACTGATTTGCTAAAATGAATCTGACCTCCCAACACTACTCAAGAATTTCTAAGGAGAGTGTGTTTAAATTTTGACAACAACTCACTGACATCTAAGTCAATTTTGGGGGACTTGGGGGGAAAAGCTACTTTATTCCGAAAACTGAAAGCAAACGAAAAAATGCAGTCAAGTTAGTAGTGTAGCTACTAGCTAGTGTGTTTGTAGACTTAGTTGAATTAATAGTGTTGGAGAGTAACAAAGAACAAACAAACAAAAAGGCTTCTGCAACAAAAGTAATAGTCATTTGCCCAAACATAAAACTCATCATGAGGACATCAGCTCCCAACACAATTCCTCCATCAGCTCATGTTTGGAATGAACAGGGAGAAAGAAACTCTAGGAACATCTCAAAACATGCAATTTATTCATCAAAGCTAAGCCTTTTCAAAGAACTACCTGGGGATGCTCCCAAAAACTGGATCTGTTTTCATTAAACAGACGTTAGCGGAATAATAGAGACATGTTCTTTATTGTTGCTGAGCATTTGCTGCTCCATTTAGAACACTGCAGACGCCTACTACATTTTAGATTGGGCCAAGCTATTTCCTGAACACTGTACAAACAAACATAGAAACAGACACACAGTAGATGGAAAAACAAATGGTGGGGGATGTTTGTTCCACATAGAAAGGATTCATCACTCTATGAGGTTTACAGGGGATGCAGGGAAAAACATTTGGAAGATAACTGTGGTCCAAAAGAGCTTTGTCCTGCTGATTCATAAAGTAGTAGCATGGTTTTCTATTACTTACTCAAGGGGGTTTCAAACATTTGTAATGCCAGGGACCCCAAATACGAAGACCTCCTTGTCAAAGACTCCCCATAAAGGCAGCTATCTATAAAGATTCATTTATACTGTGTGAGCTTGCAGTTAATCTCATCATTTCCAACCTTAGAACGTAGAATGAAGTATTACATTTTGCAAATGTGTTAAAAAGGTGTAATTAACAAGTAAATAAAATCCTAAACGCCGTACCTCGGAGCATCGCTTTTATTCACAACAAATTAAACACAGCAAATACTATAGTCGTATGCATGTCTTCATATAAATCTCCAAATCTAAGACAACCATGACCCAAGAGCACAGGTCAGGCATATAGGCCTTAAAAATAAATAAACGAAGGTGCAGTACATTCCGCAGCAGTGCAACAGGATTTATAGCGCACTAACAGTAACCGTCCCGCTGGAGAAAATGCGAGGTACGTGTCTTGCTCAAGGACACATAGCGATAGGGAATCTCAGTAATGATTCAGTTCACAGGTCGCCCTATCTGCCATCAAATTCGTGATGATCATATCACAAGGCCAAAGCTGCAACAAACCACTGTGGCTGAAATGCAGCTTTAATACGATTTATCAAGATGATGATACATCGTGCCTAAAGTTATATATTTAATGGTTGATTTGAAAATAGAAGGAAAGTTTACAGGACACAGAAGCTCATTAAAGGGAGAAAAACAAACAAACACAAATAATAAAAAGGGCTTCACACACACAACACTTTACAACACTTAGCAACTTAAAACTCTGAAATAACGCTATTAATGCACTGCATAAAAAGCTCAAGAGATCAAAATGCTTTCTCCAAAGGTCTCTGTGACTGATAATATTTTATAATTTTCCGAAAAAAACGAATTATCTTTTAAGTGTTACATATGTATAATAAACTCTGATTTATATTCTCATATGTTCATATTAAAAAATGCACAGCTACTCATCTGTTGTTTAATAATTACATAATTTTATTTATAAAAGTTATTTATGAAGTGTCACCCTGCTCTTTTTCATACATATGTCATCAGTAATAAGAGCTCTGCTGAAAAGAATAATAATAAAACACTGGCTTAAACCAGCCTCAGGTGGTTTGCTGGTCTTAACTGGTTCGATCTGGTCTAGCTGGTCTCCCAGCCTGCCAAGTTGGTGTTTAGCAGAGTGGTCAGATGGTCTTCTAGACAACAAGCTGACAAGTGCCACAAAATCTTCTAAAAACCAGCAAACCTGCTTTTTTGTTTAATTTGAAAGGTGAAATCTATTTGAGTATGGGGTGCGTGTCTATTCTTCTAAACTTTTGACTTCCTGTCAGTCACTAACATATTTTGTCTTTAACTTTAACTTTGATTTACTAAAGTTGAGTCTGCTAAAGTTCAGGTGCAGTTCAGTAGTCTCTCAAGCTTTGATGGCCAAACCAAATCTGGATTTAAAGGGGTTTTGGGCACTTTTCAACTGGTCAGGTTGGGAGACTGACCTCCACCTGAGCACCAGCTAAGGCAAGGCAAGGCAAGGCAAGGCAAGGCAACCTTAAACCAGCAAAGACCAGCAACCTCCTTAGGCTGGTTTAGGTTTTTCCCCCCAGCAACTATCCTAGACTAACCCCCTGACCTCTGACCCCTCTCGCCACCTGTGTTTTTGAAAAAGAGCGGAAGAGAAAATGCGAAAAGATGATTTTTTTGTTCTAAAGTGAAACTGAAAACTAGGTAACCGTGAGAAATAAATCACAGAAATGTAACAGATGGAACCTGAAAGTTTTATGCTTTCACTTTTATGGACGAATATAAAGGAGAACTGTGTGTCACGGAGCCACTCTTCCTCATGTTTAAGTAATCCAAACAGAGCAATGCCATGACACAAAAAAAGAGATCTATGGGGGGCACAGAGGGAAAGAAAAGAAAGAGCAGCGAAGTACTTACTTCCCTGTTTATCCGAATCTACAGGGTCCAAAGTCGAAGAGGTGGGGAAGGGGGGTAGAAAAAGACAAGACAGACTCTAGTTAATGAGAGGCTGAAAAGAGCTAGAGGATTAACAGATCACAGACAGAAAGAGAGAGAATCAGAGGAAGAAAGAAAGAGAGACTTGTATTAGCTGGCTAAGCTCCACGCCAGGGGAAAGACACTTAAAATGAAGGCATACATTTTGGATGTGAAGGTGGGCAAATCTTTGCAGACTAACCTTAAAGTGTGATGTGTGTTATTTCTGTTCCTCAAGCGCCATCAAAAATAATCGAAAAAATTATAAATTGCTTTCGAAAAGGCTTCCTGAACACTCCCTCCCTCTCCCATTGGCTGGACAAACTGATAGCCACGCCCCCAAACTCACTCCAGTGGTTGAATCAGTGTTGCTATGTGGGACTGGTTGAAATGTTCAAACAACAGAATGTTTTGAAATTGTCTTTACACTTCTCAGGGAAATTAAACAAATGGCTAGGCTTTTAGGCTAGGAGTGTATTTTAACATAGAGAAAAATACACACTTCTCCTTTAAATTGCTCATTTATTCTTGTGTAAGCTAGTTCCTTTATTGGGTTGATTCAAGAGATATTCAAAAAGAACGGACAGAAATGAAAAGGAGTAAACACATTAAACAACAGAGCTGCACTCACTTTAATATGTTCCCTAATAGCCTCTACTTACTGCCAGTTTACAAAAACACTAAAAGAAGCATCCTTTCATTATGGTCTTTTCTTGACTTTTTTGTGCTTTTCTACTCAAGGCCAAAATAAAATGGGACAAAAAAATCAATTCTTGTTAAATTGGCCTTCTTGTATAAACTGGTTTATACTGAAACACTGGAATTCCAAGGTATTTCAAGATTAATTGATATTATGGCCAATCATGAAAGATTTGGAGGAGAAAAATAACAAAATATATAATTACATCTATGTGTCTTGACTCGTGGCTATTCATTCTCTTCCAATTTCTTTCAAATCACTCAATGCAACACATACGTACAGCATTCCTTTCGGGATAAACAACATAATCCAGCAAATCACTTGCTATATCTAAGGTCCAAACAGTCAAGGTGAGGAAATCGCAAGGATTTAGAGTGAGTTTTGATCCAAAAACTTTTTAAATCGCTTTAAAGCGATAAGTTCACCCAAAACTGAAAAGGTATTCAATAGTCATAATTTTCTCATTTTCAAAATTCATCAAAAAAAATTCCCACAGAAGAGAGTTGTACAGGTTTGGAGCGGAAATGATAATGGAATTTTCATTTATGGGTGAATTATCGGTTTAAGCTAATAAGTGGAGAGGGTCCCATGAAGAGAGGGTGGTCATTTCCAACCTGGTGCATTCTGGGCCAGCTCTGAAAAGCAGGTTTAAAGAGGGCAATGTTTCAGCTGGTATGGCTGACCATCTGTGTCCACCTGCCTCTTTATTAAAGGGGAAACCTGACACAAAGTGACCCTAAAACACTTTGCCACACATGTTAGTAGGCTACGCTTCATATCTGACCACATTCTCTCCAAAAATCTTTTGGGAGGTCAGATACACAAGGACAAAAATAACAAGCTACCAAGCCTCACCCACCACAAAAAGGCCTAAAAAGTTTTCTTATCAAACCTGATATGATGATATGCCACATATGGTGAGAGTGTCCACAGATATTGAATAAAGTCCAGGGGAGCTACATAATAACAGAAACAGTGTGAATGTTTGTGAGTCTGGCTGAAGAGAGTATGTGACTGCTGACTTACATCGATGTAATTGGCGTTGATATAGTCGGAGTTGGGATCACCGAGCAGCGGGTGCAATTTCACCCTGTGACGGTCATCTGAAACACAAACACAATCACATGAGCTCACTTTGGGGTCAAGTCACTAAACAGCTGCATTACTTTTGTGCAGTAAACAAGTCTCCTTTCAATGCAAATTAGGTTTATTACAGGGAATTTGTTGGCATGTTAAAGCTGTTATCTGATTAACAAATTTCCTTTAGTAAACTGGGTCCTATAACATCACAGATAGAATGTGCAATGCCATACAAACTGAAAAATTCTAAAAGGCATTACTCTTCAATCATCATATTTTTTATAAGCATGCAAAGACTGAAAAAATGGACTCACAACCCATCAGGGTATCGTTTCTTCCCTTAGTTTTATCCTTCTTCTTATTGATATCCCAGCCATCAAAGAAGCTCTACAAATAAATAATCAAATAAAAAGAAAGAGAGAGAAAGATCATTTCTGTTAGTTGTGAGAGATAATCACAGTATTCTTAGATTTTGTTTGAAATACATTTTATTAAAAGAAAAAATTTGACATAAATAGCATTTAGACCAGAGAGACTGGATTGCTTTGCAGCCCCCCCCCCCCAAAAGTATTTTCTCATATTACATTAAGCTAAATTAAATACAATTTCACTTTCACGAAGGATAAATATGATTTCATGGTTCTGTTGAACATAAAAGGAGGTCATTTGAAAGAATTTTTATGTTAACACTTGATTTATTATGTGCAACTGCATATATTACTGAAAAGAGATGAAAATATTACATTACACAGTGGACGGCAGGTACGAGAAAACGGAATGTTGAATCGGTAGACCAAAACATTTCTAAATGAATTGATTTGCATCCTCATCTTGTTTCAGATTCTCAGATGCCTCCAAACCCTGACCATCAAATCTGGCATGCAATGAAATATAAATGTGAATAGAAGCAACATTTTTACATCAAACTAGGTTTACTAGGTGTAAGCACTTCTAAAATGGGACAGAAATGTATATATATGTTTGGGAAAGTTAGTTTTAAAAGTAATGCATTACATTACTTTTGCGTTACTTTTTCTTACCTGGGCTTGCTGTTTTTTTTTAAATAAAAAAGTTCTATTTTGGCAAATATAAAGGCAGTTTTACACCAAAAGTGAAATGAATAAGCCTCAGGCTGAAGGAAATGCAAATTCAAACCTGTGATGTTTATACATTCACCTAAAGGATTATTAGGAACAGCATACTAATACTGTGTTTGACCTCCTTTCGCCTTCAGAACTAACTTAATTCTACGTGGCATTGATTCAACAAGGTGCTGAAAGCATTCTTTAGAAATGTTGGCCCATATTGATAGGATAGCATCTTGCAGTTGATGGAGATTTGTGGGATGCATATCCAGGGCATGAAGCTCCCGTTCCACCACATCCCAAAGATGCTCTATTGAGTTGAGATCTGGTGACTGTGGGGGCCATTTTAGTACAGTGAATTCATTGTCATGTTCAAGAAACCAATTTGAAATGATTTGAGCTTTGTGACATGGTGCATTATCCTGCTGGAAGTAGCCATCAGAGGATGGGTAGATGGTGGCCATTAAGGGATGGACATGGTCAGAAACAATGCTCAGGTAGGCCGTGGCATTTAAACGATGCCCAATTGGCACTAAGGGGCCTAAAGTGTGCCAAGAAAACATCCCCCACACCATTACACCACCACCACCAGCCTGCACAGTGGTAACAAGGCATGATGGATCCATGTTCTCATTCTGTTTACGCCAAATTCTGACTCTACCATCTGAATGTCTCAACAGAAATCGAGACTCATCAGACCAGGCAACATTTTTCCAGTCTTCAACTGTCCAATTTTGGTGAGCTCTTGCAAATTGTAGCCTCTTTTTCCTATTTGTAGTGGAGATGAGTGGTACCCGGTGGGGTCTTCTGCTGTTGTAGCCCATCTGCCTCAAGGTTGTGCGTGTTGTGGCTTCACAAATGCTTTGCTGCATACCTCGGTTGTAACAAGTGGTTATTTCAGTCAAAGTTGCTCTTCTATCAGCTTGAATCAGTCGGCCCATTCTCCTCTGACCTCTAGCATCAACAAGGCATTTTCGCCCACAGGACTGCCGCATACTGGATGTTTTTCCCTTTTCACACCATTCTTTGTAAACCCTAGAAATGGTTGTGCATGAAAATCCCAGTAACTGAGCAGATTGTGAAATACTCAGACCGGCCCGTCTGGCACCAACAACCATACCACGCTCAAAATTGCTTAAATCACCTTTCTTTCCCATTCTGACATTCAGTTTGGAGTTCAGGAGATTGTCTTGACCAGGACCACACCCCTAAATGCATTGAAGCAACTGCCATGTGATTGGTTGATTAGATAATTGCATTAATGAGAAATTGAACAGGTGTTCCTAATAATCATTTTGGTGAGTGTATAGTAATTGTTGCTTATTAGTATGGTTGAATTGGTTCATCAAAGGTCAACAGCAAAGACATTGCTTAATAAAGTGAGATTAATTGCAGGTTTGCATTTCACTTTTTATTCATTTCGAGGAATTAATCTGTTTTTGTGGAAATGAGATGAGTAAATGCACGCTCATTTAGTCTAAAACTACAATAACCATCAGGTTTACACAGCGCACACAACAAAACTGCACTTCGATTTCTCTCAACATGGGGACAGGAGACCTGTCAGTCAAGAAAACAAAGTAACTGGCGTTACTTATTTGAAAAAGTAACTCAGATATTTTTTGTAAATTTCAAAGTAATGCATTCAATTACTAGTTACTTGAAAAAAGTCATCTGACTACATACAGTAACTCGCATTACTTGTAATGCGTTACCTCACACACTGTACACACACACACACGTGTGTGTGTGTGATTCTACACAGTGACCTCAAAAACACAGAGAATGTCTTTGCATTACAAAAATGCCACTTGATATATTTTCAGGAAATACAACACAGGCACAATGTTTCAAGCAAACCATTTCTATGTATACTGTATATATATATATATTAAGATTCACATTATAAAACAATACATATATTGTTGAAAATTAAGCCAAAAATGTATTTAAATCTCCTAGGCCAAAAAACCCCCGGAAAAACTTTTTTTTTTGCACTTTGCTTGTAGGACAGACCTCTACTCTCATTTTTCCACTCTATCTAAACTAAAGATCCTGTCAATAAGCACTGATCAATGGACTGTACTTGTGGTCCGTGGGGAAATAAAGCTTATGAAACCCAGCCGGTAAATTTGTGTTCCCTCTCAAACTCTGTGTCTCTTCTTTTCTGCTTATGAAGCACAAAGACACTGACCTCAAACACACACACACACACACACACACACACACACACACAGTGTCACTATGTCCAGGAGAGTGCGTATTGATTTTTGAGCTGAATCTGTTTCACACTGAGGGGAGAGTTTAATGAGTCCACAAGCTGAGCTCTAGAGAGGCAGGCCAGTGGCAGAACTCTGATTGCGTGGAGAGATGTTTTGTCTCGTAGCTCTGTGGACAACAACAGTTAGAGGAGAGTCAACAGTTCACAAGAGTGTTACGCCGAGAGAAGATGCTCAAGCCGCATTCTGAGGAGAGAAAATTAGCTACGGAGGAAGGGATAGAGGGAGGAAAAGAGATAGCAGTGTATGTGCTCTTTGTGCAGTAATGATGAGGGGCTATATGACCTCTACTTTCATCTCAATAACTGCTCCTCTATAGTCCATGGGGGAGAGATGCGAACCTATCCGTGAAGAATGACTCAAACTTGCTTTTACATACCGTTCTGAAAGTTAGCTAAGCCACAGTTGTGCTATGTAATGTATAATGCATCAAGGTTCTTTGTGAACTGCTCATTTACAACATATACTCACCACTTTACGTCAGTTTTGTTTTTGTAAAATGGAAATATAACATGAAAAACAAGTAACAAATATGTTAAAGTAAACAAAAAATAGTAAAATTAAAACAAATAAAAATAAATTAAAGCTATATAGAAATATAATATATAAAAAAACTGATAAAAATGACAAAAGCACATAACAAAATTACTTAAAATAAAATAAAAATGAAAACTGAAAATATAAAAATAAAAGCTAATTCAAATGATAAATAGATTCGATGCAGAGGTTTGTTTTTAAAGGCCTGCAGATGGTGAGTTCTGGAGGCTGGAGATCTCCCAGACATCTGTTTGCACCGACAGCTTCCTCCACTAAGAAAATGGCAGCGCCCAGATAGACCGCACTGTAAGCAACACTAAAGCCCGAGCATATTTAAATAAATCAGAAAACCTGTAGTGGCAGCTGTGAAAGATTTATATGATTCTGACAGAAACCTCTTGCTCAACCGTTTTCAAAGATATGCTATCAAAGCCTAACTAGCCCGATAGATGTGGTGGTTTCCTCTGAAATAAAACTCAAAACCAGCGGGGTCAAACTGCTATTTAAGCATTTTTTAAACAACAGGTACACTACAAGGAACAGTTACTCCAATAACTCAATATTTTAAATCAATGATTGTAAAGATACTTCTGGACAGAGATGGGCAGTATTTTAATTACATGTATTTGAAATACGTATTTAATTACTTTTGAGTATTTTGTAATTTGTATTTTCCTTAACAAAAATAAATGAAATGTAATTTGTAATTAAATACTTAGAGAGACTGTAATTTGTATTTAAAATACTTATTTAAATATATCATTTTATTTCACATATATTAACTTTCATCACCAGACTTAAAGGGATAGTTCACCCAATAATGAAAATTACACCTAACCCACCCTGAAGCCATAGGTGTATACTGTATGAGATTCTTCTCAAAACAGTCACGAATTAGAAGTCTAAAACGACAATTTTTAAAGAGAAATGTCGGAGGAGCTTGAGTTTGTTGCCCAGCCCTGTTTGTTAAAGCTTACGCTACTCCTACATCCTACGTCATACATGCGCCACTGGTTACTTTTGTGGCGCAAGTCGACTTGCGTGGGCTGTCTGCCGGAAGATAGTTATTTTAGTTGATAAAGTTGTAAATATGGATATTTTTCTTACACGAACGCATCGGTTCGCTTCAGAAGGCCTTTATTAACCCCCGGAGCCGTGTGAAACACTTTTATGATGGATAGGCGCACTTTTATGATGGATAGAGGCGCTTTGATGGACTTCCAAAAATATACAGCCATTCACTGCCATTATAAAGCTTGGAAGAGCCAGGACATTTTTTTATTATATTTTTTTGTATTCGTCTGAAAGAAGAATGTCATTTACACCAAGGATGGCTTGAGGGTGAGTAAATCATGGGCTAATTTTCATTTTTCGGTGAACTATCCTTAGGACCATAGACATAAAATACAGATAGGACTAACAAATTGCCCTTCACAGTTTTTGGCAAGAAAATCACGTAATGTGACATCCTATTGACCCTGTTCACATTTCCGGGTTTCTCAGAAGTGGAAGGCGTCATAGTTGGGTTAACTTCTATAGCAGTGAATGAGAGACTACATTAAATATATTTTTTGTGTTCCCATTTGCTCAAATAGCAAAAGAAAAACCCCACAGCAGTGTTTTCACAATTTTCAAAAAGAGTAAAAAAATAGATAGATTGATAATGGCAGTCGGAAGAGAGAAAGATGTCAACTTTGTCACAGACGGGGTATTAGAAACACCCTCACAGCAGCGTTAACTAGTTTTTGTGTAATATTATACAAATACAGTCACTTAAAGGATTATTAGGAACACCATACTAATACTGTGTTTGACCCCCTTTCGCCTTCAGAACTGCCTTAATTCTACGTGGCATTGATTCAACAAGGTGCTGAAAGCATTCTTTAGAAATGTTGGCCCATATTGATAGGATAGCATCTTGCAGTTGATGGAGATTTGTGGGATGGACATCCAGGGCAAACCAATTTGAAATGATTCGAGCTTTGTGACATGGTGCATTATCCTGCTGGAAGTAGCCATCAGAGGATGGGTACATGGTGGCCATAAAGGGATGGACATGGTCAGAAACAATGCTCAGATAGGCCGTGGCATTTAAACGATGCCCAATTGGCACTAAGGGGCCTAAAGTGTGCCAAGAAAACATCCCCCACACCATTACACCACCACCACCAGCCTGCACAGTGGTAACAAGGCATGATGGATCCATGTTCTCATTCTGTTTACGCCAAATTCTGACTCTACCATCTGAATGTCTCAACAGAAATCGAGACTCATCAGACCAGGCAACATTTTTCCAGTCTTCAACTGTCCAATTTTGGTGAGCTGTGGTGGAGATGAGTGGTACCCGATGGGGTCTTCTGCTGTTGTAGCCCATCCGCCTCAAGGTTGTGCGTGTTGTGGCTTCACAAATGCTTTGCTGCATACCTCGGTTGTAACTAGTGGTTATTTCAGTCAAAGTTGCTCTTCTATCAGCTTGAATCAGTCAGCCCATTCTCCTCTGACCTCTAGCATCAACAAGGCATTTTCGCCCACAGGACTGCCGCATACTGGATGTTTTTCCCTTTTCACACCATTCTTTGTAAACCCTAGAAATGGTTGTGCGTGAAAATCCCAGTAACTGAGCAGATTGTGAAATACTCAGACCGGCCCGTCTGGCACCAACAACCATGCCACGCTCAAAATGGCTTAAATCATCTTTCTTTCCCATTCTGACATTCAGTTTGGAGTTCAGGAGATGGTCTTGACCAGGACCACACCCCTAAATGCATTGAAGCAACTGCCATGTGATTGGTTGATTAGATAACTGCATTAACCCTCTGGGGACCAAGAACGCGCCCGCGCGTTTTGCTGGTTTTTTTTCACATAGCAGCAACATAGACTTAAAATACTCCGTCATTTATGGTCATATAAATAAAATCAATACATGATTATAAACTATAGAGGGTCTTCTTTTTTTGTGTACACTCACATTAACATCAAAACCTTGTGTTTTTTTTAAAATAAATAAAATAAACAGGGTGCGCTTTCAGCTCACTCTGTCTCCGCAAAAATCTTTCTGAAACATGTCTGGAAAATGAACGGAAACTCCGCTAATACTTATCACACAAACATGAAACATACGTCTAAAGAACGCTTTAAATTTCTACTTTTAAATAAAACAATTCACATTTAAAACAAATATTCTCCTGGAATGTAATCTGTCTGAAACTAAAGAGAAGTACAGTTTCTCCTGTCTCAGCTCATTATCGTTAATTTGTTCACACCCACTCGCAGAGCGCGCTATTCATAAGATAATGTGTTGAGGCCATTTGCAAAATAGATAAACGCCCCCAGGCAAATGCTGTAAACACACAATATTTTTTAGTCAGATTAAGATTCGTCTTGCGCGGCTATGAGGAATAATCCTGGGACATTTACCACAGAAGGGCTGGCTTATTTTCACTTCGAGGAGGAGCAACAGATTCAGCTGAGAAGTGTAAGTGTTTTGTGCTTTGTTCTAATCGCGATATAGAATAACGTTAGTGTCTGTAAACGGAAAAATAGCATACCCTACTGTTTAAATGTGAATTATGTTTCTCTCTCTGTGTGTGTGTTTGTGTGTGTGTGTGTGTGTGTGTGTGTGTGAATGAATGAATGAACGCACAGATACGCACTGTTACAGATGAAATAAAAGAACATTTCTTTGACTAGTTTTGGATAAAGTTTTTCAAATCAAATAAGCATCAAATAAGCTTCAAAATAAAGACATCAAATAAGCTTATGTTTTGTCAATAAACTTATCAACTAAGATGTTTGTTCCAATGCAAGCTATATCAAAATAATGAATCCTCAACTTTGAAATATGTATGATCAAACTAAGACATTTATGGAAAAAGACTATTTTCTTTTCAAGATGTTTCCAACTCTAACTTTGAACTGAAATAAAACCATGTCTATATGGTGAAGGGTGTGTGATAGAAGTGTCCAGAGTATGCACCCTGTATTTTAAAGAAGAACATTTAATTATTTGCGATACATTATTCATTCACAAAGAATTCAGGGACATTATTCATTTCCCTAAAGGTTAGAGTTTTCCTCATTTTTTAAATTAAGGCATTAAGATTTTTTATTCCTCTTCTTAGTCAACTTTAGCATGGGTGTTTTCACTTATTCTAAGCAGTGTGTGTGTGTGTATATACACTACCGTTCAAAAGTTTGGGGTCAGTGAGAATTTTATTTTTATTTTTTGGAGGAAAGAAATCAATACTTTTATTTATCAAGGAATAATTAATTTGATCGAAAGTGACAGTAAAGACATTTATAATGTTACAAAAGTCTTTTGAACTTCCTATTCATCAAAGAATCCTAAAAAAAAAAAAAAAAAAACTGTACAACTGACAGACCAACAACTGTTTCAACATTGATAATAATAATAAATGTTTCTTGAGCATCAAATCCTCATATTATACTGATTTGTGAAGGATCATTTGACACTGAAGACACTGACACTGGTGATGCTGAAAATTCAGCTTTGATCGCAGGAATAAATTACACTTTACTATATATTCACACAGAAAACAGCTGATTTACACTGGAATAATATTTAATACTATAACCGATTTTTGTTGTATTTTTAATCAAATAAGCGCAGCCATGGTTAGCAGAAGAGAATTCTTTTAAAAGTATTTAAAATCGTACCGACCCCAAACTTTTGAACGGTAGTGTATATATAATTAAAAAGCCATTTTAACCAGAAACCAGTCCTTTGTTGTGTATCTTTGGATTATGTTGTGTTGTAAATAAATCCAAACAATCTAAAAGCCATTCTTTTTTAAATCTCCTCATTCTTTGTGCAAGGCTCCTCATAAGGGCCTAATAGCACCTAATAGGGCCATTATGGGAGGGTCTTTGTCTTTCTCAGGTGTGAAATGCCATACATATTAATGAGAGATCACGCCTCCTCGCATAAAGCTTTCTCACACTAAACACGTCATACACATTATAAAAGACTTTATTGACTTATCTGAATGAGTAGTCAGGATGATTCTCACATAGTTTTGGAGCAAATATTCTAGGCTATGTGATACAATTTTCAAAAGTCTTGTGAAGAAATAATCAATATGTGTTTTATGGCCTTATTTCAGAAACTTTTATTTTTAAGTTTTTCAATAACCATGCATAAATAATATTCTCTCAAAAATACAAACATGTACATACATGTTGCTCAAATATTATGGTAGCCCCGTTTGTGCTATATAGAGTGAATTTACACCGTTGCCATTAACATGTTTATAAATATCTGAAAAAAGCACAAATGTCAGTGCATGTCAAAACATCCCAAGGGCCTCAAAAAACCCTTGGTCCCCAGAGGGTTAATGAGAAATTGAACAGGTGTTCCTAATAATCCTTTAGGTGAGTGTAAGTGTTATAGGCGTAATGATCTTTTATTATGACAGTATGTGGCAACATGTAAGTTAAAAGCGCATCTTCTGCACTAAACGATGATATTCCGATATTCTATACTCTTACATGCATCTAACTCCACACTTACTCTCACACTACACAAGACTGTAAATTTTGTTTGTATTTTGTATTTTCAAATGACAAATTACTTGTATTTTAATTAAATACTTTTTTCACAGCAGTATTTTGTATTTTATTTAAATACATTTGATGAGTAAGTATTTGTAATTAAATTCCTTTTGATGTATTTGTGCCCATCTCTGAGGTGTTCTATAAATGAAATGCAACTATTATTATTGATGATAATAGTATTAATAATAATAATATTCTTAAACTTACTGTTAAACAGTCTAAAAAGTCTAAACCTTGGCACGTCGAAAGACCATTCATGAACAGTCGGATTCATACTGCACATAAAATAAAATAATGAAAAATAATCATTTATATATTTTTATAAAACACAACACAACACAAAACCCACCTCATACTCCTGTTTAAAACCGTAACCTTCTGCGGTTTTCATCTGGTTGATGTGTTGTAGGAGGTCAGCAACACGCACTGCAGGGTGAAGCTGACCCGTGTGATAGGGCGATCCTTTACGGCCACACTGACGCCTAGGCGACCCACCCAGCAGACTGCTGGACTCATTCATGGAGCTCCGTGGATCACCTTGGTGAAAATGAACAAGCACAGACCAAATGTTTGCACAATATTTTTCATACAGAATATACATATACAATAAACACAGCATAGGAACAGCTGCACCTGAAGTAAGCAGCTCAAGTATCTTGGAAAAGTTTCATAAAATAACCAATAAATATTTTATAAAAAAAAGAACAAAACTCCAAACAAGTATAATAGGGTTAATCTGAGAATTATCATCCCCTTATGGCACTTCATCTTCTGTGTTTATAATTGGTATTCATAAATATGATCAGGGAGCAATTATGAATTCATGACTAGGGCTGTGTATTCAAATAAATTAGCAGTCTGCTACTCATTTCTCAAAGGAAATAGGAAAGAAAAAACCCAGACAGTATATTCCACGCAGTAGACACTTTAAATGTAGCAAGACAGCTCTGAGTCATGCCATTAAAACTTCATTTTGATCAAGAGATCTCTCTCTTTGAGACATCAACTATTCAGTGCCTGCAGAGTCAGATACCTTTGAATTGGATATTATTAGCGTTTCTCTTTTTTTTTGCCTGCTCTAATTTCTTCCAAATTGAAATCCTCGACCATGATGCCTTTAAGGATAAGCTTCTGCTGCAGATCTGAGTCCATTTGCTTCTTATAAACTGATTGTGTGTTTAAAATATATATGTATATATACTATTTGTTCTCTCCGTCTCCTACTGGTTTCCATGGATTGTGTTTATATTAGGATTTATAGTCTTATGTCAAGGGAGACTGGGTGTTATATTAGGACGTGGAGAGCACTACATCGCATATTTAAGAGCTGTGAAAGATTGAGCGATTACGGAAGGACTGCGGCTTTGATGAAGCTTTTCACACTGACTACAAATGAGGACAAATTAACAGGAGTTTACCTAGTCCCTGAGCCTCACTTTAACTGTGTACGTGACTGAAAGTCTCTAACCATTCATTTGTGCGCTTTGCCGTCAGCGTCTGGTACTCTCGCTTTTAGCACCTTGTAAGTGTGAGGGGAAAAAAATTAAGAGTTCTAGAACAGTACATATATTATATTTGTGTATATCCATTTTCTGTGAAAGTTTTCTCAAAGTTTTTAGTTGCAACTAGTTTTTCCTTCATCAGTTTAATCACAAAATAAGAGTGCTGGATTAAGTCTAATGAATTTTATGGAATAGTTTCCCCCAAAAAATATAAATTCTGTTATCATTTACACACCTTCGTGTCATTCTGAAACATTGTCTTTTTCATATTGAACACAAAATGAGAAATAGTCGCTCATTTTAGTGAGTGCTATTTATTTTTATATTAAATCTTTTTAAATTTCAAAATGAATAGAAAAAATAGCATTAAATATATATATTTTTTAAAAACTTTAATAAAAATAGTCTATATGAAGCCATGCTTTGTGTGAGGAACCTGAAATCATTATTCACTGACAATCCAAGAGCATTATCATTCAAAACTGTTTTGTGAACTGAATCAATTGATTCACTGAAAAAGATTTGACTTAAGAGAACAATTGATCAAAACTGGATATCAATACTTCACTCATGAACTCAGTGAGTTCACGCAAGTCAAGATTTTCAGCGAAAAATGACTAAATGTATGACTGTTTCTCACACAAAGCAATGGCTTCAGATGACTTTAATCATACTTTTATTGTTCCAGGTGTCATTTTGGAGCTTGACAGCTTCAGTCCTCATTCAATTTTCTTTAAAGTGATATTCTTTAAAAAATTCTCCTTTCATGTTTTACGGAAGAAAGAAAGTCAAACGTGTTTGGAACAGCATGAGGGTGAGTAAATGATGACAGAAATGTCATTTTAGGGGTGAATTTCCTTCAACACTTTATAGCTTAAGTTTAAGACCTACTTGAGTTCCCATCATACAATGCGGCATTAATCAGTTATATGGTTTACTGTTTGCTGTTTTCCCTTATGCTGTTGTTGATCTGTTAGTTGTTGCTCCCTATTATTTATCATGAGTATTAGCTCTGTAGTCATTGTTTCGGTTGATGTAATGCAATGTGCCTGGAGTGAATAAGTTGAAGAGAAGTAAGACAAGTGCATGCTACTTGTTTTTTTTCATGCATTGCTTCATAAGTAAAGCAGATTATATAAAGTTTAATTAACTTTCTGCTCAATGAACAATTCTGAATTAATCTACTTTTACACAGGGAGGTCAAATAATAAAACCACTTTTTAAGGCACAAATTAAATTTAAAGGAATAGTTTACCCTAAAATGAAAACTGTGAATTGTCATCAATTATTCATTCTCATATCCTTCCAAACTCACAAGATTTCTAATTCTACAAAACGTTCATAAAGTAATTGTAAAATAAATTCATATGAACCGAATGGTTTAATCCAAGTCTTCTGAAGAGACATGATCGCTTTATATGATGAACAGATTTAATTTAGGTTTTATTCACATGTAAACACTGATCAGCGAACATACATAGAGCACTCAAATATGGTAAACAGAAGCTCAACCATACATCCTTGCCATTTGATTCATATGGATATCTTTTACAATGTTTTTATTAATGATTTGAACCGAGATTGGGGGACAGAAATCTCTCAGATTTCATAAAAAAATATCTTTATTTGTGTTTTAAAGATGAACAAAAGTTTAATGGATTTGGAACCAATGTCTTTTTCTTATTGAACTCAAAGGGAGAACAGTTGCTCTTTGTTTTTAGTGAAATGCCAATGGGTTTTTGTGTGTGTGTGTCGTGTCACGTCTTACTGCGAGTGCTGCACGTATGGGTGTCCATAAATGACAAGGCCATCCTCTCGTCCTCCTGCAGAGTGCTCTGATCAGTGAAACTGCGCTCCATGGAGCCCATCATATTACTCTTCTCCTGCCTGTACGTAATGGGGGTCTTATTCATGTTCACCGGCTTCCTACTGAGGAGACAGAGAAGGAGAGGAGAGAAGGGGGGGGGGGGGGGGGGGGTAGAGATATGGAACGTGAAGGAAACGAGAGAGAGATGAGGCGAGTTAGGGGAGTTGGTGAGAGAGAAAGAGAAGATCATCACTCTGCTGCCGCCCCCCTCTCCAAAAAGCACACAAAAAAAAAGCCATGAGAAATGATGATGTGCAATGGAGAAGAAGCCACTTACGGATAATAAGAGTATGAGTAGTAATCCCTTCTGGAGAGAGAGGAAAAAAAAATTTGAAGAAGAGAAGAAAGGGGAAAAAAAGAGAACAAGAAGAAGAAGGGACATGAGATGCAAGCACTGGCAGAGCTCTGATTAGAGTGAAAAATGGCAAGCCGTCAGCAGCTTGCATTTGCCACGCGAGTAATGGGACGCATGCAGATATGCACAAAACCTCAGCCAGAGCGGGAAATGGCGGCCTAATCAAATATGTCTTCTTGTTGCTCTTAACGAGTTTAACAAAGAGGCCTGCTGAGAGGGACTTTTATATGCGCTCTCTGCAATGGCACAATCTAACCCAATATCCGCTAAAATTTCCAATGAATTGCTTGGAGAACACTTCCATCTGCATTCGTATTACAAACATTCTTCAACTCAATTTTGGGCTGCATTTGGATTAAATGGCTTAAAATGTTCTGTCTTACACAAAGGCCCGGTATCTCTCTTTCCATTTCAGTGGGAAGGACTCCCCATCACTAACTGAAGTAGGCGCGTTACTGTGACACTTTATCTCCGGCTAAATGGCTGAGCTGAGGGTTTGCTGCACTCAAACGTTTAGCTTACATAAACGTTTTTTTTTTTTCCCCAGCAGTCAGAGAAAGAAAAAAGAGAGGCTGAGGAGGTATGTTCTGATCATTTTTCATGTAAAAGATAAATAAAATGCTCAAATGCAAACAAATTAGCCATCATATTTGAAATACCACATTAAACTATAGCCAAAGGTGGTCAATATGGTTCGTTTCTGGCAGCAGGTTAAAAGATGGATCCCCTCCAGTTTAACCAATGTGGTCTAGCATACCTAAACTACCGGTAACAAGTTTGGAATAATTAAGTTTTTTGTTTTTTTAATGTTTTTGGAAGAAATCTCTTACTCTTATGCTAACAGAGGCTTAAAAATACAGTAAAAACCGTAATAGTGTGAAATATAACTGGTTTTCTATTCTAATATATTTTATAATTTAGCTTTACCATTATAGGAATACAGTAAATCACATTTTAAAATATATTAAAATACAATAAAAAATCTATTCCAAGCGTTTGACCAGTAGTGTAAACATGTTGATGAAGAGGGTCCACCAGGTTAACCACTTAAATCAGCAAGGAATGAATCATATATAGTTTTTTTGTTGAGATTAGACTTCTTTTTAGAACACTATTTTTAGACGAAATGGTAAAGTATATTTTATTTAATATATTTTCTAATTATAATAACAAAAACAACAACAAAAAGAATACTTCATTATAGGGATGCACGATATAGGATTTTGGCCGATATTCGATATGCCGATATTTTCAAACTAATTTTGCCCGATGCCGATATATTTGTATTTTTTTTTAAGTGCAAAAAAGGCTTATTAAAGCTTCTATTAATGTTCTCAGTCAAGAGCAGTGAGTGATTTCCTCTGTGTTTTGTTGTTTTATTAACATTAACGGGATAGTTCTCCCAAAAATTTAAATTGTCATCATTTACTCTCTCAAGTTTCTTTCTTCTGTTGAAATTATAAAAGTTATTTGGAAGAATGTGGCTAACCAAACAGTTGCTGTACTCCAGTGACTTCCATAGTATATTTAAGCACAAGAAAGAAATGAATCCAGGTTTGAAACAACATTAGATAGACAGAATTTATATTTCTGGGTGCAGTATCTCTTTAAAGACAAGCGGCAGAATATTATTACTGTCTCTTTAAGAACTGCACGCGAGTAACGCGACGCGTCTAATATACACGCATTTGACAAGCAGATTTTCTCAGTTTGCTTTCACTTTAGACATAACCAACTTTGTTTATGTAAACCTTGTGTGTATTTGACAGTATCAGCGCAATAAGACTCGAAAGATTAGTCCAGTATGCAGGCGCTGTGACAGGCTTTTAGTTCCTGTGAGCGTCGGGTGTACGTGCGCGCTCAGAAAAGCGGATGTTAGAACAGCGCATCAGCACATGAATGACATGTTTACCTAGCAAGACTTTGACGCACATGTAAACAATGAACTTTTGTGAATTGCAGTGTCCCGTGAGTGTAACTCTACCTCTGCGTTTACATGTGATGTGAATGTACGTCGCGTTGTACAGTATGTTGAGATGAAGGCGCCAGAATTTAACTGATAGAATGCACGATACTATGATTTTTCTTCAAAAGCAGATCGTGGAGACATTTTAATCGTCCACGATCAAAAACCGTGAGACGCACACCCCTAGTTGGAAGTTTAAGTTGCTGGCGCTCATGCTTCGTTCACGGTCGTCACGTGCGCATAGGAAACACGCCACCCTATCGGCAAGACTCATCGGCAGAAATATTCATATCGGCCGATGCCGATGATGGTCATTTTAAGCTTTTATCGGCCGATACCGATGTTGTCCCGATATCATCGTGCATCCCTACTTCATTATTATTATTAATCTCACCCCTGGTTTCACAGAAAAGGCTTAAGCCTAGTCCCAGACTAAAATGCATCTTTGAGCTGTTTTTAATTGAAAGCAACTTGCAGTGATATATTTTAAAATATGTCAGTGCCAATGTTTTGTCTCAAAATGCAAACAAGTAATGTTTTTTTTTTTCTAAGGCATGTTTATAAAAACTACTGAAATGCCCTAATTGAACTAAGGCCTAATCCTGGCTTAATCTAAACCCTGTCTGTGAAACCAGGCCATAATTTTACTATTGGTATAACATTTTAAGAGATGTAGAACACGATTTCTTTAGACAAAATATAATATATATATATATATATATATTATATACAGTATATTATAATTGATATTATATTATATTATATTTTCTTAAGTAAATTGGACATAAAAATAATGATCAGCTTATCATGCAAGACTAAACAGCAATAAACCATCTAAAACTGACATAACAGACTAAAGTCTAAAATAGCAGCCTCAGTCTAGGCAATCACTATTCATGCATGTGAGAAATTCATATGAAACAGAATGTGAATGTTCTTTATCGGTTGCTGAAGATGAATCTATGAGATGACCATTGCGTAGATTCATCTCCAGTGATTGAGGAATGAGAGGCCCGTGTCTCTCATTTGCCACAGGATCTGATGACCTTTTGAGAACCGTGGGCTAATTATCTCTGAAAGCACACTTTTTCCATCCCAATTACGGGCTCATTTCTGGTTCAGGGCGGCAGCGGGCAGGGCCTAATTAAGTGAGTAATTGAATTGCATTTCTCTTTAATTAAATATTTCACACTCAGATAATCTCAGAAGATGAAAACCCCTGGCAATCTCTCCAGAGATGCACGTGAGAATGCAGGGGAGAACTGGGTGCCCTTCGACTGAGCCGAATAATCGAAGTCATAAACTGGAATGGGTAGGTTTAAGTTAGTCATAGCTGAACACACAATAGCCTGGTCTCTCAGGAACAGATTAAGTCTCATTTAAATAGCACCTTCACAAGAATTATTTTAAAATAGCCCACAGGCTTATAACTGTCAGCGTCTATAACATAAAGGCATAGGAAAATTTGAAGTATTTCTTTGTTTTGCAACACATACAGTACAGTGACGCCAAAAAGTTTTCGGACACTTATGTCATATTAAAATGTATGAATGTCACTGCACACAAAATGAAATATAATATACGTAGATATATATACACAGTATATATATACGTAGATATATATACAGTATATATATTTTTTTTTTAATTGAAAGATAATTCAAAAACATAAAAATATCAATTAAAATATATACACTACCGTTCAAAAGTTTGGGGTCGGTAAAATATTAATGTTTTTTTTAAAGAAGTCTTTCATGCTCACCAAAGCTGCATTTATTTGATCAAAATACAGTAAAAACAGTAATATTGTGAAATATTATTACAATTTACAATGATTAAAAAAATATTACTATTGTGACTCAGGATTTGATGAATAGAAAGTTCAAAAGAACAGCTTTAATTTCAAATATAAACCTTTTGTAACATTATACATGTCTTTACTTCACTTTGATCAATTTCATGCATCTTTGCTGAATAAAGCATTAATTTCTTTTGAAACCCCCCCAAATTTGTAATGAAACTTTTTAATTATTTCAAGTTTTATGAAACCGAATGCAATGGCAATGAAATTGCATGTGAAATTGTGACTTAAATGTACAAATACGTTTTGCATTACAGCGTGCTTTGGCTCTCACATCTTCATCCTGACCAGTAGAACTCACCCTTTTTTAATGATTATGATAATGGCCCCCAGTAGCAGTATCAGGACCACCAGCCCACCAGCACACACTCCTAGGATGAGCCCCATCTCCTCTGAGCGCTGAGTGACTTCAAGAGCACGCTGATGGTCTTTACAGGCGGCTAAAGAACACACACGTACATAACTTTTGAGGACACCAGCAATTATTTACATACATATAAACCAGCATGAATTAACATATTAACCAGCAAAGAAATCAAAAACAAATACATTCAAAGGAAATACATTCAAATGAGGCCTGAAGGAAAATAACAGTTTATACTGCACCAGATTAAGAACGATATAATTAGAATCACTTTCAGAGCGATTTTTTTCCAGCTGATGAAAGATACAAACACTGGCAGCCAATCAGAATCCACCCAACTTTAAACAGCTCGAGCATTTAAAGTGGCAGACGCCACATAACTGCAGTGAACTCTTCTAAAAAAAAAAAAAAAAAACACTGTTATCATGTGTTGGCTGGATGCTATAGTTGTCATTATCTTAATAGTTATCGTTCTTAGTGTGACTTAAGATAACAGGGCTAAAAAGTGGTCAGCTGACTCTAACAAGACAGTGACGGGGTGAAGACAGAAAAATTTGATGTGTCGAGCAAACGGATGGCACGCCATTGACATGAGTACAGCATTGACAAGAGTATTTAAACCAACTGTTACCAAGCTTGAAACCGTGTAAAACAGAAAAGCTGATTTTAGCTGGATTCTTCTGCAGGTTTAAACGGATATTAAAAGTGAAAAACAGAAAACAAGAGACCTATGGCCATCCACTGACAGATTGTCAATTTTGGCTTGCCTCGTGCACTCTTTCTGAGTAAATAGCCTCTACAATCTAGGCCCGAGTCAAAACCCAAAATGCAGTCATGAGCCATGGTGAAAGAAATGAAAGATCTCTGGCAATTCTGAGAGGTCCTTCTATCTCTCATCATGAGATGTTTCTCTACTGTACCACGCAGATTGCACGCCTCTTCTGTGGCGCCAACTGTACCCGGTCAGCTATTTATCCCAGGCACCTGTCTCCATTGACAGCGTGTGGGCAGGGGTCATTTCACAATTGGAGGCTCCTGGGGATAGCATGACTCTCTGTCACACCAGAAAATGAGACTGTGTGATCCAAGAGAGAGCAAAGAGAAAGTGTGCATATGCAGCGGAGCCCGAGGCAAATTGCCCTGACCTGGACACGCAGCAGCTGGGCTATTTATACTGTTTTCACACACTCATGCTTGTACGGGAATGTTTTATGTGCTGATGAGAATGTGTGAACATTAATGGAATTCATGTATATTCTGCTGTTTTTACAAAAACATCAAATTTAAGTACAATAGTTACAGGCTTTTCCAAATGAGGTTGTATGCCACATCCTAATCATAATGAAACATATACAAGATTATGATAAATGATATATGACAGAATTCAAAAATATACTTCCTAATCTTCCTTGGACCAAAAAAGCTTCATTGGCTAACAGAACTACTACGCTGAAATGATATACTACTGTTTAATACATGTTGTCTTAAGAATTTATTATTGTTAAAAAAAAACTAAAACTATTAAAAGCTTTCCTGTAATTGAAATAAAACTGAAATAAAATAAAAAATAAAGTGTTGTTATTGTTTAAAAAAAAAACCTATAAAAAACTTTTTGGTAAATATAAATATCACATGTAAATAAAATAAATTAGAAAAGTTGCCTAGGCAATTATAAGATTATGTTTATTGCAATTCAATTAAGTTGAAGAAGAAAAATTACTAAAACGAAAACTGAAATAAAAATAAATTAAAGCTAAATATAAATATTTAAAAAAAATAATACAAATGATAAAAGCTAATTATAAATATTAATAAACAATACAATAGTATTTAATTAATATTAAAATAACACTTGAAACCTATATAATTCGCATGATAATGTGGCATGCTGCAAACAGGCTAACCTGCTTATCAAAATGTCTTAGCAAAAGGCTAACAAGAAAATATTTTTGATTAATTCGAACAAAATATAGGCTTTTTGATGATAAAATATCTGATATTTTCTGTTTCTTTACTCTCATCTATGCCATAAAAAAATAACATTTTGGCTTCATGTCATATGGCAACAGTAGAAGGAATTATGCGAGACACATTAAGATGCAAAAGTATAATTTACAATCAAGTGGTCCATGAAATATATCAAGCAGACATTTTCCTCGAGGCAGACTTTCAGCTGTTACACTATTTATTTCATTGGCAGAGGAGAGCAGGTCTGTTGCCACATCAATTTACGACTAATGGCAAAAAAAGAAAGATAAACTCACAAGCAAACAACCTGTGACATAATCCAACCTCCCCTTCCTCTGCAAATGACAAGAAACTGAGTGTAATTTCCAACCACACTGAAGCTATTTGAACTAATAGCGGGTTGCTTGCCAATGGGGCCATGTCTCCTTAGTCTAATCACAGTGGGAGTCCTACTGTACGTCTTGTTGAAGAGGGACTAGAGATCTTCTCAGTGTTAGAAGCCTGGTGTTAGCGCTTCCTTAAGGTCTCAGTGGCCTGAAAGCTACAGGGCTCTATGAAAAAGAGAGTGAGCTGAGGCCTGAGGAAAAAGGTCTGCTTTAGGGCTCTCCATGCAAGGCCAAGGCTAAAAATAAATCATAAGCATGTGGAGGGATGTGGGGCAGAAAGAAACAGAATTTGCCATGGCGCTCTCTGCTCCCTCAAATGCCAAAGGCAGTTTCAAAACGTCCCCATCTTTCTGCGACAACGGTTCACTCAGTGTTGGGAAGAAATGCTTCTGAAAACTGAGGAGCTTTGTTTTTTGACTTTTTTTCTGTTGACTGGAGTTACAGAATGGCATTGGATTCAGTGGAAAACAAAAGGAGAAATTCTAAAGATCGTGCTGGTCGTTTTAATTACAATGAATCATTTGCTGAAAAGATCCAAATCAAAAGAAAGATTCACTCAACATTTTTAGTGAATAATGACTTCAATTTCAGTCTGTTCCTCCCACAATGCTATTGTATGACTTCAGAAGACTTGTTATACAACGTGTATGGCGTATAGCTGTATGGACTACTTCTATGATAACTTTATGGAGTTTTTGAAGCTTAAGAGCCTCAGTCTGCCTTCTTTTTAACAGCATGGAAAAAAAGTGACCAGCATAATTCCACTTAACGTTTCTTTTTTGAAAGTCATACAGGTTTGTAACGATATAAGAGATGACAGATGACAGATTTCTCAAAGTGCTTGGAAGGAGAAGAGTTTATTTAAAGAAGCATAATTCTAGACCATTCCTACCCTTTCAATCCAATGCAACTTTCTATGTGATAGACTTTATACATCATAAGACAACAGAGACTATACTTTCACAACCCCCCATGGAGACCCCCACATTACTCTAGACTTGAGAAGTCAGACTCCCACAGGAACCTTTTGAAAAGAGCCCAACCATGAATTATCTTAGAAGAAACTATCCTTTTTATAGAGTATAGTGCTTTTGGTGCATATCTTCACAGACACAGGCACAGATTTGTATCTACGGCACCAATACAGTGTGTGTCTGTATCAGACTGATAACAATATTAAATATACATATACTTCAGATGTCAGGAGTGAAGGGATCTGATCTATTCTAGATGTCTTACGTCTACAATTATAATGCTAATGCTCTAAAAACTGCTAAATAACAAAACTCTTTTCCAAAAATGGCGAGACAGTGTGAAATGTAAATATAACAATTAATGAAAAAATGCAGAGATCAATGATTTGCAAATACTTTTTGAACTACAATAGATAGATAATATTTTATAGAATTTTATCAATATTTTCTTTTTGACCACCCTGCCCCCCATTCATATATTTTTGTCTTGGGACAAGCAACAATATCTTAGCATATTAAGAAGCAAAATCTCATTAGATTACATTTTATTTTTGTCACTTTAAGCATAAACCTCTGCAAATTTAAACCAAATTTAAAAAGACAATGATATAGGATATTGTGTCAACATCATAACCCTACGATAACATGCAGGTACAATACTCCAAACATAAGATAAAATACAAATGCATAATCTGCACAGTTCATGCATAATCTTCACAATATCAGCTAAATCATGAGGTATTCTTAATGAGGTATTAAATATATTCATCACAGGAAATATAGATGGGAAAACATCCATTAAAGTTTGATGCAAACCTGATCAGATTTTTATCGCCATGCTGAGTTTCCTTTCAGAATATCAATTAAGCCCAACACAGGCATGAAATTTGTTTCAAGATTAATGTGAGCACCTGCTGAGCGCACCAAAAGTGGAAATTAGCACTTGGAGTTACAACGAAAGTCTATTGTTCTGTGAAGATTGCCAAGGGAATGGTAATTAAACTGTCACCTGTGCAAGGAAATTGGAGTCTTGGCAGCTTAGTTTTGTAAGACTATGCAATTCGGTTGCATTTTGAGCCCATCAGGGTGCTCATTTTCTTCTGGACCTTGATCGTTGATTCATAGGAAATTTATGTGGCCAATCAAAACCAACAGCCTCAAATTATGGATTTTGTTGACAAGTTGGATTCCTTCTTGTCATTGAGAGACCCCAATAAATGAATAAAACACAGTGAAACTGTTTATTGCCCTTCTGTTTGTTAGCGCACTGTTAATTTGTTTAATCGTTCTTTCCTGTTGGGAAACTCGAGAGAGCTCTATTCTGTTCATCAATATCTTGGCGTGTTAGCCCACATCCCAAATGTGTATCTGTCTGTGCCCACTGAGCAGATGGGACGACAAAACTGGCATAACATGTCCGCTTCCTCCAATTGGCTTCATGCTCAGAAGGCTAGTCGTCACCCTCAGTCACACAGTCTCAAAAAGAAAGCCAGGTCGATTTAAGCGGGAGGCTGTGCTCACTAACGTCGAACGCCGAAGACTACAATACCGCCCTGCTCGTACTGAACCCTGATGCCGTTCGATAGAGGGGAGTGCAGTTCTTTTTGTTGCCTTGACAGGAATCTATGCCTCCTGAAACTCTTCATCTTCCTCTGAGGGGCCTGTCAGATGTATTGTATTGACAGGCACAGGTGACTCCATCAGTGGTGTTTGATGTGAAGGTCTGTCTCCTGACCGGACAGGGACCCGAAAACCGATCTCTCTCTGCCTGCATGCTGCGGCGTGTCTTTGCCTAGACTGTCTGCCCCAGACAAATCTGCTTTGATACAGTCCACTCCCCTACAGCAAGCAACCAAAACAAACATGATGAAAGAGTGACCTGTTCTCCGTTAGTGCCCTTGTCTCCAGAAGAGAAAGGGGGCGGGGGATGAATAAAGGAAAAATCTGTGTGTGTCTAGACGTAAAATTTCACTGTAAACCAATACACATCCCAAAGCCGTACACTGTGCCCTTTAGGGAATTCACGGACGTTCGCAACTCAGGTTGGGTATCTGAGCGCTCGGGGGGAAAAAGTGCACATGTAAGATTAGCTAGTGAACCATTATGGAGTATTTCTCAGCTCTGAAAGGTTTGAGCAATGATCATAGAGCTGGACTACTGAGCTGGAAGAGGGAAACCACTTTGAAACCAATACCAAGCAACGTCCCTTTAGGCCAGGTAAGATCACTCAGTCACTACTTGAATGGGGAAATCCATATTGTTTTAGTTTTCTATGGATTGTGTTCTTACAGTGTACAGGACATTTTCCGTCAATTTGACAGATATGTCTTTAACACTAAAACACAACAAAATGCAATGTGTAATTCAAAATACAGGTAAAACACTTGAAAAATCACTACCGAAAATGCCTTCATACTAATACAGTACCCTTTTTTACAGACTTTTATACAGACTTACAGTATAGAATGCTGTTGTCACTTCTGTAAATAACCAAACTGTGTAAGTTTAAACCATTAAAAATGTTATTTTTCAGGCTAGTCCAGCTAAAGTGCATACACATTCTAGAGTAAACAATCATGTTACATTAAGACAGGACTTCCTTCAGTTGCTGCAGCGGCTCTATCAATAAGGCAACTGACTCGTTTAACTCTAAAGCAGGACTACATTTGCCATATTTAGCGTAACAATTTCTCCCATTCAAGTGCGCTCTTTTTGATGTCTCTGATGCTAAAAACAACACTGGTGCACCATCCGCCTGCAGCAAACTGTTAGTTCCAGTGGGATCTGGAAGTCAAATGCTGATGACATCTTAGAAAAACTGTGACCCTCAGGCATGTAACATTGTGAATAAGTGAATAGCAAATATAAGCTGAAAAATAACCTCCACTCGTGCAGTCAGAATAACAGCATAAGCCTACATCCAACCCACTACAATTTTTATGTTTTACTATTTGTGGCCACTCTATCATACTTTAACACTTTGCATTCTCTTCATTTTTTAAATAGGTATTGTAATTTGTTCCCACTAATGTGACTAATCTTTTCTACCGTTCTCTGATCCTTAGAATCAACTATGATCCTATTGCCAAATAGACAAAAATACATATTTAATTTGATTAGCCTTTTGCTTGACTACGTTATCAAAGAGCTAATGATGCGTAGCTAATATTACACAAACCATGTTCCCGTTCGCAATCTCAATCTGCCTTCTAAAGATCAGAAATGCTTTGAACAACTTAGAACGTCAGTGAGGAAAGGGATATAGTTCATCATAACAAGGTATTACAACATCATGTACACAATTCGCCCGATATATTGCAACAGAATTCATATCAACAGAAAAATACACAGCAATAACCTGGCTTCTCTTGAGACTCCCCTGCTTCGCAGCAGTTAATGATATGCTAAAGCCCGTCCGCACGTTGACGTGATTGGTTACAAGGTAGTTTGTGACGTAGAGAACTACTGCGGTTTCAAACAGCTTTTTTGAGACTGTCTTTGGTTCACTGCAGTTTTAAGGAGAAAAAAACTTAGCAATGGTGTTGACTTATGAATTTGCACATGGTTTGTCTTAAAGCATATTAAAAACACCACAAAGACGTAAACAAACAACATTAAAAGCTTGATTTTCACCACAGGACGTCTTTAAATCCCTTTATCATATTTACAACAACAACATATTATATAAAAAATAATACAAAATATACTTTCATAATTCTCAGTACGTTGATTTCGACCCTGCATACAGCAGGTAAATTCACCTCACACTGTCTTTCAAAAAACGATTTAGCACAAAACTGCACAGTACTTCTACAAAAAAAGTTCTGTAACATCAGCATTGAATAACTCACCTTTACGGGCGATGCGGATGCAGTTTATCCTTGTTTCCTGTGAGAAAAGAGAACAGAGATGCAGTGTCACGCTGTGGGAAACAGTCAAACGGCAGAAATAAGACTGCACGATACCTGATGAGATGTCAAATGGGCTCACACTGACTTTTGCTGATTCAACAACAGCATGAATGCCAGTAAAAGAGTACAAATACATTCAAAAACAGCACTGTGCCTCACTCACCCTATTCGTGTGTATTTTTTAGTGTGTGCTGATAAGATATAAGCCTTTAAATGTACAGAAAATGGCAGCAGAGGACAAAAGAGGCAGGGGGGAATGACTTCCAGCCAGGAGAGAATTATAAAGAGGAATTAATTTGTTAGAAAATCGCAGTTGATGACATACTGGTGTTATGAAAACGACCTTTGTCAAATAGCACTAATGAGATCCAAGCCCATAATCCAATTCCGGCCTGCCACCTCGACAAGAAGATGCATTATCAAATTAAGATTTACAGATGCTAATTCGGGCATTATGGAACAATTATGCAAATCTTCCCATCCGGAAAAGGAGTGAGAGGCCACTGCTTAAACTGCGGCTGAATTGCTTTTTTTAATTGAAAACCTATTTCAAACTGCCTTGGCTCCTAAAGCCCACCATAACCCTATATCATCTCGGAAAACATACAAAAGGGGAAGGAAGGGTGGTAGGAAGAGGGGAAAAAGTTAAAGACGGACTAGCATTGATGTTTCAAAAGAGGGAAGAGGGACACGCATGGATATTTTAGCAACCCCTTCCACTCCCACGCTTAAAAATGTCATGTAGGCCAATCCAGGCTTTACGAGAAACCCATCTTTATCTGCTCCAGCAGCCATCATTGGGATGCAAGTGTGCCATGGATCCCAATACACACTCTCCCATGAGAGCATATCAGAGGGATAAAGCAAACACTGCCTGTTTTCTCCAAGCACAGAGCCGGTCCTAGATGTCGCACCATAAGAACTCATAGCTCACCATGCGTGTGAGAAAAGACTGACCCCAAATGACAGCCGAGAGACAGCCAGTGGGCTTTGATCAGACAGACGCAGACACAACGCTTAAAGCTTCCCTGCTCTATTTAATCAAATTTGTGGGAACGGTCATGGCAGGCACTGCAAAAGGGGATCTGTCAGCAAACTCAAGCTAAGTAAATGAATTATGAGCACTATAAATATAACAGGCCCAGGGAGGCATGGGAAACGAACTTATTAGAAAGCTCCTACTTGGTTCCAGAAGTAGAAGAGGTATGAGAGAAAAATACAGGGGGGGAAAAAATATATAGTTATATATCCTGTTATATATAGTTTAAACTGTAAGGTGTAATATCACGGTAGTTGTAATGCCTATATGCTGCTTTATATAAAAACAATGTATTACAGTATGTACAGTAATAAATACGGAACACTGAAAAATACAGTAATGAGAAACACTGAAAGTAGGAAAAATAAAAAGTAGAATATAATGAAAATTAGGTTTAAAAATCCGTTGAATTGTCATGATAATAATGTTGAACGTATAGTATATTTGCATAAAGAGCTAAAATCACTTTACTTGTGTGTGTGCGCGCAAACACACACACACTATGTATTATAAATAAATAAATACTATAAAGTATTAATAATAAAATGTATATGCATAGTAAAACTATAAATAATCTTTATATTACTTAATGCGTTTTTCTATTTTGGGGTGAAATAAGACCACATTTTAGTCCGAAAAATCAGTTCATGCCATTCATTCTACACTGTATGAGTTTTAAATTAATAATATAATATAACAATAACAAATTATATACATACTATACAATTATAAATATGACCTAGGCATACTTGTACAGTATTTTAGTGAGAAACATCAGCATCAGTTCATGCCATTCATCCTGGTAAAACGGAGAGCAAAAGATGCCAATTAGAGGGAAAAAGTCTCATTGAAAGTGGCTGGTCAGTCCTATAGGGTTTCGTACCACAAAAAGAAAAGGAAAAAAGAAAAGGGTTTCTGTGTGTATGGGTGGAAGAGAGTGTTTGTTTGGCAGCTACAATCTTTGTGTTTTGCCTCTAAGGACTGTTAAGGAAGCGGATGACAAAAAAATAAAAAATAAAGGAAGAAAAAGACCCATTTTACATAAACAGCTGAGAATCAAACATCTATTAAGAGCATCTTTGTGTATATTTATCACTGAAAGCAATTACATGAAGCCCTGACAGCATTCACAGCTCTCTAATGACTAATTGTCAGAATAACGGCCAACAAAAAGGCAGCAGAGGACTTTCTTTCTTGTGCAGCTGCCAAAAGCTTTGAAAACCACTTTCAACCATAAAGTTGGCCAAGAAACAAAGCAAACTATATTAGCATTGATTATATGTAGTCAGATTAAAAAAACCCCACAAAAAAACAGAATGGTTCATATTGGTAACAGGGGAGTGCTAAATGCAAGTTAAGTCTCCTGAGCTACGTTCCCTTTAGCTTAGACTGTCAGCCTTTACGGCAGTTATTGCAGCATAAAATAGAGCTGAATAAAAATGAATATTTAGCTAAAGGTCGGTCAAGTAAATCAGCAGAGCCCAAAGGAGACTGAGCCGTGCGATCAGTTTCCAAGACGTACGGTTTGAAGTAGGGAGAAACCGAAGGGGAGGTGGAGTCACAATGGGTTGGCTGACAGGTGCATTTCAGTCTGTAAAGAGTGAGAAGCCCTGAGGGGTTCGGCGGGGAGGGAGTTTGTGTCTGTACTATAGGTCATCTAGAGGCATTTTCCTTCAAGGCTGCCAAAAAAACCCAACTGTGTAATAGTGTAGGTAAAGTCCGTCCAAGTTTTGCATCTCTGAATTGCTGTTCAGAAGAGTGGAATGAGCCAAGCTGGCTCATCCATTCCTCCAGGTGCTGAGCCAATGTGATAACCTTCTTCTAAATGTCACCCACATCTTTTTGAGCATGAGGTTTGTTAGCTGGTGTCAAATCTAAATGGACCATTCAAAATTATTTTTACTCCCACAACCTTGAAATGCTCTGAGGTTTAAAGTAATAGTTTAATAGTGCATAATTGAGTGCGGCAGGTAACTAATAACCATGAAACCATAAGGCAAAAGTCAGAGAAGTTTCCTGTCATGGTCAAGATGGAGGTTGACTTGTGCAGTTACTGTATAAATTACTTTAATCACAATCCATGCAGCAGTGTTGGGGAAAACTAACTAAACATAATGACACTACAAACCTTTTTCTATTTACAAAAGTGTGACAGAAGAAGTTGAAATATTTTTTTCTGATTCGCTTTAGTGAATTGATTGGTTTCGACTCAGTTCAGATTCAAAACAATGATTCACCAATTTATTCTTTGATCCGAAACAATGATTCACATATTTCCTGTACAGCAACAGAGAAAGTTTTGCTATACTGCAGTTATATTCTAGTTTTATTAGTAGTATTCATTGGGAACACTTAATGGTTCAAAATGAATTAAATGTGCCAGAATATAATTAATTAATTTGAATAATTAATTAGATCGAAACTGAAGAGAATAAGGATCAGAAGCACAGTGCATTGCAAAAGTATTCATACCCCTTCAGCATAAAGCTACAAAATATGGGTGGAAAATGAAGGGGCATGAAGACTTCCGCAAGGCACTGTATATTTACATTACAGTAGCACCACCGAACATGGACAGTAAACTATGTTTCCGTCCATTGGAAAAGTACTAATCTGATTTAATCAAAAGCTTTATTAAGCAAGATCTATATTTTGCTTCCGACAAATGCTTTTTTTTCCTATTTAGAAACTTATTTGGCACCTTTCCGGATACATTTTTGAACAGCCAGAGATTCCCATTCCCCCGGCTGTTTTCCAGGCTCTGTTTTGCTTGCGCCATCGAGCTCATTCTGTCTCCCAGTCCCAGCCATTTCTAACAACATAAACTGCCAGCTGATCTATTTCTGATCAGCTGCACCTGTGCCCAATTATCCCTGTGAAATGGTTTGTGCCAGCAAGACGATATTCCTTGTTGTTTATCTTCTTATCTAGGCATGGACGGGGAGCACAGGGGCTGTTTTTTCCCATTTGAATAAGGCCTGGACACCCAAAGCTTGGTGTGTGCTGATACTCTATTATTAATTTCATACTGGGACCGAGACACACTATCTTATGGGTTTGAACAGTTGGAGAAGGGAAGAAAAACAACATCCCGTAAGAGCGAGCAATGATATAATGTTTTTGTGCATCCAGCTAATTGCAGATTTACTAGCTGCAGGTGCTTCACACTATTTATTGTAGGTCCCTGTTTTGCACTTTATCTCCCGCTGTGCATACTGTACTGCAAACAATCTGTAGGAGTGTGTAAAAATAAAGTTTCAGATCAGGGTATAAAATTTCCCTCAAAAAAAGATTACATTTTTGTTCAAGATGCAGAAAAACAACAGTGTGTGTCTCAAAACGCTCCCTAGTTTAAAATTAAGGACACTGCCCAGAGAGTAGGACATTACTAGGGCTGTCCCATAATTTCCACTAAAATGCTCGTAGAATTATGCTGCGTTGCGTTCCATTTACCTCGGAGGAGGGATGTCGTAGCTGGGAATGACGTCACACTCGAGTGGACCGCGTTCCACTACACAGGTCAGAAAACTAAGATGGATGCATCCAGGGAAAACATTTGTTGTGCTTGCTCTTTCGGAATACAAACACGTAGTATTTTACACAGATAATGCTGAAGTATCATGTCCACAAATAGAGGTTGGATAGGACTGTGTGCTCCAGAGAGTTTATCGAGACACAGACAAACAGAAGTGCTAATAAACAATAGATCACAACTGTTTCACTATGGTTGATGTGCTGAACAGACTTCTTGGATTCTGAAGAGTTTCCTAAACGCAACTTAAGGGGGCGTTCCAAGAGGGGACTTCAGAGGACAAAACATTAATTATAATTTTTTTTTGCGAATATATGTATATTTTGTTCTTTTATTTTTTATTACATTTGCTCAACATCAAAATGCCATTGTATTCACATAATCTATTTTGCTTAATTAAAATATTATAAATTATTTATGTATTAGCTCTGTACAAGTTGCACAATGGTGGGTTATGTGGTGATGATATTTATAAATAAATACCATTTGATGTTTTAATTAGCAATCTTGTAATCATATCGAATCAAATAACTGAGTAATAAGTGACCCTTTTTGTAGAACAAGGCACTTGCTAGTACTCCAACTCGTATTTAGGATATACTGAGAACTAGGGATCGGAATGAGACACACAGCACTAGTTTCTGACACTCACGCCTCTGAAGTTGCTCATGGCCTGGAAGTAGATGAGGTAGTTCTTCCTGGGGTCCAGGGGGGTGTTCCAGTAGCCGTTATAGGTGTGGTTGTCCCCCACAGTAAATGGTGTGGCTTCAGGCAGGCTGCTCGGGGGCAGTTCGGCAGTGTAGTAGTGTGGAGCTCCACGGGCCTGAGCCTCACCGTGAGATGTAGGAATGGGAAAGCAGTCCTGAACACCCAGTTCTCTCTTCACCTTCCTACCAGCTTCCTCCTCCACGATCACTTGATACGTGCTGTGCATACATACACACAACAATGTTTTAATGAGAATACTATAGCAATAATAGAAATAATGCATTGCTAAAGGAATATTCCGGGTTCAATACAAGTTAAGCTCAATTGACAGCACCTGTGGCATAATGTTGATTACCACAAATAAATAATTTCTTTAAAAAAAATCTGGGTTTCAGTTTATAATTCATAAAAATATATTAAAATAGAACATACAAAACATTAAAATACCAGTGTTGAGAACTTGAGATACCATCATAGTTATTTTTGTATTTTCTGCTTTTATTTTAATTTTAGGTAAAGTTTTATTGATTTTGTTGTGGTTTTTTATCATAATTATCAGTTAATTAATTTCAGATTTCATTTGTTATTTTTAGTACATCAAGTTAATCTAATATATATAAATATATATATTAGATTAACTAATATGTATATTTTGTTCTTTTATTTTTTATTACATTTGATTAACATCAAAATGTCGTTATGCATTTACATCATCTATTTTGCTTAATTAAAATATTATAAATTATGTATTTATTAGCTCTGTGCAAGTTGCACAATGGTGGGTTATGTGGCGATGATATTTATAAATAAATTCCATTTGATGTTTTAATAAGCAATCTTGTAATCATATCAAATCAAATAACTGAGTAATAAGTGACCCTTTCTGTAGAACAAGGCACTTGCTAGTACTCCAACTCGTATTTAGGATATACTGAGAACCTCAATTGAAAATATATACAGTATATATATATAATTTAATGTCAGCTAAAGTTTATTTTATTTCAAGAAACAAAAGTTTTTTATGGTTTTAGTTTCAGTTCAATTATCCAGTTTCAATAGTATAGCCACAAGACGTAAACAATAGTGTTAACATTCTGTGCAAAGTTATAAACAATTTTGAATTACATTGCCTTGACAACATAATGCCTAAAATAGCCATACATTTAAGTGAATGTAAATTATTTCATAAAGGTTTTAAACACATTTCTGCTTTTATTGTAAATCTCAAAAAAAGGGCAATTTCCTTCAATTGTAAATGCCTCACCATAACCTAAAAACTTTTTTTTTTTGTGAGAAAACAAGGGATTGATAGAAATAATTGTCTGTGGTAATCGAAATTATGCCAGGCAAAATTATGTAGATTGATCTTAACTTGTATTCAGCCCAGAATATTCATTTAAAGGGTTAGGTTCGCCCCCCAAAAAATGACCCCATAATTTACTCACCCTCAAAGCCATCCTAGTAGGTGTACATGACTTTCAGCCAAAAACAATCAGTTAAAAAATGTCTTGGCTCATCCAAGCTTTATAATGGGAGTGAATAGTAACTGAGATTTTGAAGCCAAAAAAAGTGCATCCAAACACCGTACAGCTCCAGGGGGTTAATAAAGGCCTTCTGAAGCGAAGCGATGCATTTTGGTAAGAAAAATATCCATAATTATAACTTTATAAACTCTAATCACTAGCTTCCAGTAACGTCCGTCCACGCGTTACAGAGAGACTCAAGTTATCGTACGCTTAGATGAGAATAGACGCCTACCGCGGTCAAACAAACAGGGCTAGGCAACAAACTCAAGTTCCTCCGACATTTTACTTTACAAATTCTCTTTTTAGACTTCCAATTTGTGACCGGGTGTTTTGTTTTGCTCTATCCTCTGCGCTTCTGCGCTCGTCAATACGTCAGGTCAGATTTAACTCTTTCGCTGGACCTCGACTCGAGAAGCAAGTGATGCCATATGAATTACTTTTATGATGGATGGATTCGCTTTATTGGGCTTCAAAATCTCAGTTACTACTCACTCCCATTATAAAGCTTGGATGAGCCAGGATATTTTCTAATATAACTCAGATTGTGTTTGGCTGAAAGAAGAAAGTCATATACCAGTACACATAGGATGGCTTAAGGGTGAGTAAATTATGGGATAATTTCCATTTTTGGGTGAACTAACCCTTTAAGGCACATGATGTCATTCTCACCTGACCGGAGCTCCTCGGCCTTGTGCTGGACGCAGCAGGACTGTGATGGTGCTTTCTGTCTCACTCAGAGGGGACGGCATGTCTCCGTAATCGAATGTTGGTGCTTCAAAGCGAGACAGAAAACAAAAGAGACAGAATGATATGAGAATATCTTCCTAAAACTTTTTAACCAACTCTTCAGAAGTAAACTTGAGTTTTTCAGAGTGATGGGAAGAAAAAAGAAAAAAATCAAGAGCTCAACAGTCAAAAAGAAATAGTTCAGGATCCAAATCCATTGTGTACATAGACTGTCATTACAACGTGAGGCAAAGTGAAGTTTACGCTAATTATTAAAAGCCAACATAACCAGCTAAACGTTTTAATTAGACGAACCTCACAAACAACGCCTACATTGTTGTCTGATATAAGGCCGTCCTAATTCACGACGACAACAACCAACACTTCACATGAACTCCGCTTTCTCCTCCAAACCCATCCCTCTGCGTGTCTTGATCCCAGGGTGTAATTAAAAGCTGTGCATGTGGGACACATAAAGGGGAAACTCATTTAGACGGATTTGAGTCTGGACTGCATCCTTCCCCCGAGATGGTCTAGTTGAGCAATAACGTTTTCCTTAATATCAGCAGTCAATTAGAGCTGACGAACAAAGGCAAACAATCTGTGAAATCAATGATTATGATATTAAAAGCAGTGGGAAAACTGCAGCTACTTGAGGGGACTCAAAATAAAAACACATAAGCATAATATATAATGCTGATATACATACATATGAGAATACAACTGGTCATATATGTACTTTTGTCCAGACATACAAACTTCTAGCTATAGTACATCTAGTCTAACAGCCTCTATCAATATAACATCATCAAAGTGTCTATGCCGAAACACTTTCTCTGAGGTGTAATTTGCATAATGAAATGCACAGAAATAAGGGCGTAATGCATCCGTCTCTGGTCCCAGTCCCTGTTTGACTTCTAGAGTCCTGGAACTGAATGATCTGCTGTGGTATTTATAATTAAAAAGCTTCTATTCCTCTTCCAGATATATACCAATAATGCGGATAACATACAGTGAGGTACTGTATATTCCCATTACAAATTAAATTATCAGCATAACAATTAGTTTGAAAAAAATCTATTGAAAAAGGTATTTCTTAGCATCACTCAAACTGCATGAACTCCACAATTTGTGTAAAACCTGATGATCATATTATCAAGCTAAATAAATACGCATACAAAATGTTATTCTGAATCCCAAGTGGAGTCAGACTTTTGGACATCATCATCATCATCATCTTAATAATAAATAATTAAGTAAATACAATTGATGAACAAAACAATGCGCACACAATTGCTAAAATAAAAAAAACCCTCAAAATTTACTACAACAACAAAAATGTATCAAATTATTCATCCATTGGCAGATTTTGAACCTGATGCATAGTGAAACAACCCGACTGTTAATCGGCCAAGTAGACAGAGTTATCGGGCCAATGCCAATAATCTCAAAACACCCAAATATTGGCAGATTAATGTCCATCACCACACTAAATCCTCTTATTTGATATTGTGTTTCTCCTTCAACAAATCATGCCTCAGCACTGCCACCACAAAAACACAAGTTCTCCATCGTTACCATCACATAAAACGCTGGGCTTAACATACATCGCTTTGCATCAGTCCAGGTTTGAGAAATCCTGATTTAGCATCAGCTGAATCTGGTTGACAGCAACATATGGTGCTGTTTTGTAAGCCGGCTAGTTTTCGAATGGTGAGGATGACAGTGATGTCAGTTCTCTTTGAAGCGAGGGGAAACGTGTAATGTTCTTGAAGGGCCTGTTGGGTTCTGAGCATCTGCTGTGATTCAGTTTCACTATGACTTCCTCAGTTCCGCTCAGGAATACATAATGGCTCTTAAGCGGCGATATGGGCATACGCGCACAAACACGCTTCAGAGATCAATAGTGCACCTGAAGCGCAGGATGATGAACCGGAAACTCTGGAGTTTCGCATTTTTCCTTTTTTGCGAAACCAGCTTTTGCTTCACTTTGTTCCAGTCTATTCAACCGCTGCTATACATCTCCTGAAACATCTGAGGCATTTCAATCAACAGTTTGTAGATCTCATCTGGTACATCTGAGGGTGCATGGAAACACTCGCATGCACGCACACGTACATTTCACATCACTGCAGAAGTGTTCTGCTCCTGTAATGCTAAAAAAAAGCACCTTCTGCATTGTTACAATTTCAAATAAAAACTCCTTATAAACATTTTGATTTGTCATTCAAACATGAAATTGCAGCACCTGTTTTGAATCTGAAGTTATTTATTGCTTGTTCACAGCAGATGAACAGATGCAAAGGTCAGTGACAGTCCATCAGAGGAGAATGAAAGCAATTAAATTAACCACAGTTTCTTATCTATTTCTTACTAATGTGCATAACTGTGATGGATTCAACATATAAAGCTTTTTCTTTCATGTACCATAGCCTAGGCGAGTGAAATCACTTCATGAATGCCAACTAAAATCACTTTACAGATGTTAAAATACTTTCTTTCAGAGACCAAATTATAAAGATGAACACTTGAAGGGGATGAAACAATTTTCAGAGTAATTCTTCGATTTCAGCAGATGACGTTAACATGAAAAACAGTACATTTAATTGGATAAGACTCAATAAAATAAGTGTGCCTGAAGTATGTTTGGAAATTATAAGCACTGCCCCATAATAGTCGACCACATTTTAATTAGTCGGTTAGTCACAGAGGGAAAAAATCCACAGGAAGTGGCGAAGTCATGCAGTCCGTGACGGACAGATCGTAACACGGCTGGTCCATGTGGTAATTACCGTATGTCGGGCAGGAAATCCAAACGTTCGCCAAACATTCCTCGACCTAACTACGGCTTATCATTTGAAACATGCAAGTAGTAGTCTAATGTTTGCCACTTCACATGGCTGCTCACTCTAATGTTAACCTAGATAAATATGCACTATTATTGGCAGATATCCAAGTGTTCCCGGTGGCGCAATAATTTTTTCCTAATAACAGTGGAAAGAACTTAAAATACAAATTTTAGTAGATAAGAGTAACACAACATTTAAAACTGTACACTCACAATAACACCAAAACTTTGTGCTTTGGTAAAATAAAGAAAACAAACAGGGTCGCAGTCTGGAGTATGTCAAAAAAATTAACCGAAACCCAGCATATAGTCCTACTTGCTTCACAGACATGAGAAATACAGAATGTCTAGACATACTGAAATGTCTACTTTTCAATGAACCAATTCAAATGTATGAAATATTTCTCTCTATATAGGCACATCCACTATATTGTGGTGGAGATGCCGAGTCAGCATTGTCAACTACATCTTTGCAGCCGACGTAGACTCAGAAATCACTATTTATTAATAAGTTATTAAAATGTTCAGACAGTCTCCTTTGTTTTTTCCCCAACACATTCATAATCATTACTTTTGCTGGTGTGCTGCGGCAAGCTTTATGCGTGCGCTTGAGTGCTTAATTTATTTTTAAAGGCTCAATATTATGGTTTGGAATTTCTCTGCAATGTAGAACCAATGTTACATATATTATTCTTTCTCAGCCCTGAAAATCAAACCATTCCCCCTCCTCCCCATTAATATCATAAATCTTGCGATTAGTCGACTATTGGCTTAAATGAACGACTACTAGTCGGCTTGAAAAATCTTTAGTCGGGGGCAGTCCTAGAAATTAGTAGAAATATGGTCGGAAAACATTTAACCACACTCACTATGGGCCAACTGACAGGTCGGATATGAAGTGGATTTGCCCTGTTTTACACACATTCTTGCACGTAAGCCCCCAAAAACAACCATATGCAGTCCTCACCAGAGATGTTGGTGGTGATCTCAGTGAGAGCTGTTTGGCCGAAGCCTTTGGCGGTGCGCGCCCGAACAGAGATCAGGTAGGTGGTGCCAGGATGCAGGTTGGAGAACATATGGTACGTCTCGTTCCTCAGCTTGGATACAGTGCGCCTCGGGCCTGGAACATTAATCCCGGGGTCTGATGATTCAATGCTCTGGTAGCTGATCTGTAATTGCACATATTAAAACCTTTTAAGTAAATCATATTTTCATTAAATCACTGTTGTTTTGGAACTGAACAAACAGTGACTCAGTGTGTGGTAGTTCAGATCAAACAATGTTTCATAAAAGTTTGCTAACCCTGACATCCATATTCAGAGTGGGTTGAAAATGATTCATATATGAAATCAAACATTTATTTTATAAACAATACGTGGTAGCCTACTCATAAATATCAGCGGGAAGCTAGTGGGCATGTAAGACTATCATTTTCACGGCAAAAAATAATCGTGATGGTACCATAGTATCACAGCACTCAAATACTCTGTTCCAGTCTATGTTGCCTGCATGAATGCAAAGCTCAAAGCTATGACTATTTTTATTGGAAGAGTAAAAAAAACAATCTATCTGGACAAATTTAGCCTGAAACCTAAGTTACTTGATGTCGTCATCTTGTTTATAGAATTTTTGCATGTTGCACATAGCAATTTTAAGAGTAAAGTAGAATCCACACGCCAAAACACATTCAGTGTACATTCAAGTTCAGTGAAACATGACGGAAAAAGATTATCCAAGATCCATTTTCAGAAAAGTTTTAATGAATTACATTATGACACACAACAGAGTCAAAATGGTGCAAAAAAATAATAATAATAAAAAAAAAAATATATATATATATATATATATATATATATATATACACAGTATATACAGGAAATAGGAGAAATTATTCAGTGTGCTCGGTCGCCATGTAAACGATTCAGTTCTTTAGTAAACCTATTCTGGGAACTTTTCTTGGACTTTTGGCCTCATGTTACATTGAACGACATGTGATCTGGTGTGCATTTGCAGAGTTTTAATAGAATCGAGTATCAAACAGGATGGATAGTTGCAAAAAAAATCTAATGGAAATTCAATGAAATTCAACGATTAACTAGAAACAGTTTTAAAATGTAAAAGTCTTTAGGTTTAAAAGTTAATTGGAACTATTGGATGGATGGATGGATGAACTTCTAATATAACTTTTAATTTAACTTCCAATTTAATTCAAATTCACACAAATTTTATCAGTAAAAATATAAAGAACCTTTGCTGCACTATAATCAGTACTATACTGTAATATCAGTACAGTAGATGCTACACTATAATCAATGCTCACCATAGAGTGCAAGGGTCTCAGAAACTTTATGATATCAAGCATGCAGAGCATTAGTGTGTTAGCTGCCTAATGCCTGCTTTTTCACAGTGCAGTGGGCTTCTGGGATTTAAGAAACATTTGCTGCACCTGTACCAGGCCTCTTTTAAGATACGAGGCATGGATGAGAGCAGTGGGGGAAGGTTTAAGGGGGAACACAGCGCCCTGCGAGCCTTTCGTCAGCAGTGGTCGGAGAAAAGTGGACAATGTGCTAATCTGAGAGAAACGAGAGTGAATTCTCCAGGCTCTGCCTCTCTCTTATTCTTTCCTTATTCATCTCTCTGTATGCCTGAGAAGATCAAGCTCCTTGAGCCTGAAAATCTGTCCTTGCCTCCACTTTATAGGTCAAGCCTTTAAATCCCCTTTAGAAAACAGCCTTGGGGTGACTTTGGTAGCTATGGCATGGGGAAAAAAGAAAAGCAACTTATCAATGAGAGATAACTCGGTAAGTGCAAATGGTAAGAAAGGAGGCGCCTGATGGACAGAGGTGGCATTCAGAAAATGCGATGATCTCGATTCGGCTCATAGCCGAGCCGATTGACGGTTCCACAAACAAAAGCAACTTTTCCTCTTGAGGTGAGATGTGTGTTTTGGAGCGTGACAGAAGCGGCATCCTCACAACTTTTTAGTGACTGACTGAGAGCCTGAATCATGGGTGAGGAGAAAGGTGACACTGAGGCAGGCAGTGTGACCAGAAAGAGAAAGAGTGTGAGAATGTTCTGGAACAGAGGAACAGAGATACAGATGCTGGCTGTGGGAGGCCCACCACCTTTTCAGTGAGCAGGCCGAATCTGTGTGCAGTGAACGGAAGAATGGAGAAACAGTTTAAGAGCTTTTATTAGACTGTTTAGCTATCCTTCTTTTTGGGACAAAGGCATAAGCTTTCAATTTGCTGCAGTTCTGAAGTATTCATCTTTAGAGTACAATTATACAATGATAATAATTTTTCAAAACTACAAAAAAATAAAAAATTCTTCGATCCCAGATTTAAATCATACGGAAGCCCTGAACCGCAACGTAAAAAGTAAAAAAAAAGTTTAAAAAAAAAGTTAAAAAAAATCTAGCATTTCGAGATTAAAGTCGAAACATTTCGAGATTAAAGTCGAAACATTTCGAGATTAAAGTCAAAATCACTTCCATAGAAGTGTGTGCATTCATAACAGTGCGCGTCCACTGGCTCAGAGCGCGCGTGTGTGTAAAGAAATGCACTTGTGAAGTCGAACTGCCATGGATCAACACAAAATAATAGCTTTTTACTTGTATCTGGGCTTTCAACAAAATTCTACACAGGTGCTAATCTACCAACAAGAATTACCATGGCGTTGCCTATAGACGAGCGCACAGACTCCGCCGGAGTAGGTATCACAATCTGGTCCAAACTTTATGTGGCAGTGTTTTTGAGGGGTTTTCATGCTCGTCTAGGCAACACTGTCTGGGTCGAGAACACAACAGTAACCGTTCTGTCTCCCTCTTCACCGTAAATACGTTCGGATACAAGTGCATCATTCTGTATCCAATCATTTGGCCGGATCCCGTGATTTCCTCAGATTTAATAACCACTAATGGTGGTTGAGGAGAGATTCTCTGATATGATTGTCAAGCGCTTTGAGTGTAGGCCTAGTAGACATATGAAAGCACTATATAAATGACTCATTCATTCATTCATAAAGCTGGATATCTCCATCCAGTCTGAAAAGTGTTTTCCGGGTTGGTTTTCCGGCGCAGTATATTTTATAACCTCCTATAATGGTAGCCTATGGCTGTAGATTGGCACCTGTTGAATTTCCTTGTGTTGAAACAAAACACACACACAAACACACACACACACACACACACAGTGTGAAACATTCACTATGCACCATTATGAATGCCTGTGTGTGCGGCAATGGAAAACAATGGCAAGCACACACGCAATGTTTCGACTTTAATCTCGAAATGTTTCGACTTTAATCTCGAAATGTTTCGACTTTAATCTCGAAATGTTTCGACTTTAATCTCGAAATGTTTCGACTTTAATCTTGAAATGTTTCGACTTTAATCTCGAAATGTTTCGACTTTAATCTCGAAATGTTTCGACTTTAATCTCGAAATGTTTCGACTTTAATCTCGAAATGTTTCGACTTTAATCTCGAAATGCTAGATTTTTTTTTTTTTACAGATTTTTTTTACGTTGCGTAAAATAATCAAAATAACCAGATATTTAATTAAATAGTGTCACTTTTTTTTTGTTTTACTTCATCCAGTAGTCCAATAGAATAATTTGTAAATCATATAAGTTGTAAGTTAGTAGGAAAGTTCTTAGTTTAAATTCATTCAAGATATTTAAAATAATATAAATAATAATAACAACTAAAAGTCATGCAAACAGTGATATGGAGAGGAAGGAAGGAAGGAAGGAAGGAAGGAAGGAAGGATGGATGGATGGATGGATGGATGGATGGATGGATGGATGGATGGATGGATGGATGGATGGATGGATGGATGGATGGATGGATGGATGGATGGATGGATGGATGGATGGATGGATGGATGGATGGATGGACGGATGAATGGATGGATGGATGGATGGATGGAAGGATGGATGGAAGGAAGGATGGATGGATGGATGGATGGATGATGGAAGGAAGGATGGATGGATGGATGGATGGAAGGATGGAAGGAAGGAAGGAAGGAAGGAAGGAAGGATGGATGGATGGATGGATGGATGGATGGATGGATGGATGGATGGATGGATGGATGGATGGATGGACGGATGAATGGATGGATGGATGGATGGATGGAAGGATGGATGGAAGGAAGGATGGATGGATGGATGGATGGATGATGGAAGGAAGGATGGATGGATGGATGGAAGGATGGAAGGAAGGAATGAAGGAAGGAAGGATGGATGGATGGATGGAAGGAAGGAAGGAAGGAAGGAAGGAAGGAAGGAAGGAAGGAAGGAAGGAAGGAAGGAAGGAAGGAAGGAAGGAAGGAAGGAAGGAAGGATGGATGGATGGATGGACAGACAAGCAGACAGATGTTCAATTAGATTCATTCTAATTCTAATTTTTTATTTAATTTAACGTAAAATATTATAAATAACAAATATAAAACTTAGTCATGCAAACTATCATGCAAAATGCGTTTCTTTTTTATTTCATTTTTACATTGTGTGTTTAATTTTGATAATTTGTTGATCATTATTATATACAACACACACTTCACTTTAATAAAAAATCTTCTATAGTTAAATTCTTCTACAATCTTCTATGGGTTGTACGTGACACTACCTCAGTTATGACTTCTTGATATCATTCCAAAACTGTTCCAGAAGCTCCTACAGCACAGCAGCCACATTCATAAAACATTGTGGTGTGTTGGTTAAGACTCGAGGCTGGAGGGTTGCTGATTCAATCCCCTCGAGAACTGAGCCATGAGCAATTATCAATGTGTCTTCAAGCAAAGCAATTAACCCCAGGCTCTATGAGGTTCATGACGCTGTTCGATGATGACGTCATGGCAACAAATTCAAACAAGCAAGCTTCTAAAATGGCAAAAAGTGTAGGAGAGACAGCATATATAACTTTAGATAGAGGCATCTTTCTGTCATTTACTAACAGATGGCTGGTGCAGTAGGGACCAATTAGAGCCAGGGTTGGCCTTGGTGGCTCTTGTGTCTCTGGCAGCATGCAGAGTTCCAGGTCCAAATCATGACTTCATACATACTTCTGTCTGTCACTGACTGAGTTGAGAAAGAACACCACCAACAACTCAGCATTCCCTGCCAACTAGACTGAAACTCTGAGTTTTACAGGGGTGGAAAACACTCACATTCCAAGGTCTCACTAATACAGCGCACTGTCAGTCAGGTCTGTGTGCAATCGCATGCAGCGGATCATGTGTTAGCGGCACGTTCATAAATAATTTAAACTGGCAGTCCAATTTTAACACACAGTGGGAAGTTTTGTCTTTCAAGGATTGTGGTTCATCGATATTTCACCTGGTAAAAATGCTGACACATCAGAGCGAATCTCACAAGGATTCAGACAGCGTGAGAGAAATGGATATGAGTGCGGTAAAGAGCAGAAAGCACATACCTCATACTGCGTGATGAGGCCGTTGGGTTCCACCGGCTCCTCCCACTTCAGGAAGATCATATCCTCCAGCGGCGTGAAGGTAAGAGACTCGGGAGCAATGCCACCGGGAACTATGGGAAACCGAAGAAGCCGGTGGTTATGAATGAAGATACAGACCTTCTGGATCCTACATTGTTGGACTAGTAATTTCTCTAGCATTTAATCAAAGGGAGAAGGTTAATCGCTTAAAGTCCCCCAAAGGTCAAATCTAATATCCTCATTACAGCCGTTGTCATTATAAAAGCAGGCCTCTTATGTTATTAACATATTACATACTCATCCATTATAACTAATATAAGTGATATGGAACCAAAGAGATGATCCATGAAGTGTATCTGGGGCCTTTTAGGCTCTACTATAAAGAATATAGAGTATATGTTGTGTTTTGAATGCTGAATTGTTTGGGTCCCCATCAGGCTTAACTGTTCCTTAAAGGAACAGTTCGCTCAAAAATGTGAATTCTGAAATCATTTACTCACCCTCCTATCCTTTCAAACCTGTATGACTTTCTTTTGACACAAATCTTTTTCATTCAATGTTGTTATTGTTAACTAAAACTAAAGCTATTAAAAATCGTTTTTGTTAATTGAGATAAAGCTGAAATAAAATAAAACAATTCTTAGATGAAAAACTTGAAAGTTTAAATGATAAAGGTTGCCTTGGCAGCTACATTAAATAAAATAAGTTAAAGTGAAAGTACTTAAAATAAAAATGAAAAAATAAAGCTAAATAAGAATAAAAAATTAAAACAAAAACTTATATATATATATATATATATAAACAAAATTACTAACATTAAAATGTAATATATTAAAATAAAGCTAATTAAAATATTAATAAATACTATAATAGCAAATAAATAACCATAATGCACCATAATAATACCATAGTAATGATAGTCATGACTCACGCCCTATATTCTAAGTCTTCTGAAGCCATATGTTAGCTTTGTGTGATTTCAGTCTTTACTCAGAAACGTTTGCCTTCTACTGTACGTCTGAAATTAGCTCTTCTGCATATTCAAATTTGATGTATTTTGATTGGTTACAAGACAAATGAGAACCAATCTCCTTTGACATCTTCACACAGCATACTTGAATACAATTTGAGTACTATTGTACAGTATAGCTTTTCAGTGCATAATAATATACATTTTGTTCTTTTCCTCACACAAAGCTATCATCAGGATTCAAAATGCTTGAAAGGACATGAATCACATTCATGATTCTTTTTCGTTTTTAGAACTTGACAGCCCTACAAGCTTTCAACGTGTAGAAGAGAGTAGTAGTTTGTAAAGACATGAGGGTGAGTAAATGAAGACACAATTACATTTTTATGAGTGTACCGTCCCTTTAACTAGCTTAACCAGATTCACCAGCAAGGCCATGCTTGTTAATTAGCTTCATCGTTTAGGTTTACAAATGAACAGCAGGAGTTACGCTGTTCAATCAACCACACCATAAAACCAGCTTTAACCAGCCGGGAGCAGCGTGGAAATTCATGCTGGTCTGAGCTGGACTTCTCAGCAGGAGATACAAAGCCTGTGTGACAGATAGAAAGGGCAACACTTGCAGTTGATGACATGGCTTGTTTTGGCTGATTAATATTAACACGGGAGGGTTCATTAACAAACATAAACGCTGGAAGAGAGAATGAGGAGGAAGTGGAAATGGTGCTAGAGAGACAGATGACGTTCTGAGCTCAGCAGATGTTTTTACAGCACATTTGTGCTCTGTCACTGAGCCATCCTTGTTAGCCCTTGGGTATGTGCACAGAGTGTGTGTACGCGGGGTGATAGTTGGTGAGGCAGAGATAGCCAGTGGCGAAAATAACACGCTCGCTCAGATTGAGTCAAAATCGCTGACTCAGTCACTTTTTCTTGTGACAGGCCATGAAAGAAAAGAATTGCTGATTGAGGCTTCAGAGGAGTGTTGATAATTGAGCACTCTCTTTCCTCCCTCTCCTTTTCTCTCTCACTTCATCATACTTCCTGTCTGGGTGAAACGCTTGTGTTTCAAATTTCTTCCCAGAAAATTATTTTTGTCCTTCAGCCAAAATTTTGCAGCCCGTGCTGGCTGGATTGAGCACAGAAACAGGCATAAAAATCTCCGCTGACCTGCTCATGCTCAGCTCTCTGAAGAGAATGATTAAAAATTAATTTTAAATCCATTAGGGAATGTCTTTATGATTGTGATGTTGAACAGATCTAAAGGGGATGATACACAGGGCAACTTTTTGACTAATCTATCTATCTATCTATCTATCTATCTATCTATCTATCTATCTATCTATCTATCTATCTATCTATCTATCTATCTATCTATCTATCTATCTATCTATCTATCTATCAGTATTTCAATAAAAAGTGACAGATTCCTTAACAGTTTACTTTAACTGGAAAACTTCCGATCATTGATTGCTTTCAATCACTATTTTGCCTTGAAGCCTGGTTCTCTATATATTGGCTAGGTGAGACTTAAATGGCCAAGACTTGGCAAACTTTTTCTACTGCCATTTGTAAATATTGGTTAATTATTTTACTGATTAGTGGTAGTCTGAAGTGGTAGTAATAACACATTTTGTAACACAATGTTACACATTTTGCCATTCATAAGACATCTGCGCTTCCCCACTCCTGAAAAGCAGATGCCACTGCAATAGAAGTACAACAAATTATATATACAGATTAATATTCATTGAAAGCTCCACTACTCACTGTCCTCCTCAGTTTGAAACACAACCTCCTTCCCTTCCTTCTTGCCCTCTGTGTTGGCGAGTGCCAGGCGTATTTGGATGGTGTGAAAAGGAGGCAGATCTCTGAGGGTGAAACGCGAAGTGTTGTGCTCCACAGCCAGGCATTCTCTCACTGTGGTGTTGTGCCCACCGCCACCCCCTGCGGTCGTGTAACGGTAGCACAAGGAGACGGAGTACGTGTGGCAGCGGGTCAGGTTGAAGGCCGGAGTCTCCCACTGCAAGGTCAGCTGCCGGGACTGGATCTCCGAGGCTCTAAGACCACGCAGCGCTCGCATGGGCTCTATTGGAATGGAAAACAGTGGAACATTTTGTTAACATAAGCCAAAAAAGCAGGGAATCTCCACAGAGACATCACCAGGTCAAAAGACTTCTCGCCTACCCCACCCACCATAGGTAGGAGGCACAACCACGGTCAAAAAAGGTTGACGGACCACCTGCTAATGAGGACACAACTCATGCCAAATTACGTTAATTAATTCCACAGGCTGCAGGTTGTACTCTCTCTCCCGCCATTTGCCTCCGTGTCGCTAAGCAAATCGAGTATCTGCCTGCACACCGTCCAGGGGCCATGAGCCCCGTTCAAGGACATTCAGTTCTGCCAGTTACCGTTAGTGCAAGGTCGTTGCATTAGGCCAACTATTTTTGGCATACCTCACATCTGTGTTCGTACTTTCTTATTTACAGAGGGCAGAAAGATCAGCGACCACCTTTGGCGTATATGATATAAAGAGACAGAGGAAGCCACTGTCTGTAGGGCACACAGGAACCTTAGTGTTTCTCACAGAGAGGCGCAGACAGCAGGGAGGGTGAACCAAGGACATCCAGCCCCACTATCAATGAGCGCATTTGTCACAGTCCATTATTAAGACAATCAATGCATTTTTGTCAAATAGATCTCCACATAATGTATTGTATTTCTTTGTTCTTTTAATGGGACCTGGTGACTAATGGGCCCAAGTGGGAAGGTACAACAAAGGAGATGTGAAGTGAGCACTTCCTGTGTAAAGTCATGGCTCAAGGTCTTTATTGTTCCTCTTGAACCGATGCTTAGAAGACATACTCTTAAGATTTAGGTTTACTACTAAGGGTAAAGTGAGGAAGCTAATGCACCGAGAACCGTAAGGACAGCAGGGGTGAATTAGAGGAAATGCATTTCCTTTTGAAGTCCTCAGAGGAGAACACGTATGGATCACAGAGTACTAATTCAGCATTTCTCCTGCAGAATCGCACTTGTGACATTAAGCTCTTTTAATCCTGAAATATCTCACACATCAGAGATCTTTTGCCACACCTTTTCCTTAAGATCTATATTTAGATTTACATTTCGTTTCACTCATAGATTTACATTTAGATTAACTTCCAGTGCGATTGGGTTTCTTATCAAGAGAAGCACTTAGTCGACCTGAAAAATGACACAAATGAAAAATATTCCTTTCCGAAAATACACATTGAATGTAGAGGTCCCATTTGCCTCCACAGAAAATACGACCAGAATAGTGTTGGTCGTCTTAATGGAACTATTGTTTGTTAGTTAAAAGCAAACAAATGGGATGCTGTTGGCTTGTGCCATCTTTAAAAAACAATCCAAGAGTCTACACTGTGCTCTTTGAGGAGCCCAAAAGGGCCTTTTGTGCCACCCTACTTCCCTTAACCTAGTTCGAAGGCTTTGTCTGGATGCCAAGAGCAGCGCTTCGAGCGCCCACTCCTTGGCACCCATCAGAGATGGGACCGAACCCAGAGAGAGCAGCCAGAGGCCTGGGGCAGCATGTCAATTCCTCACGGGCAGCTGGAAGTCCAAACAAGACCGGTTTCTGTCCCATTACACTAGATAATATTGATACATGAGGTAGCCCGGAGAGAACTAAGCTCATTCCTAGTTATACAGCAAACTAATGGCCGTGAAGTTCTGGTCGTTGGTCTGTAAAAGGAAAAGGAATGAGAAACATAATTCTGTGATATTTGGAGTAAAACCTTTTACATTGAGATGGACGGGAGTGAGTTTAATCAATGATGTACATAAAAGCATTCGTATATGTTAAATTATGAAAATAAAAATCATGAAAGAATAAGCTGCTATATGTTACTTCCTCAAAACATTTATTAAAGGGACAATTCACCCAAAAAAATATTTTCATCATTAATCAGCCTTTCAATATTGTGAAATATTATAATGTAAAATAACTTTATTTTAATATATTTTTAAAAATATAACACATTCCTGTGATGGTAATGTTTTTTTAACAGCCATTGCTCCAGTCTTCAGTGTCATTTTAATGTTAATTTGGCGCTCAAGAAATATTTTATTATCAATGTTGAAATCCGATGTGCTGCTTAATATTTTTGATACATTTTTGAACATTATACACTTTTTATGAATAGAAGGTTCAAAAGAACAGCATTTATTTGAAAATAGAAATCTATTGAAACATTATAAATGTCTTTTCTGTATTTCTTTCTTTCTTTAACAGTTATCCTAAACGTTTGAACGGCAGTGTATATAGTGAGCAGTGGCTGTCTAGCCGCAGAAGGAACTACAAAGTACCATAAAAATGGCATAAAATGGGTCCATATGACTCATGCAGGATATTCCAAGTGAATTCTTCTGAAGTCATACAATTGCAGACTGAATATGAACATAGAGACTAAAATGTAAATAATTATATACTTGCATATTCAGTAATCACAGATTTCAAACTTGGTGCTCTGTGTCTTAAATTGTAGTCTGTTCCTCACACAAAACTCAGACTTCAACATTCAGAAAACTTATACAGCACAATGTTTTTTGTGCCATTTTGGGCCTTTTGAGGGTTGACAGCCATTGACCACTATGGGTGAGTAAATGATGAGAAAATGAGCATTTTTGACTTTCTTCTGCAGAACAAAAAAGATGATGTTTTGAATAATGTTTCAACTGTTCCTGAATAAAATGAAAGTCTGTGGGGTCCAAAACACCCATCAACCTTAATTGCACGGCCACAATATTTCAAAATATCTTATTTTGTGCTCTGCAGAAGAAAGAAAGTCGGTTACTGTAATTACTATAGTTACGTTTAAGGTTAGGGTTTGGTTTAGGGTTAGTTACTTGTAATTATGCCTAATTTACTTTTATTACTAAAGTAAATACATGTAGTAATGTGTAACTATCACCTTAAAATAAAGTGTTACCAGAAAGTTATACAGGTTTGGAACCACACAAGGGAGAGTAAATGATGACAAAATTAGCATTTTTGGGAGCAATGTACCTTTAAGTCATTACAGTCCAGAGTATAACTCACTCCGAGGAACACCTAAAGAGACCCAGTGGCAGGTGGAGGTCCATCTGTGAACCAGACTGTGGCAGAAGTGCAATGTTTGTCCCATTCTTCCATCTTTTTCCTCTTTCTAATCTCCCTCTCCTCCAAGGAACATTCCTTCACATCAAGTCTTGCTCCTAATCACAACAACGCCTCATCAAGCACACCTGGCCGTGTTCTGTGAAATGTCCAGCAGTTCCCTGGCTATGCCCACAGGACTGCGCCTGCTTTCATCATTTTTATGTAGGTCACTTCCAAGAGCCGCGCACCAGGATGCAATCTTCAGCTGCAGCCAGAACCAACCCAGTCATCCCATCATTCATTTCACTTTCTTCCAATTTGTTTTGGAGGAGAAGTCACCCAGGGTTGTGAGAGTATCTAAAGTTCTTGCAGTTGAAAAAATAAATAAAAATGAGCTGCTAAGAGTGAGGAGCCATACAAGGTGAGCCTAAACATACAAACAAATAAACTAATAAGATCTTGTTGGATACCAGCTAGGAATATACCAACAGGGAAGATTGACAGTATTGTGTCTGTGTACAGGTGTTAATGGCATCCCTGGATGGAGGCCATTTTGAGTAGATCATATGAAGCCGGAGATGATTAAAGTCACCTTTGTAACAGAGTAGGTGGATTCACCTGCTGGATGAAGACAGATGAGCTGACACTAGACTAATCCCCCCCCCCCCCCCCCCCCCCCCCCCCCCAAAAAAAATAAAACCATCAGGGAGAAAACGTGACCAGTGGGAGTTTGTGATGTATAATAGCAGCTCAGCCTAAAGATAAAGAGAAGTGCCACAACCCGTAGGTAAGAAAAACAACAAATGACGTAATCTTCCCCTATTGAATAAAAACATCTTTAAGCCACCATGAAATCAAAATTTACAATTCTGGTATGGAATATTCTATATATATTTTTTCTATATATATATTTTTTAATTCATTTGGCTCAATCATTAATCAAAATAACTTTCCCTCCCTTTTGCAATGACATCTTTTCTCTGATGACGTGTTTCTCGGTGTGAGGGCGGGACAACCTGTCACTCACATGATATCGCCGCAATAGAAAACCACAATGATCCACGATCCAATCAAATCCGGATGGACAAAATCAAATCTCGCCCAGTTTTTTTTTTCTTTTTTGAGAGGCTGTTTCACTCAGATATGCAGCATAATAGGGAAGAAAAGACGATCACAAATTCCATTTCATGCTGACTTTAAAACCAGCCTAAGCTAGTTTGCTGGTTTTAGCTGGACTGGCTGGCCTGTTGGCTGGTTTAAAAGGGGTTTCAGTGGGTCAGGACTATGTGAGACCTTCTAAAACCAGGCATTTACAACCTGCTAACTATTTTAGAATGGTTTAGCTGGGATTTTTCTTCTCAGCAAAGTCAATATTTTAACCATTTCTCCCAGTTAGCTTAAATGGAGCGCAAGTGGACACTACAAGAAAACAATCTCATGTCTGTAGTTTAAGAAGAGATTGTGGTCAGATGGATTAAAACATCTACAATCACAAGTCAGACATTTCAAAATTACCTCAACTATTTCTTGATGAAATGATCTATACACAATGCTATCATAACTATTTTATAACTATAAAGTCACAATTAAATGAAGGTAGTGACAGACACTTTCTTCCTTATTGTGAGGTACAAACAAGTGTAACGCATTATCTAAAAAGAAAAAAAAATTAAGAGCAGGGCTTGATTCTATGCATCAGTTGTTGATTGAATTTTGTCATGTGGACGTTGAACTCAAAAGAAGAGTCAGACAAATGTGAGATTGCAGGAACAGGGTTTAAGTGGACTAAATGATTAGAAAAGCCCTGCATATGTCACCAGAGATCTCTTCCCTGAAAAATCCAGTTACGACATTTTGACATTACAAGGTCAAATCTCATGCATGGATGAATTGTTCACAATAACACATACACTCACCTAAAGGATTATTAGGAACACCTGTTCAATTTCTCATTAATGCAATTATCTAATCAACCAATCACATGGCAGTTGCTTCAATGCATTTAGGGGTGTGGTCCTGGTCAAGACAATCTCCTGAACTCCAAACTGAATGTCAGAATGGGAAAGAAAGGTGATTTAAGCAATTTTGAGCGTGGCATGGTTGTTGGTGCCAGACGGGCCGGTCTGAGTATTTCACAATCTGCTCAGTTACTGGGATTTTCACGCACAACCATTTCTAGGGTTTACAAAGAATGGTGTGAAAAGGGAAAAACATCCAGTATGCGGCAGTCCTGTGGGCGAAAATGCCTTGTTGATGCTAGAGGTCAGAGGAGAATGGGCCGACTAATTCAAACTGATAGAAGAGCAACTTTGACTGAAATAACCACTCGTTACAACCGAGGTATGCAGCAAAGCATTTGTGAAGCCACAACACGCACAACCTTGAGGCGGATGGGCTACAACAGCAGAAGACCCCACCGGGTACCACTCATCTCTACTACAAATAGGAAAAAGAGGCAACAATTTGCAAGAGCTCACCAAAATTGGACAGTTGAAGACTGGAAAAATGTTGCCTCGTCTGATGAGTCTCGATTTCTGTTGAGACATTCAGATGGTAGAGTCAGAATTTGGCGTAAACAGAATGAGAACATGGATCCATCATGCCTTGTTACCACTGTGCAGGCTGGTGGTGGTGGTGTAATGGTGTGGGGGATGTTTTCTTGGCACAGTTTAGGCCCCTTAGTGCCAATTGGGCATCATTTAAATGCCACGGCCTACCTGAGCATTGTTTCTGACCATGTCCATCCCTTTATGGCCACCATGTACCCATCCTCTGATGGCTACTTCCAGCAGGATAATGCACCATGTCACAAAGCTCGAATCATTTCAAATTGGTTTCTTGAACATGACAATGAGTTCACTGTACTAAAATGGCCCCCACAGTCACCAGATCTCAACTCAATAGAGCATCTTTGGGATGTGGTGGAACGGGAGCTTGGTGCCCTGGATGTGCATCCCACAAATCTCCATCAACTGCAAGATGCTATCCGATCAATATGGGCCAACATTTCTAAAGAATGCTTTCAGCACCTTGTTGAATCAATGCCACGTAGAATTAAGGCAGTTCTGAAGGCGAAAGGGGGTCAAACACAGTATTAGCATGGTGTTCCTAATAATCCTTTAGGTGAGTGTATACTGTAACATGCATTAAGAGAATAGATAATAGCGAATTTTCATTTCATGCTGCCTTTAAACTTTTAAAATAGACACTTAAAATTTTATATTTTAGAGACTCTTCAATTCTGTCATCATTTACACTCCTCATGTCATTCCAAATCTGTATAAATGTATTCTCCAAAACAAAAGAAGAAAATTTGAATAATGTTTCAACTGCCATGTTTCAGATGAAGCATTTAAATTTCTGGATGAACAATCCCTTCAAGTAAAACATACCTGAAAGCTCCATCAAGTCTCATGAGCAAACCTCTGAGGAATAAAATTTCATCGTACACTTGACAGGCGAAGCTAATGCGTTAGGTAAAGAACTATAAATCCTTCATCACATTCAGTGAATGGATCGGTTTCAAATATAAACTACTGAAGATGATGTTACAAAACAAAAATCTTGTCTTGTAGCAGCAGCTAATATTCTTTTGAGACTGAGTTCCCTGGAGACTAATCAGAATACCGAGTCACATGACTGTAGATGCTAACCCTCTTTTAACCATGATTAATAAGTCATCAGAGTGTATGTGAGCAAGCGCTGTCAAACAAATCAAACTTCATAGCCTCTGACACAACATGGCGTTCCCACTAGCGCACTTCTCCAAGCACTCAATTATATCTTCGACTTCTATTCAGTTGATGGCAGAATACACAGGAGATTTGAGCACGAACGGAGTATGGAAAACCTCATTTTACTTCCAATCCCACTGATGTGCTTCTATTGAGTCAAAATTACATCTTCAACAGTTCAGCAAATATGACAGCAGCTTAAACAGCCCCAATATTCATGTGCAGCGAGGCACCACTGGGAATATGATGCAAATACTCCATTTAAAGAAGAATTTCAATCTAGACTTAATGTGGAAGAGAAAATGGAAACAGTTGGAAATATTTAGTGTGAATGTCTGCTCCTCATTTTTCTCCGCCTTCCTTTTAGAGACAAAAGCTGTTTAAGACTAAAACGCGTCTCCAAGTGATTCACAGACGAATCTTTCTCGCTCCGACTCTCTTGTCTTATCTGCTGATGTCTTTTTCTCCCTGCTATGTCATTCTGAAGTCTTCTGTGTTGTCATGCTCTTCCGCTCTCCGTGTTTCACCTGGCTGCCTCTCTTTGTCTTGCTGGCTGATGAATGGTAGGTGTCTGGTTTCCAGAACAAGCTGGGAATGATTGTGATGTGTCATTTAAAAAGGAAGGCGATGATTTGTGTGAAAGCATGTGTGTGTGATGTAAAATGATGACCATTACCATGTTGACCAGGTCCAGGGCCAAATCCTCAACCTGCATTTTCACTATCTTTTCCTCTCGGATAAAAACAGGATCAACCTTCCTAATCACACCCTTTCCAGTTCTGAAACAGCTGGACGTGGCAGAGACTCTCATTTGCAGGTAGAACCATGCATTACTGCACCCCTCGCTGTTTGTTTTGACAGGCACAAGAAGGCGCCACAGGAGAGATGCCCGCAGTTTCGGTTCAGAACATTTAAATTTAAATGAATCATCCACTTTTTCAAAAAGTGAGTTGGATATATTTTATGAACCGCCATTAAACACTTGACCAAATTCATTTGCTGTTGCATTAGTGGTTGATCAATATGGGGTTTTAAATGGAAAATTATGAGAAAATTTAATCGGGAGAATATACTGGTAGTGTGTCAATCAAAAGTTTGGAATAATTAAGATTTTTGCGGCTTAATATTTAGCTTAATATCTTTGAGGAAAGTCTGTGATACATTTTTTCAGGATTCATCAACAAGCAAGATGGAGTGAGGCAAAGGAACAATATTTATTTGAAATATAGTCATTTTAATAATTATAATAGTTTTTATTATAATACTCTTCTTTTTTTAATTCTACAAAAATATTAAGCAACACCTGTTTTAAACATTGTTTCTTAAGCACCGAATAAGAGTATTAGAATGATTTCTGAAGGATCACATCAAGGATCAAAAGAATTCTTTTAAAAAACATCAAAAAAAAAGAAAGAAAAAAAGTTATTATTCCAAAGTTTTGACCACTAGTTTATAAATATATATAGAGCTCTTAATTGTTTTTTTCCCCCTACATAACAAGATTAAATGGAAAGCTTAGAAAGAGGAAAGAGTTAGATATTTTAATTAATTTCTCATCACAGTGAAATGAGATCATCACATTTCTCATCACAGTCTTCCAACATTAAATTAATCTATTTTCAATAGAATTTTTAATGAAAGTGAAGTTATCCGCTCACTCACCTGCACACTTGGTTCTGCTGATGAGGGGTGGTCCAGATGGCCCGGTCCCACCCTCACCCGGCCGAGTAAGCAGCACACTGATATGGTACTCCGTGTCTGGATCCAGGTGCCAGAGCTTATATGTAACCATGTTAACTCCAAGGATCTCCGACCAGGGTGCCTGGCTGGCCCGATATTCGATTTCCCGACGGATGATAGGGCCATCGCCCAGGATGGAGTTGGTGTTTAGTTGAATGATCAAATACGTGGAGCCTGCTCTCAACAGCTGGGGCGGAGCAATGGGAGATGGGGGAACTGTGATAGAAACAGAGAAGATTATGGTAAAAGTCTAATCAAGGAATGAAGAAAATATGTTCATATTTTAACCTTTTTCAAGCAACCCCCAGAAGGAATTTATGAAATGTTTTAATGCACTCTAACCTGAATCAGTCTAATCTACTTTACTCAGTTTTTAAGCTTATCTTGACAACAGTTGGCATGAGGTGAATTAACATTTGCGGTTCAAAATGGTACAACTTAAATGCAAGGTTCAAGGGTTAAAATACCAATCTGGCCATGCCCATTAAATCTCCAATAGCTGGTTCTTTCAGGTCCTCAAGGCAGAGCTATAAGTAAACCAACAGATGTGCAAGACTGTAGACTGTGGAAGAACGTCAGATACAAGGTCATGCTATTTACTGTAATGTGAGATTTTGAGAGCTACCTTTCCAGTAGCGTTGGTGCTTGCAACGCCAAGGTCATGGGTTCGATTCCCAGGGAAAGCAAAAACCGATAAGAATGTAAATGTGTACCTTTCAATGCAATGTAAGTCGCTTTGGATAAAAGCGTCTGCCAAATGCATAAATGTAAATTTTCATATCTAGCCCCCTGAGGAACTTGGCGGGCAGATACACAGTAGCCAGAATAACAAGGAAAAAAAATCTCCTATTTGATTTGCAAGGTAAAAAGTTTTATATATATATATATATATATATATATATATATATATATTAAACCCTGACTAATCACTAGAGCTTCAAAGGGTCTTGAGTTATCAAACAATTAGTGAGAGAAATTGATTTAGAAGGATGGAAGCGAGGGGTCCAATGAAAAAAAAAAGATATCAGCAATGACTTTTCCCATGACTAATCTTCGGGTCTGCTGTGTCTGCAAGCTTTCTCTCTCAGGGCCAGCTGCAGATGGCAAATATCCAGCTAGGGACAGAGAAAGCCTCTCCTGGGAGAGATATGAGATGGCAGCGAGTAATAAAGCTCATCTTGTCTGTCAGAGAAAGGCATAATAAAGAATAATATAAAGCCAACTCAAACTCCACTTTCATATGAGAGGAGACATACAAACTGGCCACCTTTTCTTTATGATTCTCTCTCTATCCAGCGTTGGTTAGGGCAGATTATTAATTCCACCCTGAGAAAGCTTCTTTCGCCAGAGTAGAGTTCAGAGAATTACTGCGAAAAACAGATCTGAACCCTACGGACTGACTGAGAACAATTCTCATTAGCCCTCTGGCTCCTCTGCATTAGCCCTGTTGCTATGTAATCTATGGGCCCATTGAGGAACAGTGAGTTGTGAAATGAGTTGATCAAGCTAATTAAAGGACTGATTAGCCTCTCGTTAGTGGGGGCAAGCGTGGGAGGGCAGTTTGGAAAAGACAAGGAGAAGATCAGAGCGAAGAGAAAGGAAAATCTAAGGTGAGCGTAATGAGCTTGCATCACCGCTGCCACGCTAGAATGTGGGCCTATAGCTTTATGGACTCGTCTGGTGGGGGCCAATCTGCCGTGCTTAACTGAGGTGCAGTAATGCATTTTAAATAGGACCTCCTGTCGAAGTAAAAGCCATCAGGAAGCAATGCCAATAACATGCTGCAGAGGGAATGCAGCTATAGTCTGAAATGGCTTTAAAGCTCTGTAACATAGAGGCACAGATGCAAGTGGGTCTCATTATAAGTTATGCTTCATACTGCGATGTTCCCGAGTGGATTCTGCCTACAGCTCTGGTAAAAATATAATGATGAAGTTGTAATGAGTCAATGTGACAAGTGCCACAAGAGCAAGCGCTTTGTATCTAAGCACTTTGCTGAACATTTGATTAGTCAGACCCCTAAAAACAGTGCATGTTAAATGAGTTTTGAATTTGATGACAAGATCTAGAGAACATTTACAATTTTATCCTGTCATATGGTTTCATTTAAGGCATTTAGCAGACGCTCTTATACAATCACTTTAGCAGCACAAGCCAGAAAAACATGGCAATTAGAACGTTATCTGCTGGGAAAGTGCTATCTATACAACAAGGGCGTTTCTCTTAGGAGGAAAATAAAATAAAATAAAAACCCATTAGTAAACAGTCTGAGAAATAAAAATAATTGAATACCTCAAAGTTTCTCTTTTAGGATCTCTGAGGGTTTACCTGTGATTTTTCATTTCTAGTTTTGTTATGACTGCATTAAAAAACAGCCTGAAGGTTTTATAATGCTGTGCTTCTAGGTCACATTGTGACATACAGTAAAGCCGTATTTCTAAATTCGCCATAATCCGTGCTGCTACATCTATCAATAAGATTAGCATGGTGCTGTCTCATAGCCTCTCTCAGTATGCCTTGAGGACGGAAGCTGAATAACCCACATGGCTCCATCCATCCCTATCCTTATTCCACCCCTGACTTCTCCATTTGCTTAGGGGATATCAATCTGACCAGGGTTTAAAGGTGGACACAGAAAGCTGCCACTGTAGGCTGATGGGCAGGTGTCAAGTTATATGGTTGAAATTTCAAGTAAGGAGGAGGTTTGCTTTGGTTAAAAACGATGCTGAATCATCGTGATTATTCTCATGAAATGTTTTGTACTACTTTAGACCCTTGATACTGTTCTATAAATACAAATAAATGGAATCTCACAGATTCCGATCGAAATGGATAATAGAAAATGAAAATTATCATTATTTACCCCTCATGTCATTTCAAACATTTATGCCATTTTTTTCAAGCTCCAAAAAGGACTATATATAATAATGTAAAAAAAAAAAAAAAAAGTGATTAATTGAAAATCTGCAACAGATCAAGATCAGCTCTCAAATCAAATATGGCACACTATTCACATAGCAATATGTAGATGGGGTGTCAATAATATCAAATCTGCACCCTATTGTGATTGAATTTTGCTGTAGCGGATGTGAAGATTAAACTTAAACAACTTAAATTTAATTTGTATGATATTATTTGAATGGACTACTTTATGGTGCTTTTTATCCTTTTTGGAGCTTGAGGGTGTATTCACACCAGGAAAGTCCACTAGTTCACTTGATTTGTTCTGGATCAAATACAATGTTGATTTTTTTTGTTTGGTGTGGTTCGCTTTCACACTGCCCTTTTTGCAAGTGAACCAAAATTTGAAAACAAAACCACATGTGTGCTAAGGTCATCCATTCATTGGACAGAAATTCTCAAGCAGGGAGTGTAAAAACAGGCAATTTATGTTATGAGATCTTTCTTAGTGGAATTGTTATTCTTTTACTGATTTGGTGTTATCAGCTACTAACGCAGTATGAAGAAACTTATGAGCATCGTATGATACAATGTCAACAATGTTGTAATTAGGAATTTGCGAAGACGAAGATGTCCTGCATGACGGTTGGGGTGGAGAGAACATGCCCTTAAATTATAAATTTCAAACATTATTAAAAACAAGTGAACAGTAAAATAAGAACAAATACACAAATTACAAGCAGAGATGAATACTAAAAAACAAAGTTACAAAGTCTAACAGTAGTAGGCAATTCAGGCACAGAAGTTAATAATTAAGCCTAAATGTAAAATAACACTATTTGTTCACTGTAGAAATTAAATATAGCTTCATTTTTGTTAAAGCTGTATTTTGTTGTTTTATTAACATTAATGACACAGACAACAGTAGGAATATTGTGCGTGTGCTGTCACTTTAAGACCGAATGCAATACCGAAAAAAAATTACAAACATCATGGATTGTCTCTCAACTATGACATAACCGAGAGAATACTTGCCGAGAAGGGTATTTAGATGAGTTTTTTAACATAATTTTGTGTGCATGTGTCCGTTCAAGGGCAAGGAAACGCTCTCTCTCTGCGTGCGGCTCTGGTCACAGATAACGCGCGAGTCCCGATTTTCGCCTCTTCTTCTGCGTTTAAAATTGTTTGAATGTGTAAATTAGCAAGACAAAACACGTCGAAATGATAAACTTCCACTCTATGGTGGTTAAATGTAGAAGTTAATCAGCGATTCACATGCGTGATGAACCGTGGGGCAGCTGGTCCGTACGGATCACGGATCAACTGTGATCCGCTGCACCCCTAATAATGTATAGGCATTTCATCACCCCGAATTACATGGTAAAAATCTGACCCTGTCAAAAAAGGAGCAGTGCTTTCTGCAATTGGGTCGGTTCATGTTCACACCTTAAACGAACCGTACCAGAGTTTGTTTGGAACCGGACCGAGACCACCTGGGCTTCAGCTGGGTCTCGGTACGGTTGTTTGGTCCGCACTCGAGTGCGATTGCTGTTCACACCTGCCCAAAAGATCCACACCAAGGGGGGAAATGAACTTGAGTTGAGGTGAATACACCCTGAGTTTGTGTATGTAAAGACTTTAAATGTTTTTGTGTTAAACAGGAAAAAAAGCAGCATACAGGTTTGAAACGACATGAGGTTGCGTAAATAAAGACAGAATTACCATTTTGGTGTGCAAAACAACTGCAAACAAAAGTCCACACACACACACACGTTTTACAAAACTGATAATTTCAGAACAAAAGAGCCTAAGATGTGAGAATGCAAGGCTATAATAGAAAAAGAATACAATGACATGAATTTAGCCAGAATCCCATTATCCTGTGATGTGCGCATTATGGGCAGTAAAACGAAGACACAAAGGACACAAAGAAAACAAGCTCTTCACCTTTGACAATGAGTTCAGCAAAGTTGGAGACGCCGGAGCCTCTGGAGGACTGTGTGACGCAGCGGTAGAGGTCCTGCTCTGGCTTCTGGACGTCCTCCAGTTGAAAGGACACTGCGAAGCGGTTGCGGCCCAAGTGCTTGACAGAACCACCTGAGGACACTTCACCATTGTGCCGCTAGAAAAGAAGAAAAACATGAAAACACGCTACAGCCTACTCACCAAGCATACGCTGCCAAGTACTTATATAAACACTAGATGAGCAATGCACTTTTCTGAGATAAAGCCATTCGTCATTAAACTCAGATACTCAGCCAAAACAAGACTAAAATTGCATTTGCCCAATTACTTGACAAAGTTATCAATTATTCATCTTATATTTAAGGTACACACATATATCATAGTGACAACAGACTGTCAAGCTCCAAAGGGACAAAAAAAGACCATAAAACCACCATAAGAGATAGGGATGTACCCGAAGCCAAATACTACGTATGTCCGGAAAGGAATTGTCCCCCGGAAAGGGGGTCATTCTACAGAACCCCTAAAGGGACGGGAAAAAATATGACATGGGAGGAAAAAATATATTTGAATGTTTTTACATTCTCTCGCAACAGTTGGGTTATAATATAGTTTATAATATGCATGCATCAAGGAGTAATTAATATTGTAATCACTTTCGAAAACAATCTCGCTTTTTACTTTCGCTTTCAAATTTGCGATCATGCGTACTCTGTGTATACTGCTGTAAGTGCAGCAATGACGGCATTTCATGCAGATGAATGACAGTGGAAAAGCTTAAATTTATGTTGAGAGATGAGCCATAAAAGTTGGACACTGAAGTATGATTCATCTGAATAATAAGGACCAAAAATAAAGGAGTCTTGCACTTTACTATTGGGAATTGCTACGTGGAGCTTGGTGAGGAACCAGACACGTCTCTCACACAAAACCACACTTGATAGCAGCAACCTTTCACTGCGGCTCAGGTAATCATAGCGAGACAGTGGTGTGAATAGCACCCATCCAAGATGTCAACGCATTCGCATTTTCCCCTCTCTGAATACCAAGGACACAAAATGAGCATTGAGAGTGCACTCATATGAACAGAAAGCACTTCGAGAAGGAGGTCAGCGGCTGCTACACAACTATGTGTGTTTGTTTATTATGGGGCTGCTAAAGTGTTTAGGCTTTCAATGTGGTTCAAGACCACACAAACCAGACCTGAATGTAAGGGTAATGTGTGGGCAATGGCTGCAAATTTGAGGTTCGCATAAAACAAAGCCAAACGTACAATCATCTGGCTTTGAGGGCCACTTTGTCTTTATTCAACCTAGCAATCACATTCAGTGAACTGCCAGACAGGCAAACATGTAGGGAAACATAACGTAAGAAAGCTGGTGACAATCTGCTTGTACAAAACGTGCCACACATGTTTGGTATCAGTTTAATTTTTTTTTTAAACTTACAACTAAGTTACCTGACCATATACTGTAAAATGTTTTATATTTTTAAAGATAATACACATAATTTAATTTACTATTCATACACCGTTCAAAAGTTTGGGGTTGGTAATGTGTGTAGGTATATATATATATATATATATATTAGTGCTGTCAAACGATTAAAATATTTAATCGCGATTAATCGCATTAATGTCATAGTTAACTCGCGATTAATCGCATTTAATCGCACATTTTTATCTATTCTAAATGTCTCTTGATTTATTTTTGTCCCATTATTTTTTTCTCATTTTAATGCTCTTATCAACATGGAAAAGTGGATCGGCTTGCTTTGTGCAAATGTTTTTTATTGAAAACAATATTGGCATATACTGTTCAATTTCACACTAAAACATTATCACTTGGAGCAAATAATCTCTCACACAATGTAACACTGTCCATCAATAAAAGGGTGAAATAAATACTGACGAGGTCCTGATATTGACGAGGGGGCGGAGAATTCGCATCAGCTGTGTGTGTGTGTGTGTGCTGGCCATCATCAAGTGGTATTCAGACTGGACGTGCTGCGATGATGATAGCTCAGTTCACAACGACAAAACACACAGATCACTTTGGTCTTGTCAATGGAACCATTTGGCAACTTTTTAAAAGTAAACTTTCCATTCAGAATCTTATTGGCATCCATTTCGGCGTCTCGCGCTCGTCATCCACTCAAAACTGGACGTTTTGAACGTTCCTATAACATTCAGAAATAACGTTTTTATAACTTAATATGGGAACGTTATGAAAACATTCTTATAACCTAAAATTGTTAGCTGGGGAAGAGGAGAGATTCGCGATTGCACTGAACACGTTTTAAGTGCAGGCATATTCTCTGAGTGAGCCCAGAGAAAATTCTTACAAGAGCAGCGTGTATCTGAGAGCGCGCGCGACTCGAGCAGAGAGATTCGTGCTCGGCACATTATTCCGCGCGCGAGCAGAGAGATTCGCGCTCGCGCATTCGGCTCGCAAGCCCAAACAAGTGTGTGCGGCGTGCCTGTTGTTTTGTTTCCGGTCTAGCTAGATCCGCTTGCGCTTTCAAAACGTCCTCGCGCGCCGCAAGCCATTGAAATGAATGGGTTTCATAGCGCAGCGGCCCGCATGCCGTCCTGTTGCAAAAGCATGTGAAAAAAAAAACTACAAAGTTTGCTAGGCCAAAAAGACCGTTAATCGCGCGATAAAAAAATTAACGCCGTTAAAATGGGTTTGCGTTAACGCCGTTAATAACGCGTTTAACTGACAGCCCTAATATATATATATATATATATATATATATATATATATATATATATTAAAATTACACACATATACGATATATACACACAAAAATTAATTACAGACCTCATAGTCTTGTTAAATATACTGTATATCTTATCTCTGTAAATTACATGCATACTTTTATAGGGAAATTAAAAAAAAATCATTAGTAAATATTTTCCCATTAAAGTACACATACTCTCTCTCTCACACACACACACACTTAATGACAGCTATAAACTAAAATATAGAGGTTACCAAAATGTCACACTGTAATGCCTGTAAGGACCACAGCTGAAAATAAAGGGGGGAAAAGCATTTACAGAGTACGATATCCATGATTAAAGGCAGAAACTAGGCAGCCGCTACAACTACGGACAGAGGAAGTAAGAAAACATCCATATAAAAAGGAAGTAAAAACAGAATCATATATCTCCTGCTGTGTTTAGGGGAGGAATGAACACTTCAGAGGATTTGAGGACATTGATTATTGCAAAATCTTGTGTCGCTGTGACAGCTTGTAACCACAGGCATCTGTCCTTGACCTTGATGTGACAAAATCATTCATTTAATTTAATTCCACCTTTCGATGCCAGAAACTTCAGCTCTCTGAGGGCAGTTGGAAATGTTCCTTCCAAAGACCATGTTAGATCCTAAAAATACCCTCAAAACAATTATATTATATAACAAAGGCAGACGAAGAAAGAGTGATCTCGACATGGCTTTGCTTTTAAAGATTTACAGTTTACAATTAATTTCCTTAAAATTGAAAGATCTGAAATGTAACTGAAAGGTTGTCAAGTAAAAGCTTTGTTTGAAAAATAAATGACAAATAGAAAAATGAATTCTGATTTCATAAACATGGCCTCTCTGATCTCGCATCTGAGGAACTACAGGGGTTTTAGAACAAAATCAATTTAAACAAAAGTGTTCTTAAAGTTTAAAGTGACCTAATTAAGAATGCTGCCCTTTTAAAGCGGTAACATTCAGGTGCTTTGAGCACATTCGGTGCAAATTTTGTTGACTTTTTAGTAAGTCACGACAGATGGCAACCTCAGCCTTTAGATGACTATTCCTTTGCTAAAGATCTCCATAAAAAAAGAATTTGAAAAAACATGATTATACTCACTAAAAAAAATCTATACTCACTTCCAACAGGAACTTCTCTGCTTCAGAGGGACGTCCTGCTGCTACGCACTGGAAAGTGGCGTTTTGTCCAGCGTTGACCTCCACGTCTCCCAAGCGAGAGAAATGAGGAGATTTATCTGAGCACAGAGACATAAGGGGTTCAGAATAACAACAAAATATCCTAAGTAACGTTGAATAAAAAATTATTAGCATACACTACCATTCAGAAGTTTGGGGTCAGGTAGATTTTTTTAAATTTATAATTTTTTTCAGCAAGGATGAATTCAATTGATCAAAAGTCTGACAGTAAAGACACTTATAATGTTACAAAAGATTTAAATGCTGTTCTTTTGAATTTTATGTTCATCAAAGATTCCTGACAAAATGTATTGCAAATATTTGTTTTCAACATTGAGAATGTTTCCTGAGCACCAAACGAGCCCGATTAGAATTAATTATGAAGGATCATGTGACACTGAAGACTAGAGTAACGACGCTAAACTGTATTTTTGATCAAATACATACAGCCTTAATGATAATATGATTTTTTCAAAACTGTTTTTTGTATTAATGTAAAAGTGTTTACTGTTACTTTTGATCAATTTAATGCATCCATGCTTGAATAAAAGTATTAATTTCTATCAAAAAAGAATCTTACCAACCCTAATCTTCTGAATGGTGATGCCGACCACACTTTCACACTTTACAACATGCTTAAAGTCAACACTAAAATACATGTTTCTGATTTAAAGACATGTTTCTTTCCATTTCTGCTGACATTATCAGGCCCCTTTATTGTCCACATCACCCCTGAACCAACTGGCTCATTTCTGGTACGTAACGCCCACATTTTACAATCCAGTCAAGTCCTGCCCAACATTTCTCCACTTAAATATTCTATCTTCCATCAAACGTGTCATATTTTGGAAGCAAAATGAGTTGCGAACGTTGTTTCATGTGGACTTCAAATGCAGGCAAACAATCTCTTAGTGGCCAGAAATGTTGATTTGTTCCAGTTTGACTTGCTAGTTAAACGCTGTGTCCATATATGGGTTGTTCCCTTGCCTGTATGTGAGACAATTGATAAATCCTATGACATAAAAAGGTCTAGATAATCTTCCTCCAGCATATATGGTTCTTGGTACTTTCCTTCCCTTTAAACGAAATCTCAGTTCAACTAAACTGAAATATGACCTTTTGAATTTAAAAGTCATATCTATTCATTTGAAGACATTTTTTTTCAACTGAATATATAGAGTCAGGGATTAAACAGGATAAAAAGAAGAAAGAAACAGATAGATAGGATAGATAAAAATTAAGAAATACTTTATTGATCCCAGGAGAAAATACAGGTGCAAGATTGCTACAATATGCTATATAAAGTGCACAAAAACACCCATATGAAAAGACGGTGCAGCCAAGATGTTGTACATTCATTGTCTGCACATTGTTTTACAAAATACACTGTATGAAGAAACCAATTTTAGAGCCTGTTGGTGGCAGAGGACACATTACTCATTCAAGTACCAAAACAAGAAGGTGGACAAGAGCAAAAAGCAAAAAAGGTAAACAAACAGATAAATGCTGAGGTTCTATTAAATATGGCTTGCACATTCTAGTTGCGAATGTATAAGCGATTTTTTTTAATCAGTTGGGTGTCAGATGTAAAAAGACCCTCGGGCAACATGAATAGCTTCATGTGTTAGTTAACAGTGCTTAGTCTCTGAGAGCGGAGGAGAGCTCCTATGGGAACCGCAGCCAGCCCTGCACGCCTGACAGTTTGATTGTTACTTAAACAGTGTAGTTTATGTATAATTTAATATTTTGAACTACTGAACCGTTTCTATTTGCATGGTGATAAGAGATGAAAATCACTTTTAATGTCCCACCAATTCAACTACATGCATGTTTTATTAAAAATACACTTACTTAAAACAATTTGTACATGGTTTCGTTTTCTGTGAATGTGCGAAACTTTTAAGTCAGTAGCCACAACTACAAGAATAACTTAAGTGCAGTCACTGGTAAAACTTTGCAACAAAGATTTATTTCAAAAGAACAGTTTTAATGCTTTTGAGCTGCAAAGTTGCTTCATTCCATTACAATCTCCCATGTGAATTTGTTTAATTTAAGGCTAATTTACTTATTGGCACAGTAATGGTTGCATTAAAAAAAATTATTTCTCCCATACTGTAGGTTTCATAAGAAGGCTGTCTTGGTTAGATTTGCAGGCTTGTGTTGGAGCTCTAATTCTTAAGGATGTATATAAAATCACAGTTAACCGCCTACCCGCACTGCACACGTCTGAAACCTGTCAATCAAAGGAGATAAATAGGCTATGAGGTTATTCAGCATATAACAGAATGCTGTTCCACTCTGAGCGTATATTGTTTATCTGATTTGTAAAACCAGGCGGAGGCCCAAGCTACATTGTTTGTAGTCGACGGGTGGCCATGCGTTTGGTGTGGATTCCACTGTGTGATGCTCAATTCATGTTTTTATGAGTCAACATGAATCACAAGGCAAGGAAATATGAAAAGGGAATGGAAATCTGTCAGCTAGATTATTAAATATGCTCGTTTGAGTCCTGAAGACTCTGATTAATAGATATTGCAGTTGCCACAACACTAAGGTTATGATGTGTAGAGAATACACAAGAACAAAAGGAATCAGAAGGAAATCTTCTCTGTTTCTCGCTCGTTCTACTCTTTTTGCCTGCCTTTCCTTTTTGACTTGTCTTGCCAAATGGTGATTTCCGCAGTCTGGCGCAATGCCACTCACGACAATGTGTGTCCAGGTCCTGATGAGAGTTTTAATTATTTAATGTGCACAGTGGGGCTTAGATGATGCCATCTGCCGCCTGCAGGAAGTGGGGAGGGGGGCGAAGGAAGAGGGTGTTAGGAGTCTCAGCAGAGATGAGCCGTCATGACCACAGCTTCTGTTGATTTGCTTGTTTGGAATTGCACTTTATTACCATCTAATAGTACTTTGTCAGTTTTCTCTGTTTAAATATGTATAAATATCACTACAGTTTTATGAAGCCTTAAAAGCGTTAAGGTGTCCCTTAGGGGTTGTGAAAGGGATTGTTAACTTGGAGCGAGGACCGCATCTCTGCGGTGTGCCTCCTATCCCTATCGGCTGGTCACTAAAACACATTTCAGCACATCAGAAACCATTACAGTTGATAATTGCGCTGTCGGAGCCTATTGAATCGGCCTTAGAAAAGGCTTGCATCTGTCAAATAAATATACAGACATGTTGTTATCGTATAAAGCAGCTTGTTTTAATAAAAGACAGTCAGATTAGGCAGGATTCACTAAGAATGAATCGCACCCGCTGCATCATTTATTATTTGCACACGCAGTCTGCATTGTTCTAGCACCCGATTCACTAAAGGAATTATGCAAATTAGGCGCAAACATGGCCTAATATGCAAAATGCATGAGAAATTAGCAATTTCTGAATTTACAGGTTGATTCTAGATGTACTGCGATCTGATGTACTTCACTGGGACTGCCCAATATATCTAGTTTTGAACAAATTAATGTGTCCTTGCTGAATAAAAGTATACATTTTCTTTAAAAAAATCCAAACAAATGTTCCTATAATCATACACTGTTCGTTCATTGGCTAGAGGAGAACTGGCCCCCCGACTGAGCCTGGCTTCTCCCAAAGTTTTTTTCTCCATTCTGTCAGCTGATTGAGTTTTGGTTCCTTGCCACTGGCGCCTTTGGCTTTTGGCTTGCTTAGTTGGGGACACTTAATATTCAACCATATTATTGATCTGCATTGACACCATTGTATGAGAACTGAACTGAGCTGGACAAAGACATTACACTGTTTTCTCTAGACCGGCTGTATAGATAAATGAACTAAATTAATAACTTTTATACAACAGAAATGAACCATCACTGAACTTACTTAAGCTGCACTATTACAGTATTTTCTATACAGCCGAAACAAACGTTGTTGCATTATTTTCCTAGCCTGGATGGCAGCCCGAACCCCGCCCACAACATTTTTTGGTCGGGAAGTTCGGTCTGGACTCGATCCATGGAGGAGTAATTATGATCGGTTCAGAAATCGTCGTGCCAATCAAATTGCCAGGGCGGGCTTTATACGATGATGGACAGATGATCTGCAGTTACGTAATCATCACGTTATCAAAGAGCGCTTGGGTTGAACTGGTTTCCCTCAAAGTTGACTGCAGCTGGAGAACTGAGATGTATAGATTCCGCTATCAAGTCTGTTGTAAAAGAAATCGACAGCGCATTCATTTTAAAAGACGAACAGAGAACTGCAATCAAGGCATTTGTCGATCGGAAAGATGTGTTTGCCGTCCTTCCTACGGCCGGGATTCGGCAAAAGTTTATTTTATCAGCTGGCTCCGATGGTCGCTAAGAAGATGGGACGTAATGAAAACCCTGTGGTCGTTGTGTTTTCTCCTTTGTTCGCACTCATGGAGGACCAAGTAAAAGAAGCAACACTCATTATTTTACTACTTCTTCCAGTGTGCGTGCAGTTGAGTTCTGTTGACAACTATGCGTAGCTCAGCATACGTCACTTACTGCGTTGCTCTGATTGGTTGTAGGTCTATCCAATTGACCGTTCGCAGGCCCCTCCCCCAAAACGGCTATTGTCCAATCACACATCATAGCAACCGTTACTATATGAGCAGGTCCGTCAAACATTGACTCCAAGCAAGATGGTGAAGCGGTGCGCCCACGGCGTTTGTAAATCGGACACTAGATACCCCGAGAGATTGTCTGGAGGAGTTGTGTTCTTTCCGTTTCAAAAGCCGAAAACACAACGTGCGCGGTCCCTACAATGGATAAAAACAGTGTGGACGGCCCCACTCCCAGTTAAATGTGTCGAACATGGTTAACTCGCGTGCAGCGTGCGTGAGACTGAGACAATGAGATTAGTCAAAGAAGCATGGAGAAAGCAGATCAAGAGGATCCACAAAGGAAGTACGTTTTCTAAAGTGTTGTTGTTAACATGATATTTTCGGGGGGAAATGAGCAGCAGTCACTAGCAGTGCAGGCAGCACCTGTAGACTACAGTTTAGAATAACGTTAGAGGAGTGCACGTTCGCAACGGGGAACGCATGAAGCTTACTTGACAACATCAGTTCATA